ATGAAGATTCAACCGTCATCGCCCTTCCATCTACCCCAGCACCTCATGAAGATTCAACCGTCATCGCCCTTCCATCTACCCCAGCACCTCATGAATATTCAACCGTCGACGCTTCCCCCCCTCGCCGGGTGTATCTGGACGCTTCTCCGCACTCGAACTCGACTCTCTCCGTCGCACCCGCTCCCGATCGCTGTCCGTCGCACTGTGGCCAGTGCCGAGGTGGAGCGGAGAGCCCAGAGGCGCCGCGCCGGTGCGGATCGGGGGAAGCTGCAGGCCCTCGAGACGCGCAGGCCGATTCAGCTCGCGCAGCGGCTCAGACGTCACCGACCCCGTTCGAGGCGCAGACGCGTACGGAGCACCACGCGCTACCGACTGCCGAGCCTGGTAGGCCGGGAAGTAACCTGCTTCTGGGCCGGCCGTTGGGGAGTATCCGTACGTCGGACTGCCTGTGTAAGAGCTGGGACTGAAGTTTGGCAGCGACGTTCGCACCGAGGAAAAGTTGAAAGAGTACGGCGATGTGGGCGCCGAGCTTGCCGACGATGGTGGGCGAACTTGCTGCGGTGTGTAGTGCCCAGTCCTGGTCGCAAGAGGTCCTGGTGCCGACAAGGCCTGCGACGACTGGCTGGGCATCGGCGGCGCCAGCTGCTGCGTCGAAAGAGGAGGTCCCAAAGGCCTCGGCGGACACGTACGCACGACCAGTGTGACAAAGTACAGCGACGTCTTCGCAAGTCGAACCTGCGTCTGGAGAGACTGGTGCTGGCCATTTGGCAGACGATAGCTCAGGAACATGGGCCTGTCCGTGAAGCCATGACTAACGTGTTCGACGTCGCGGTCGGCGACTGTTTCCATTGCCAATCGCATCGGATCGTGCCCGAGCGGCGTCATGGGCGCCATGTAGGCTGGCTCGCGTTCGTCTCGCTCGTCCCGGAGGTCATTGCGCAACCGCTGTAGGCTTTCGTTCTGTCGTGCTTCGAGTAGCTCTCCCAGCTGTTTTCCGTCGACGCTGCCTACAAAGGACACCAGATCTTGGAATGCTTGATTGGACTTTTGGATCACCAAGTCCAGGTTCAGGAACGCAATCGGCAAAGACTGGTACGCCAAATCCGGTCCCATGCTGTAAGGGGCTGCCGGCATCCCACCATAGCTGCCGACGCTCAGGGTTCGAACTCCGGTGGAACGTGCTGCTGCATTAGGAATGCTATTTCCTCTTTGTGCCACCGCCGTACGGGGTAGATCGGTGACTCGATGCGTATGCGATGCTGGGTAAGATGTTTGATGCGCCAAAGCTTCCGTCGACGCTGGCCGGTTCGAACCTAGAGCCTGTGTAGGCTGATGGCTTCCCTGCTGTGGTCTAGTAAAGTCTCTATCGTCTCTTAGTCGCGGTCTTCCGCGTTTCTTGTGTAGCACGTCCTTGCATGTGTCCTGTTCGTTTCATAGTCAGTTCCGACATATCTCCTACTCGTCTGTTTCCTTAGCGCACGCAGATACGACCTAGACTTACCTGTTTTCCAGAAGACACGCATCGGCCGCACGGACGTTGAACATCGCAGCTGAGATGCGCCTTCTTACAGTTGACACACGCCGAGGCCACGTGGGCTTTCGTGCGTCTCGCTGGTTTGGTAGCCCTGGCAGCGGGTGGTGTGATCATTGCCGCGGGTTGCACCTGAGGCCCTGCGTGTTGCGCTCCAGGGGCATAAGGTGGTGCGCCTGCAGGTGGTGGGTAGCCATAGCCATAGCTCTGTGGAGGTGGTGCTGCTCCATAGGAGGCATATTCATTTACACGCCCGGGCCCATAGCGATGCGCCTGGTGCTGCGGGTGCTGTGCCCCAGGATATGATGGCCTCTGCGAATTACTTTGGCTCGGCAATGGCTGCCGAGGAGCGAACAGCGATGTGGAAGGCGGCGGTAATGGCAGACCAGTTTCGACCCTGTGCGGTGCGCTCACTGGCACAGGGTACTGGCGACGCTCGGTTTCAACAGTACGTGCTGCACGTTGGGAAGGAGAATGAGGCTCTGACATGGGAGGGGATGGATAGCCTTGGTATTCAGACCGGCTCGGGCTGAGCTTTGACAAGAGCTTTGCCAGACCGACTTCTGGCTCTGTAGCTCGCCCAAATGGCGTTGAAGGATGTGAGTTCGGACGCGGTAATGACAGACTCTGCATCGCTTGACCTCCGCAACGCTCAACCGCCGCACCAGCAGCGAAAGCACGATTGACGGAACAGGCAGCTGAATGATCAGACAGATGCGCTTTCCGATGATTTGCGCTCTGGTCTCGACAGTGATGCAACTGAGTATGTGACTGACAGACTGACGTTGACAGATGGAGCCTGCATGATGACACAGGTAAGCCCACAAACAAGCAAAGAAAGAGCTGGGCAACGTCGAAGGAGGTGGCAGCGCAGCCAGCTTTGTCAACAAAAGCAATAGCCCAGAGTCCGCGCGAAGTACCGTCTTCATCCTGGGTCCCTTCTGGACTATTGCAAGCACGCAAGTCTGTTCCGAGCCCGAACGCATGGGGAAGGCGGGGAGAGAGAGGATTCATCAAATACCTTTTTGATATTGCTCTCCGGCTACTGCATCATACACTGCTCGACACTTCCAGTAGATCTCCAAGCAAAGAGTGCAAAGGGCCCAGACAACGTCGAAGATGTCAAGACCGGTCAGTATCAAGGTGACGGGGTGACTACAGGTGGGACCTGAGGCGTTGGTGTTGAGAATGGGGGAGCCAATGAGCAGCAGAACAGGCAGAAAGACAGAGCAGGTTCTGCCCAGTCGGCGGAGAATCTCTAGTAATAACTACAATCGGTTATGGGGGTTCTGCTGGCAGCTGTTTGTGGAATCCCTGCTAACACTTGCAGATGACGGACGGCGGCCGTGAGACGGGGGCCATGATGTGTTCCGGGCAACGGGAGCAGGGAAAGATGCCTGTCGGGGCCAACGACATGCTTGCCTCGTTCGGCTGATAGTTCTTCGACAAAAAGGCCTGCCGCTCTTCAGGGCGGTCGATGCAGCCGCGGAAGTATGCACGGCAGCCGTGGCGTGGAGAGTGCATTGACACAGCGGGCTGGCGCAAGACTGGGGACCCTGTCACCTGTGCGGCCCCCTGCTATCCGCACCGTCTTCGACCAGGGCTAGCTGACGAAGTCCTAGCGCCTGCCCCATAACACCATTGTTTTGCAGCCGCCCAAGCAAACCTTGGGGACGAGGCAAGGCATAAGTTGGCGTCCTTAATGTGCAGCGCGGCTGGCGCTTGCGTTCGGCGCGCCGGAGAGCGTGATGCTGAGGAAGGCAAGGCGACCAGCCATGGAGCTGAGCCACACTCGAGTTTCTCTAAGCCCTCGAGGAAGGACTTCCGTCCATAGGTAAGCGACGGACTTGGCCTCCAGAGCAGACACAGCGTCCGCAACAGTGCGCTGATGATGGCGAACTGTGGCTTCCATGACCAGCCCTGCGATGCTGGTTCACGCTTGCATCTGTCACTTGCCTCACGGACCAACCACCGTCACCAGCACCTCGCAGTGCGCTCTGCGTGGGGCGTTTGCCGCACGCTGAACCTCTCTGCTGGCCCTCTCGCAACTACCGAAACCTTGTCGTCAGACGCTTCGAGCCTCTGAGGCTTTGCAGATCACACAGCAACGATGCCAAACTGTAGCATCCCTGATAGCGAGCCCACTGGGGTGACTGCGTGCCTCATACGAGGCATAGGAACGTGCCCGCATTGTGCCCGCAGCTGTGATCGACACAGTCTCGCGGTTGAGGCTTGACGACCAGCGACGCCTTTGGTCTGATCGGCTGCAGAGAGTCTACATGTATGCGCTCGCAATTGCATTCGGCATCATGGGCGCGAGGCGCCTGTAGAGTTGGCCGACAACGACCAGACGAAGGTGCCGAAAGCATATGCAGCCTGCGGCCAGACTTGCTTTGTTGGAAGCGACCCGCAAGGCCCAACGCCAAGATGAGCCACAGAAGGCTGGCGCTGAAAAGCATGCGAGTGATTGATCTGGCAGATGGTGGTCCCGCATGGCTGGTGGGTATAAACGCCGCTAGCTTTGTCCGTTTGCGTCGTCGGCGACTTATTCGCTGCTCTACCTTCTACACGCCGGATGGCAGGCCCCGGGGATCGCCGGTGACATGGCTTTCCGGAACAGAGCAGTCGATGCGAAACGACGTCGCCCTTGCCGAGCGAGACTCGCAGCCGTGTCAAACAACGGACCCGCTGCACAGAAGCGATCCTGCCAGTCTGCGAAAAGTAACGCCCACGGGCAGCGCTGCCTTCCAATCGCCAACATGGTGCGCTAGTGGTGGCGTCCAGTATTCAATAAGGTGCGCAGTCATGCTGTTGTTGCGAAACCGCCAGAGGCATATTAGCTGGCTGCTATAGGACTGGGATGCGCTGCTTTGGGATAGCCAGACAAAAATTGTCCGGTGGCAGATGTGCTGAGGACCGATCTGAAATCGCCGTCCGTTGTGATCGCCGCAAAGTGCCCGAGAGCACTGGGATGGCATTGGCAATGCTGTTGCGGGGCCGGAACTGAGTTTGCAGAGATGACACGCATAGCGCCCGGGGTATAACGCAGAAGACAATGTGCGGTCCAAATGAAATCAATCGCCGTGGTGCCGCGCGTGACGTTGGAATGCAGAGCTCTTGAGGTGTCAATAATGCAGCAACGTTAGGTGCCCAATAGCGTGCGCTGCTGTCCGTTGCCAAGGGCGTCTGGTTGACTTTTCCTTCAGGCAATATGCAGGCATGATGAATTGTCAGACAGGCGCATGGTTGACAGTGGACACTAGCAGGAGCACCATTGAAGGCCTGAAGGCGACTCTCACCGTTCATGCTGATGGAGTACTCGACGACTCGGTAAACTCAACACGACGCAGCGGGCCGTGGACGATCTATGCCCAAGCTGTGACGGGACAGTGCTGAGGACGGCTCTTGATGCAGGTCAAGACGGACGTGTTTGTCGATAGGTGATCATTTCAAATCCACTTTTGCCTACCGACCCTGCATCCGTCTTCATCGCAAAAAGCACACACTGCATACCGCAAGTGGCTCGTTCAAACTTCAGACCTCTCGGCGGCAAGAGGCGAGATTCGAGCTGCAGGGGACCAGACGCACCTGCATGGCCGTTCCTCCTTCAACACATGTCCAGCCGACCAGCGGAGATTCGAGCACCCACGCCTGTACCAGCAGTGTCACCGTGCTCATCCCAGCACGGCAGAATAAACAAGATGCTTCGGCTGTCTGCAAAACCCGGAAATACTGTCGGGGATCTTGTCGTTAAGAGAAGGTCTTTATACAGCCGTTCATCTCTCAGTACGACGCCCCGAGGCTAAGGGCGGTGAACTCTGCTCAACGGCCTGGCGGGGTACTGGACGCTGTTGCTCTTCCTGCAGTGACGGGCGCTGCCGCAGTGTCACCAAGGGCTCTGCTTCAAGCGCCTGAGAGGCGTGAAGCTCATCATACCGCCAGCACCTACGTGGACGATCGTACATGACGATCCTGCAGCATCACAGCAGCAAATTGGGTGTTTTGAAGACTAGGATACGTGCTGCGACAAGGGCAGCCACGGATTGGACCGCGGGATCTACGAACCGGTGCCTGGGCTTCTGGACACGTTGTTTGTGCCAAAAGCAGTGCTGCGGGTCAGGGGTGTCGCTATCGTAAAACCCTTGCACCGTTCTCGATTTGCGACTGGGCGCGGCCCGAGTAGACGGCCTCGTAATCCTTGAGCACATGCCGATTTCCGCAGCTTCATGCGTCGTCCGCATGCAGCTTCTGCTTGGCAAGCTTCGCAGTTTGTTCCCTTACGTGCGTTCATGCCGATCATCATCCATGTGATAGCAATCGGGCCCACTGCGGAACCAGAAATTTCCGTCTGTAAGGCGTCGATATCCCGCCGTTGAACGTGCCTGGTGAGTTCGAGCCGCTGTGTACAGCCTTTAGCGACACCACCACGCCACAACGAGGAAGGGGTCCGCGGCCGCATTGCGCACCCGGCGTGTTCGGAAAGCCGACGATTTTCATTGAAAGTCGCAACAGGGTTTGGCGAAGAGATGGCCGTCCTACCTCGGCTGCCTGGTGATATCAGAAAGCCGTTGGAGGACGCTGGGAGATTGCATTTGTGGCACAGGAATATTGCGAGGATCCATCAGCGGCTGCAGCACCCGAGCTTTGTGATATTTGTACGACCAGACGTTCGCGGTTCCTGACCTCGTGCGCCCGTAGCACAGAATCGTGTTGTTGTTGTTGCGCCAAAATATTGTGGCGTCTTCCAGAACTTTAGAAGATCCGGTGATTAGGTAACCTGCAGCGGCGTCTATACTAGAAGTATTGAAGTTCCCATGGGCTTGGGCGCCAACCAGGTTCAGCGGAGTCTCAACACGAGGAGCGCGGACATCTGTCCAGCTCAACGTGCGTGCTGACCATGTGCGCCTAGGAAGACCCTCGATTTCCGAGTCGAGCATCGTGGGCGCACTGGCAGCTGTCTCTCAATACGCGGTCACCTGTCAAATATCGATCACCTCTGTCGCTACATGAGAAAAGCGTGAACTCTATCTTACGCCATACCTACTGGTCCGGCAGTACGCTCGCCTGCAGCCTGCCAATCTTAATTAGCAGTCGATTGACATGCAAACCCAAATCCTTGGGCAATAGAGACTACATGTTGTGTCCAGAAATCCAGCGTCGACAATTGGCCTTCAAGACAGCCATGTGCGAAGCCACACTATTGACCCAATTTGCGCTGCTCGTAAAAGGCACAGTTATGCAAATGGCATCCCCTTGGATGCAGACCTGTGGCACAGTGAAGTTACCTGTCAGCGCCTGCTGCGTATGGCGTGTTCCGCGAAAATCCCACAGACGAAGTGGATTCGCAATGTTCAAACAGTGGGCGCAGAAGCTGCTGGAGACCGCCAGACCAGATCAGGCCACTTGTAGGATCCAACAATCCTCAAGTATATATCCGAGGCACATAAAGATGGTAGACGCTTGTGGCATGATAGAGGCAATATCAGGATCCTGCAGGATCATAATTCGCTCTGCGCATCTAGCCGATGAGATGTGGGCCTAAAAAGGTGGTCTGACATCACAACACATGTCAGCCGAAATGGTGATTGCAAATAAACTGCTTGCCTTGTGGATCGCAACGCACTCGCCTGGGTATGCGACGGCGCACAGGGACAGCCACGATCAATTTTGTCGGCGCAAAAGTCATGCCGAAGAAAGTTACGACCTGATCGAGCCGCACAGTACGCCACAACGTTCGCTAGTGCAAGAGTCAAGTGTGCATGGCACAGATATCAACACTCCGTCGACCAGATAAAGTCTGTATTGATGCATTTGCTAGAGTACGATCCGGGTATTGAATAATGAACTCAAAACTTCCTCTTCTTTGATGGCCTGGCGTTTTTCTTTTGACGCTGCTCTGCAATCTTGCGCTGCTTTTGCACAGCGTTGACGTCCTTGAGTTCGCTCTTGCCGGTACCGTCCTTGAATTTGCCGACGCGCTTCTCCTTGGCTTCCTGAACCCTCTTCTTCTGCACCTCGTAGTCGTCGCGGTATCTGTCTGCATCTTTGGGTGCTTTCTCGGCCTTGTGCTTGTAATGTTGAGTCTTGCCAGGTGCTCGACCTGCAGCCTCTTGTTCACCAACACGAGGCATACGACCCATCTTGTTTGCCTTGCGCCAGTCATCGAAGCGTCCACTGCGGAAACTGGCAGCGATTTTCTGGCCACTTTCGCCACGAATCATCTTGGCACCCTTGGAGCCATCCTCGTCGTTGGCGCGGGCAACGTACTTTTTGGACTTCTTATCCCATCTCATACGTGCTTTGCTTGCATCGGCGAAACCTTGGATTTCATCGTTGACGAGCGACATTTCTGCGGCTCTTGCAGCTGAGACGAAGTTGTTGCCAGCATCTCCACCGCTCACACCGTATGCCTTCTCTTCTGCATAGTTCTCCTTCGGCAGGTAAGACATGAAGAATTCTCCTTCTCGGAAATCGTCGTTCTTGGGCTTCTTTGAGGCGGGCATGGACACAGACACTTCGAGCTCGTCAGAATCAGAGTCGTACGCACCAGTGTCAGCTGGCACATCGTCTTCGTCCTCCAAGTCGACGTCCTTCTTATCAGCCTCGCCAGGAGCTGCAAGACTTGCGACGGGCGCGTCGCTAGCTCGTGCATTGGCTCTTTGCTTCTCCTGTTGCCTCTCGACCTGTATCCTTCTTCTGCGCATGATCTCTGCGGTTTCACTCTGCGTGCCACGTCTCCCAATTTCGAAAACGGTTTCCGCGGGCCTGAAACCCTGGATCCTCTGTAGCATCTTCTCCTTCTCTTGTAACGCATCGTGAACCTCGTCCTTGAACAGAACATGAGTGTCGGCAAAATGAGGATCTGCAAGTAGCTCCTTGGTTCGGTGAACACTTGGGGCGCTAGCTTGGTTGCGTGTTCTTTGGTACTGCTTCTCACCCTTGTCGGCAACACTTTGCAACAACGCCAAATCTTCATCATCGGCAAGCTTCTTGTTCACCACTTCTACCGAAGCCTCCAGTTGGTAAGGAGCCAGACTACCGACGACGAAGTCCTCGGCAAAATTTGCTTCTGCGGTGGATCTGCCGACAAGCAGCCTTTGACCGAGGAATAGCTGCAAGTCCAATAAATACGGGAGATCGACATGGCGACACAGACTATATGCCCATCCCTTACGTCCGGCACGGGCTGTTCGTCCAACTCTGTGTACGCAGATCTTCGGTTGCGAGGGGAAGTCATAGTTGATGACATGATTGATGTGAGGCATATCAACACCACGAGCCGCGACGTCGGTAACGACCAAAATGCGGGTAAGACCAGACCGGAACTCCTCGACGTGGGCTTTGCGCGCTGTTTGGTCCAAGTTGCCGTACACTAGATGATGTGATTAGCTGGAAACATTTCCTGGCAACGACCTAAGGTAACTCACGGTAAGACACTGGGTAGCCGAGAGACTTCAGGAGCTCAGATAGATACTCGACTCGATGTTTGGTAGCGGCGAAGATGATCGTGGACTCGGCGACTGCAACGTCCTTTGCCGTGAACTGCTTACGTTTGCGCTTTGCGCCAACGCTCAAGCTCCCCTCCTCCTTTCTCGCTTTGGACGCCTCCGTCTCACCCGGCGGAACCTTGATGACCTGTTCGAGTAAATAGAGCAACGCTCCGTCTCGATCTCCAGACTTTATGGTGAAGTATGCACTTTTTAGGTCCGGGGAGATTTTGCTTTCGGCGTCGAGCCGAATAAGCTTAGGGTCCTGCAGACCTGCACGTGCAAACTCCACAAGTGACTTTGGCAGGGTAGCACTGAAAAGTAGCGTTTGTCTTGATGTTGGCAGAGCGTGAAGGATTTCGGCCAGTTGTGCAGCGAAACCCATCTCGAACAAGCGGTCGGCTTCATCGAAGCAAATATATCTGACAGAGGACAGGTCCAAGCCCATTTCGACTTTGAGATGTAGGAATCGACCTGGAGTTGCAATGATGATATCCGGATTCGTGGTCATGGAACTGAACTCTGTGTTGCTGTTAGTACCACTCTTTACACCTCTGCTCGACTCAACATACGCTCCTCCAGACTGTCACCACCAACGAGCAGAATTGTCCTGAGGTCTGTGCCACGACCAAATTCTTTGACAACCTTCAACGTCTGCAGCGCAAGCTCACGAGAAGGAGACATGATAATGCCACGCGCGCCAACCTTCGCAGAGTGCGTCTTGAGCTTCTCGATCATGGGAATGACGAACGCAGCCGTCTTTCCGGAGCCTGTCCTAGCCATGCCCACCACATCTTCGCCTTGCAGCAAGAGTGGAATCGCTTTGCGCTGAATGGGTGTCGCCATCTTGAAGCCCTTCTGCTGAATAGCCTTCAAAAGCAGCGCATTTAGGCCCATGGCCTGGAAGCCACCGCCCTTCTTTCCAGTACCCTTGACGTTTGCCGCTTTTCGGTTTGAAGCAGCTTGCCTCGCTGCGATGAATGCCTCGTCATCTGATCCTCCATCACTGCCCACGTCGAGGTCGATGCCAAGATCTGTGCCCAGGTTGTTGCTCTGTTCTTCAGCGTCTGAACCGGCGAGGTTGTCGAAGATGTCGAATTCATTTTCCGAGAGCGCCGGTGAGGCTGCGCGAGGAGCCATGGTCGATCCGTCGTAAATCTTTTCGTGTACGGCGTGCGCTGTCTGACTGCGGCAGCGAGGACGGCTGCAATCTTTCACAAGCGCTCGAAAAAAGAAGTGGGACCAACTCTTGGCGGACGCTAATCGAAAGATGTGGGGTCACAGTGCAAATGGCAGGCGTGGTAGCGCGTTTTGGGCGCGTCGCTCCTGATGTTTCCCCTCCACGTCTGCCTACACGTCAGATCCGCCACCAGGCGAAGATGAGTATGCGCTCTCCTTCATACATAAGCACCGCATAAGGTATTGACAATGTCAGGTTACAACGCTTACGAGACGTCGTACACGTCATACGGCGCCGGCGGCGGTGCTGGCGGCGGTGGCTTTATACCGGGAGATGGCAGCCAACAGAGTCCCGGCGGGCGCGACAAGCAGCAACAAGACTCCCTCCGTCCTGTCACCATCAAGCAGATACTCGATGCTCAGCCCGATGCTGGCAATGATACCTTCAGAATTGACGGGAATCCTGTTTCGCAAGTGAGAAGCATACTGACGAGTATTTGCAACACGAGCTAACGTTCATCACAGCTAACCTTCGTTGGACAAATCCGCAACATATCGACGCAGACGACCAACACGACGTACAGACTCGACGATGGCACCGGCAGTATCGAGGTCAAGCAATGGATCGACTCGGATACCGTTGATCAGAATGATCCTGTCAAAGCTAAGCTCGTAGAGGGCTCGTACTGCCGGGCATGGGGAAAGCTGAAGAGCTTCAACGACAGGAGATCGGTCGGTGCACAGATCATCCGCCCCGTGGAAGACATGAACGAAGTGTCGTACCATCTGCTCGAAGCCACCTACATCCATTTGCAACTTACACGAGGACCACCCGGAGGAGTCAACACTGGCGCCGGCGCTGCTAACGCGAACAGCGGTGCCGCGCAACAAGATGGTGGTGCGTACGGAAGCCACGATCTGGCTGGCTACAATGCTGTCGCCAAGAAGGTGTTCCAGTTCCTACGAACTACTCCTCAGGGCAACGAGGGGATAAACCAAAACGAGATTGCGGCTGGTCTTGGCTTGGAGTCTGTTGACGTGTTGAGGGCCGGAGACGATCTCCTGTCGGGCGGTCTAATCTACACGACCGTGGACGACCACACTTGGGCAGTGCTCGAGGCTGATTAATGAGCATCAGGGAGCACAGAGGTATGGAGTGACGAACAGGGCTTCTTGATAAAATGGAGCTCGGAGGGCAACACAAAACCACAACGATGACATTGTGTGAAGGATGAGCAAAAAGCTCGGAGTCTTTCCGAAGTCTATGAACAAGTCGGGCGTATCTACCGATTTTGCGCATTCGTAGACAATAACAACACGCAAGTGGCTACAATCGCTGCTGCGACCACTGTAAACACAGTCTGTGTTTTCCAGCCTGTCTGAACGAGTGCTTGACGATGGCTGTAGCCTGTGACTGTAGCAATGTAGTTGGCTACTCCAGACAGCAAACATGCCAACGACAACAGCCAAAAGACAATGCCTAGCGGAAGTGACCACTTTCTCTCTACGAATCGTCAGCGCTAAAGGATTTTGGTTGTGGTTATTGCATGGCCTCATACCGAGCGCCAGTGGTTTCGACTTTAGATGGAAGTTTAGAACGATGGCAACTGCTACAATGGACATGTAGACGCTGAGCTTCAGCCAGGATAAGAATGCTATCACAGTCAGAAATCTTTGGGTTTGGTTGATCAGGGCACACCGACTTCTTTCGTTAGCAGCAATGTCTCGTGCCTCAGAAGCATCGTTGTCGAACAACAGCACTCCAAGAAGAGGCCTCTCTCTGAACACAGCCCGATCATAGTCGTTGCCTCTGTCACCGCATTAGTGCCATTGTTCAAAATGAGTGGGGCGTCGTACTGCTTCACAAGTACCGGCTTCGGTGCAAAGACGTTGTAAAACGGGCGGTACGGCTCATCTAATATTGACTCGTCCGAGTCCCCCATGCGATCAAGGCTCCTGAAATCCATACTGCTAACGATGTGTCAAGCGAGGATGTGTTCTGAAAATAGGCATGTTGGACCGAGTGTCAATGTCACGTTCGGCACGCGATTCAGTCACGCTTGTAGAAGACGCACGGGCCGCACCATGAACAGCAGATGAAGTCATCACCCGATGACCTGTGCAAATGAGCTTGGAGGCATTGCAACCTGCATCAACATCCCTCATGGTCAGATCACTGACGATATTTGGAGCCGAGAAGTGAGCGTCGTGAGTGCTTCGTTGATGCTAGCAATACTGATATTGGCCGCAGAGGCTGGGACGCCAGAGAATGGACATCAAGCGACGATCGCGTCCGAGGCGGACAGTCACAGGTCATTTGCAGTCTTTATGAGGTCAATGACAGCGTTCTAACCTCACATGTCAGTCCTATCTTGACATCAAAGGGTCGACTGCTCGCTTCCATGGCAATCTCGACATCAAGACTCTCGGTGGTGCCGGATTCGCTAGCCAACGCACAGCTGGTGATGACTCTTCCTGGGACCTCTCTGCTTATGACGGAATCCATCTCGAGGTCGGAAAAGATGATGGCAAGCGCTACACGTTTGTGCTGAAAGACGAGATTCTGCCACTCATGGACGATGGTCGCGAACAGTCAACTATCAGCTATGAGTATGACTTCAGCGCAGCAGGAAACTACTCAGTGTTTGTGCCTTGGAGCGAGCTGAAGCCAACTTACCGCGGCAAGGAAAAGAACGATGCGCTACCGCTCAACACGAAGAGCGTCAAGAGATGGAGCTTCATGATGAGGAGTTTCTTCGGTAGCCAGGAGGGCGACTTCTCAGTCGAAATCAAGTCAGTAAAAGCTGTATCGTGGCCAGAGGACCCCGAGGCAGGTTTCACGAGTGAGAAAAGCGCAGTTGAGGCAAATATCCCGATTTACATGAAAGGCGAATTGCTAACGTCAAGCAGAAGAAGGAGCCCTGGTCGTGGAAGAACTCTAGATTCGTTGGCCTCGCACTCATCTTCGGGACCACATGGGCCTTTTGCACGGGTGTTTGCTGGTACAAAGGCCTCGATATGAGTATGATGACACCTAGGAACTGGTGGAGGATGGCCAAGCACGATCGGCTACCCTAGGATGTAGAGGTCCCTGCATGGCTTCCAAATTCTATTTTAACCCTTACACGGCCTAGGCATCAGATCTTCCTTTCTCAATTCTCTATCCAACCGTTCGTGATTGGGTTTACAGCGAAGACCCACCCTTGCTTCCACCATTGCAGATCGCACGTGCCTAGCTGTCCCTGTTTCTGCGCCTGTCAGCATGTTGCCAACCCCTCATCGAGTACGTCCGCTACCTAGCGTTCTCGGCGCATTTTGCTCCCTGGTCCATAACAATCCGAGACGCTTTTAGAATGTGCAAATATCGTTGTGTGATGCAGGCTAGGTACTTCAAGACTTCTAGACCTGTCACAGCAACTACGAAGTAGTAGATCGTGCATCCCACACTGTTCCCATTTTCGCCACGATGGTGCACGGTGACCCGCTTTTTGACACAAAAGGAAACGATTGCGCAAGGCCGTGCTTCAGTGCTGCATCGGCGCCGAAGGCGCAGAGCACTTTGATACACCGGAGCCACCCTTAGTTGCGGCAGCCCACATGTTCACCGCGCGGCTGCAATCCTAGTATTTGCGGCTTGTGAGCAAGCTGATAAGTAAACCTCGAACTATTTCTCAGCTGTCAACAGCTGTTGCTGTCTGGGGAACGATCACAATCCTGATTGCTGTCGTCTTCCCATTCGTTGTTCGGTTGTGGACGCTGCGGTTCGATCTAGGCTGTCGGAGAATGATCCTGCTGAATCGAAAATGCGGGGGGAACGCGGCACGACACAACCCGATCGGCAACTTTCGTTTCCCGTTGTCAGCACACAACGAACCTGTCCATATCCTTTGTTCTGAGAGCAACTCATTGTCAGAGGCACCTAGCTATTTTAAGTTTGGTCTTTGGTACCTACGTCGTATGACGTGTTCCGTATGCACGTAAAGTCTGGACACAGTCTTGACGGCTTAACGGGACACAGTACTGGTGCAAGGTAAAGCGAATTGGGTAGCGCTTCTTCTGTGCGGTAGGTTTGCTGGGTAAGCCAGAGTGAACTCGTAGCGCGTACGGGCATCCGTTCACATGCCCTTGACTCGTGGCTTCATGGTTGAGCACGAGCATCGTCCTATTCTTGCGTTCGGTTTAGCGCACAAGCTACTTGGTCTGCGATCCATGAACGAAAGCTTGACCTTGACAGTTTCTCATACTTAGACAATTCCCGGGCCCATTTACCTTCTCTTGGACAGTCCTTTACCGCTGTACTAAGAGTTGCTCTAGAGCCTACCCAGCAAGCCCCGAATTGCCTCCTATCGAGTCAACTCGTCCAACATCACGACGTCCAACTCCAACACCGCCTCATTGTTCAAAACCGTCGAGGACTGCCAAGTTGTGGCAATGCGATAGCTCTGGCTCAAGACCTGGAGCTGATATAACCCAGCGTTCCAATTGCTCGCGGCCCGTCGTCCGATGAACATGCTCTTTACGAGGTAGCACCGCAGCCTCATTCGGGCATCGCATCTGACAAGATTTCGGGCATTTTACGGACACCCTGATCCACGACAACTTAGGAGTTATTCCCACACCGTGTGTGAGCTCTGCGGCGAGTGAGCCGCGATCGACCAAGATGCCACCCAGTCCAGATCCGGAGCCTCCGGGTTTCTCCACCTTGTCATTCGGCAGCACCACGGGCCAAATACCAGCTTCTCAAAGGAAAGAGAACAAATGTCGCAAGTTTTTTCAACAGATGCAACCAACCTTCTCGATAGATGTGCCGACCACGACATTCACCAGACTTGAGTTCTTGGATAACTTTGACCCCGCGAAAGATATAGTGGTCCGAAAGAAGGCCCGAGAATGGGTGAACAAGAACCGAGAGGTCTCAAACCTGGCAGGAAAAGCAACGTCGAAGTCAAGGTTGAAGAACGCCGCACTAAAACTGGACGAAGAAGACCAGTCAAAGCAGCTGGTTCGGCGGAAAAGTGCTCCTCAAACACTTGTCATCGCTTGCCCGAAAGCCGTTGGTGCGAGTTCGGTGGACCCCTTCGGTATCCTACCTAACATAGGCAGGGACTTTGATCACATCATCAAATACTGTGAGCTCATCTAAGAACAAGTTCAGTCCTTGGATTAACGTGTGCAGTTCTGTCCGCCAATTGCCCCGAGGAAGTCCCATGCTCTGATGGTACGTCAAGCGTCACTTCAGACGAAAAAAAATCCTACTGATCATACTATCGGTTGCAGACAAGTATGCAGACAAGTCCAAGCATGCTCTCATACCGTTCCAGCATGAAAATACCATTCTTGGCAACATGGCGAAAAGCGAACTTACCTTCACTCTCTGGCTTTATGCTACTGTCATTATCCGTGATGGCCTGTCAGGAAACTTCCACACTGAAGAAGTATACTGGTTTTACAACAGATCTCTCAAAACGATGCAGGATACATTGCAGAGGGAAACGGCTGCGGGTAATTACACGGACCACCTGATTAACGCTGTCGCCTGCATCACAGCCGCTGCCGTGAGTAACTGACCATGGAGTCAATATCTGAACACACGCTGATTGCTGCAGGTATTTTCTGGTATGTTCGACACAGCTATAGTGCATCGTGATGCGCTCATCCGCCTTCTCACTCTCCGTGGCGATGGCGATGTCCGAGTAGGGTGCCAATCGACAAGTTACTTTACCCGTAAAGCTTCACAGTGGTATGCTGCCTACTCCAGGGTCGTTCCGAGACGATGTTGCTGATTGCTGTACAGGAGTGAGATCCTGGTTGCTGCACAACTCGCCGAAACCCCTAAACTTCCTCATCAAACCCAAGGCTTGTCGCGCCTTCCCGTCCCGGAGGCCGTCATCCTCACAACCGATGCACTTACCGTCACAACACTCAGTAGCTTACCGCAGGTCTCTGAAGCAATTGTCGAAGTCATCCGCTACCTACACCAAATCGCTGTCTCCTTTGCGTCCCCACCACCCGACATCAAGATTGATGATTACATCATACAACCAATGTATGACGCTCAACATGCGCTCCTCAGGATATTGGCGGCGCAGAAGCTGCCCGATAATGGTTTCACCGATGTGGAAGTACTGCTTGCTGAAGCTTTCCAGCTGTACTTCTGGACAGGAACCAGAGACTTGTCACCGCAAACCAAGCTGTGCGAGCTCTTTGTATCTCGCGTCATGAAGGCACTCCTCCCACTGCTGCTCGAAGCAAGCACAGAGCTGTCTTTCACAGCGGGATACCAAATGGCTGCTGCCGCAGGAGCAAAGGACAACAGCGCTCAGAAAGGACCAGAAGCCAAAGACCATTTCTACCGCTTCCTCCGTCATACACGAGAGGCCAACAACGCTATCACATGGGCACTAGCTCTCGGCACTTTGGTCACTGCACCACTGTTGGCGCCTGAACACCACTGGTTCAAGGATCACTTCCAATTGCAGCTTCGCGCGATGGCGCTACATCAAGACCAAAGTCGTTGGCTCGCATTCCTCGGCCTGTTCCCCACCACGGATGGCTTCAGCAATCCGTGTATAGATCTGAAAATTGCTTGGCGAGAATATGGTGTTTGAAGTGCTTGGAGCAAAATTCATAGTCTTCCGACGTCGGCATCTTCTGCTGGTCGACCATGTTTTGGAGCACTTCCTCTCAAATTTGCTTCCGCGAAGCCGGGGATACTGTTGTTTGGTCGAACCGTTGACTGCAACCATGGTTGAGTGCTCTCATCACTCTGCGGTCTAGCCTGACCCCGCATGAAGTCAAGCTCAACATCTTCGAGCGAACACTGTGTCGCACTTTGAGGGTGGCTGCTTCTCAGTGCCTGTGTTGCACACTCTATGATGCCTCGAAATATGCCAGGACACGAAAGAGCCTCCACGGCCCCATCGCAGCCACAATTGCGCATCAAAGAAACCTACTTCCAGACCCCGACAGCTGTACCTTCTCCGGATGCATCGCCAGATAACGCCATTTCACCAATGACACGCTCCGTCTTCGCGAACCCTGGACTCAGACGAGATTCCAAGCATGAGCCTCCTGCCGACCGTACAATGCGCTACAACCCTACGATTGAACCTACAATTGCTACCTTCAAAGAGAATAAGACAATGAAAAAGCGATTGACCACGCTGTTTAGTTCGGCCTGGAGGGCAGTCCGGAAATGCATCTATTCACCACCGCTGAGTGAGCTCGACGATGTCAAATCGAGCACCGCACGCCTACTCTATGCCGACCGCTACCAGCCCATTTATGGTCATGGATCGATCGCAGCGGGCGCAAAACCTACCATCATATCTGATAACCCTTCGGCAATGATGGACAGCGCTTGGTCAAGTCCACAACGGGGCAGCAACCCTCGTCGAGCTCGGCCAACGCCGAAGGAGAACTTTGTCGTGTAGGCAGGGTTGCTGATGTTGAGGTCGGCAGTGCACGGAAGTGCAGCCGATCGCGAAGTTGGGTCGTATAGCAGGGCTCTAGACGGATACTAGCTAGCAGATGGCAAGTCTCGACTTTCCGAACGGCTGAGAGTCTTGAGCAAGCGGATTGTTCTAATATGAAGTGCGCCCGAGGGTTGGTGGCGACAATCGCGGAGCAGATGCAGCACGGTCAGGAAGATGCAACCCCCTTCTCTTCTGTATCAAACAGTGTTTTAAGTAAGAACCCACAAAGCACAATGTGTATTAGTGTAGAATAAAATGAAAAAAGCTGTCACCTTCCAACTCAATGTGATCATGTGCACGCATATCTCCGATCGAGCCGTGTTGCGCAAATGTCGACCACAACCGGTACGAGCCGATAGCAAATACAATCAACAGAACACTTAGCATCTGTGTCTGCCTCCACGGGATTTGGCGGCCATAGCTCAAACCTTGGTGGTGTTCCCGACTCTGACACAGTACTGAGCAAATTGTTGAAAGCCTGTAGAAAGTGGTACAGGGCAGTCAGTGTACGCTAGACTCGACCTGCGCCTGCGCCAGCAGCGCAGCGCCCATGAACCTGCATGCAGTGCTACGCCGCGTTACATGAGGCTGAGTTTCCATATCAAGATCAGGTTGATACTTGTCGAGGAGTCACACTGTGATCCGACATGGCGGGTGTAGGAATGCAGCGTTTGGTTTCATCTGAAGCAACGTCAACCTCACACCGGTGATCCGGTACGGGCCAAGACTGGGGTGCTTCCCTGGAATCCTTCATCAGTCGAGCCGCCCACCCTTCGACACGCAACACCGCCAAAAAGTACAGTCTGCTTGACCAGCTTTACGGACGCGTCGCGCTTTAATTGAGAAGGGCGGTGATATTGCTGCGCCCTCTTCCCACCGGAAATGAGGCATCTGAGCCGAGTCCAGCCAGCTAGGGTGCGTAACCCAGCTCCACCGGTCTAGCGCTGGGTTGGCCCTTGTTTGGCATCCTGCACGCCCTACAGGCCACAAACCTGATGCCTGATTTTGGCTGCCGGTATCGATTTTGAATCGAGCAGACAGCAGTCGGTGTCCCCGATGTGCTGCTTTGTTCGGCGTTTTTCTGCGTGTTCACAGAGGTCAATGAAGCACATGTTGCGCCCACGCAGGCGGAAGGAGTCGTCCCCAACACTCTGCGATCACTGCGAACCACCATGCAGTACTCTGCGAGAGGCTGCGCGAACGTGATAGTCCTCTAGCCCATCGAGGGCTAGCGCTGATGACCGTATGCGCCGAAAGTGCCGCCCATTGGCTGCTCTGACCGGGTTGTGCTGCGACTTCGGTGAGTCAGTGAAGGTTGCTTGGCGTCTCTCGCTTCTCGCACGCCTGGGCTGCCGTTTAAATTCCCCGCCATCCCTCGCTGCCTGATTTTGCTTCCATCCACCGCACTCACAAATAAGATACATCAAGACAGTCACCACAACATGGCTGCCTTTTAAGCGTCTCGCGCCCGTCACTCTAGACACCACAATAAACCACCCAACCATTTCAACCACCCCCCTCAGAGACTTCCTTTTGGAACCTCTGAACTATAGCCCAGCCTCGCGCAGCTCCAGTTCGCCTTCCACAATCGACGTAACGTCGGTCACCACGGCTTCTTCCCAGTCACCATGGCTCTCTTCACCAGCTCCCCACGCCTATCGGCAACAACTGAATACGACATCACACGACCTCGCGCATCCGCAGACGGACTTCGTGCTCTACGACCAACCAGCTCAACCCCATCGAGCACCGAGCGCTCCTCAGCAAGCTCCTACGTTTAACAACGGCCAGCACTTTTACGCAAATTCTGCCCCATCATCCACCACAGAATTCCAACAGCAGCCTTTGTCCCGACAACGTCCTCCGGTCCCATTGTTCCACAGCTCTAGCAACAACTCTATTCCACAAGTACAACAACCACTGCCAAACGTCGCAAACATGGCAGGTAAGAACGGATCCTACCGTCAGTACTCTCACATGCTCACACATGTCGCAGACCTGCACAGCACCAACTCGTTCGACTCAGGCGCCAGCCTGATGCCTGCCTTCCAGGCGGGCGGCTTCTCCTTGGACGGAGTAGCCGCGTTCACCGCGATCAACGACCCTTCCGTCGCATCCGGCTCGCAGCGCACTGTCTCCCCCAAAGACATCTTCACCGATTTTGGCTCTGCACCTCCATCTACGGCGTTCACCAACTTGACCTCGCCCGATATTGACGTCTCTCCCTTCATTAGCGACAGCTTTGAGACCTCGCCCATGTTCCATGGCGAATGCATGCTGAACAACAACTCAAACGACTGGTTCTCCCTCTTCCCTGAAGAGGACAACAAGCTCAACGATGTTGCTCAGTACGTTCCCGCTGTGCCCCTTGCGTTGCCCATGGAGCGCACCATCAGCAGCCAGTCTATGGAGCGATCTGGCTCTTCTAGCATGGGTTCCCCAATTGTCTTGGACTCTAGCTCGTTCCGAAGGAAGTCTTCTGTCACGAACTCGCCTGCCACCAACGGAATCAGTAAGTCTCGTCGTCGCAAGGGTACTCTACCTCCCATCGCTGTCGATCCCCACGACAAGATCGCTCTCAAGCGAGCACGCAATACTCTTGCTGCACGTGAGTCTCGGCAGAGGAAGTTCGACCATGTCGCCGAGCTCGAGGTCCGCAACGCCGAACTTGAGGCTGAAGTTGAGAGGTGGAAGACACTTGCTCTAGCTCACGGTTACTCTGGAGCGTGAATCACCGTTCCCCTCGCACCCAGTTACCGATGGCCTTAAGGAGCTGGTGAAGACCAGCTAGCCTTTTGGTAAAAGTTTTCTTTTAATGTTGTCCTGGACTTAGTACTGCTTACACACCTACCTCATCCTTGGTAGTTGATGGTCTCGTGTTGCTTTCTCTTCTTCGACTAATGTCTACAGCAGGAGTGCAGTCTCCCCTAGTGGTCGATTTGACTCCTCCTGGCTGAGTGTTGAAGAATTGACCATGATTTCGTTTCTGTTTCACAGTACTATCTGTCCTTATCTAGAATGCCTTTCCGTGAGGCCTCCCGTTTATTAAATATACCTCTTATCACACATGACTGTTCTTGCTGTGACTCCTGTGCTGTATAATGACACTAGTTTAGGCCACAGTGTCTCATACTCTCGTGCGCCTTCCATATTGTTTGTGAGTACCAATGAGTCACTGCTCAGTTGAGCACCCCGACGTCGAACAGATACGCAAGAAAAAGACTGGCAAGAGTGGGGTTTAAATGTTTAAACCCTAAATAAAGGCTTCTATGAGAATATCAAGGCCAGGTACGAGGAAGACGGACCGATGTTGCCATACCTGTTGCTGAAAGTACTAATTCAAGGTCACCCACCCATGCAGCAGTGAGAAAGTGACAGCTCTCGCATCCAGCCTGATCAGCTTACATCCTACAACCAAGGGCTCGACCGTCCGGCTTCGAAGTACAAGATGCAGATAAAGAGGTGAGGTGGCACTAATGAAGGCTGTGAAAGGTCCGACTTCGTGTGAGACTTCGTGTGAGCCGGACCGTATATTCATCGTTCCGTGACCTCGCCAAGAACGAAATGAACAATTACGACGTCTACAGAGTCTGTCAGTAAGTAGTACTGTACAGTGGAGCATTTGGGAACTACAGCACGGTAAGTAACCTGTACTATTATCTCCTACTAGCACAGGTTACGTACCTTACTACTACTCGGGCTCGCGGTATCCTCACTTAGATACTCCGGGGGGGATTGGGATGCGTCTTTTTCAGAAGCTTACCCTCGATCATCACGGAACCGCTCAGTATCGTGACATCGATCTCGAAAGTCGCCGGTGTTTTCAGAGCCATCTGTCAACAAGCCGTATGCGTGGGCAATCAGCTCGGGTTTCATCCCCGCAGCCACTCAAGGATAGACACGGCGTGTGCTGGCCAAGGCCATCGCCTGGTTGTATGTATCTAGATCATTTAGCTCAATGACTAGACAGTCATAGCGCTGGCCGATGTGGACGATGCGGCCAACGCACTGAATAAACACCGGGTGTGTCGCCATGGGAGCCGTGAGTATCATGACACAACATGCGTTCTTCACAAGGACCATGTACGCCTCGGCGTAGACTTCACCCTCCATCCACTGGTAGAGGAAGCTTGTTGGCCCGTACCTCTCTGTCACGATTTAGACTTGTAAGCGACCACCTCCAACCCTGGGATACTACTTACGCTTTTGGCAAGTACGTCGTACGTTCCGGACGTCTTGTCCCACACATCTGCCAAGCCCTTCCTGTCTACGGATCCAGCGATGAGCAGGCGGAATCCCGGCTTCAAGTAACCGTATGCTTGTTCGAGAGCGCGACTCAGTGTTAAGGCTTATCTTGGATTCCTGGTGACGCTGTCAGCCGGAGCAGTGAAACGGGAGCTGTTACGTGCTAACGCGGCTGGGGAGTTCTTCGGTCGCGTCTCCAGTATGACTGTGAATGGCTGGCGCAGAGCATATCGGGTTCAAATTCATTGATCTACCGACAATGAGCATACTTCATCATAGCTGCAGGCTGTGGCTTCGTACCAACACGCTTTCGGTACAAGAAGTCATTAGCTCTAGACCGACCAAATACGCGTTGAGCCGTACAGTGGCCAAGCCTGCGGTGGAAGCTGTTGATGGGTTCGTGAGCTCTTGAGTGACGAACGCAGGGTGCGCGTGCGGCAGAAGTTGTCGAAGTTTCTGGATACCGAAATGGAGGCGGACATGGTAGTTTTCGATGGCCGAGCCACCGATACCTAAGTGCTTAACGGCTAGGTCTAAAACATAAACAGAAAGCTTCCACGTCTGAACAAGGAATTGTGCGCGTATATCCAGCTCAATGGTGATCACCAAGGGCGGGTGGCCGTGGTTCGTACCACATTCCACATACCCTATGCCCTGTCGCTAAGTCTGGGGAAGTAGTTAAGGCGGTGCGTTTGGGACCAAGAACTTATCACTTTCGCAAAAAAAAGGGAATGAGCAGAGTGGGATTCGAACCCACGCTATGAAAGTTAGCGGTGATTTTAATGAAGTGACACATGGAACATACCCATTACTGACTGCGGAGGATGTTTAGAACGGACCTAAACGCAGCGCCTTAGACCACTCGGCCATCTGCCCTTAGGTTAAACCCAATGGAAAAGCGAGAAATTTATTATAATATATAATAGTCGGCCAAACTGAAAAGGCAGCCCCCGTCAATGACAAATGCCCCGCTAATACTGATCATGGCATTTTATCAGGCGCCGATGACGCACGACTACTGAAATCAGTGCCACATAAGTTCGGGCAAAATTGTTAAGAGTTCTGATGCGCGGTACCGAAACGGATGCACTTCGACTTCACATCCGAAAGATAGTTGCTAAGCCTGTGGTGCAGTAGTGAATTTGTAGCCTCCCATAGTCTGTTCGTACGCATCTGCAGCTGCTGTGAATGCACCTTGGCAGACCTGTGCGCCGGGACTCGAGAACGATTAGTAAGCTATGGTAAAAGCATCAGACTTCAGACTTCACCCCAACACGAGGTACCATCAACCTTCCATCTCACCATGTCCCGATGACACATCATGCCAAAGGTACTGCAGTAGCTATCAACTGCAGTATAAAATTGCTTGTCGTAAAACTTATCAGCGTGGAGGTCGATTCATTCTTCTCATGTTTCGTTCACAATTCTTTTCACCTTTCTGTCCACGGGTCTACTCTTCCGCAATTTCCATCACTGCGAAATCCATGACCCTATTTCTGAATATATGCACCTCCTTTCCCAATCTGGGCTAAGCATGATGAACCTCTCATTGTCCGCAAAAGTCGTCATCATGTGGCCTTCACACTGTCGTAAATACGTGCAAGAGCGGAGAATTCTGTTTGCACAGGCACTGCCTTGCGTGTGATATGAATGCAAGCGCTATGAAGAAGAGTTGGTATGCTACATGCCGTCAGGAGAGCATTGAATGCGCACATGTCCCAAGCCGAGATAGACTTCCGAAAACTCACATCCATCTGCAGTAGTGGCAACTGTGATGTCTGACTGTGTTCGTTTAGGATGGAGCGTTTTGGTGTTGCTATCTTTGCGCCGTAGGCACAATCGAGCTGGGGTCTCGCATCGCGCTGCCGCCAGCCTACAGTCGCATTTTGAGCGAGGCTGCTCGCCATTCGCCGGCGCTACATTGTGCCACGCCGAGGTCGCACCCCACATCATCGCCAGAAATTACCTACATCATATCAGAGATGAAGCGGAAGCAGGCTTCGCTTGCAGACCTCCGGAGTCACCGAGGAGTAGCTGCACCGAGCGTCCTACCAGCGAGGAAGCAGAGGACAGCAGCTACAGAACGCGTAGCCACAGATCACTGAGATCAGTCGCCATATATCGCAGCAGTATCGTACGTAGCTACTACTCAGACCTCGTCCCTCAAATGAACAGATCGCACAGTCACGGATCAGACGTCACCTCTGCTGTCAGAGGCACTCGTAGCCACGGCTCAGGCGCTTCCTTCCTTGCAGCTGCTCATCACGTCACAATTTCCTGGAACTTCGCCAAACCAGGCCCTACACCACTGTTCGAGCCACGAGGCGTACACATCTGCCCTTACGTGGATTTATCTACGTGTCCTCACCGAGATGGCTATTCAAACAGCTTCAACAGCCTTGCACAACACGTTAGCGCATTCTACAGCAAGGAGCGGGTTATCTCGTACGATACTAGCAAGGTCGAAGACAGGACGAAGAAGACCCCATGCTCTAATGGCTGCGACTGTTGTCGGTCACACATTGACAAGCGAATCAACACGTCAAGTTCGAGGAGTGTCCTGCGCCAAAACAGACAGATTTGCAGTGTCCATGGGGCCCGTACATCAATTGCAAGAACACCCTGAGTATCTCTAGCAGTATAGACTTGGAACCAGGCGAGCAACGTGACATACCCAAAGACTTCAATTCGCCTGATCAGTGATGGTAAGATCCATGCTCTCATATGCTCATACATGGTGTCCTGCGCTGGACTCAACCTTCAGAAGTACAGGCGAACGTCCATTGAATTCGAACCTCCGCCTAACGAATCTATTCGGCCACAAGAGCTTGGTCGCGTGACTCGTGAGGTGTCGAGGGCAGCGGAGTACTTGGGTCCGCCACATCACTCTACTCACGAAAGACACACTCAACACTAAACAAGACTCGGAGTCGGTCCTGGAAAACTTGCCAAACTTGCTCACTCAACTAAACATGGATGCATGGGGAAAGAGAGATGCGAAGGAAAAGACCTACGCTCTTGGAGCATTCGTCCTTCATGGCCGACAATAAAGCCCAGCCGACGATCCGCAGGTCGTAGGTCTCGGACTCAAGCCTCCCGGCGCCGACGGTCTCCCCATGTAGATACAGATGCAGCTCTCCGGTCGCAAGCCGACGCCCACTTTCGACACTCTGCGCAAGCCGGTCAAGACGGGTATACTTCTGAAGAAAGCCTGTCCAGCCAAGAAAGCAGCAGCGAGCAAGGGTGGCAACGGCAAAGACTACAAAAACAATTCGTCAAGCAAGGGTCCTGAGGATGCCGCTGCTGAAAAGCCTTCAAAGAAGCAGCGGCGAACTTGGAGCCGGCCAACGTGAAGATCGAAGCCCCAAAGAACCACTCTGGATCTGAGCGCCCAAAACGTAGTTATGACACACGATACACCGCACACGGCACGTTCCCACTGTCCTCAGTTCAGGCTGAGGCGATCAAGCGAGGGTGAACGACTATGTGATGCGGATCAGGTAGGTACTGAAGGAGGGCTCTAGGTGAGGGAAAAGGAGAGCTGTGTGCTTTCGATTTCCTAGCACTCGGAAATCGTGGCGGGAGAACCTGTGCAGTTGCTCATTGTAATCAAAATAATGCGTGTCTGACGTAGCGATGATGTGAGTTCGAAGTCGTTCTCCTGTATTGCCAGAGACGGCCCCTTCATGAAGCCCTTTCAAGTTCAAATGCCAAACCTCTACCACTGGGAGTCGTGAACCCAGGGAAAGGGATGTCCCAATGCGGCGATGCTTGGAATCCGGCAGATGAGACAATGGAATGCCTTACCTACCTAACCTGCAATGCACGCTTCGGACGCTCGGTCATGGGATGCCTCACACGCATACCTCGGCCCAGCACACCCGTCACCATCGTCCCGGAAGTCGCGTGCCGGTGCCGACCCCCAACCCCATCGGCGCAACACTGTCTCTGTTGGGAAGTCTGACATGCGCCCGCTAGCCTCGCCGCATAGATGACAGACCTGGAAATTGCACGTCGTGTCCAGGAACCCCAGATCGCGAAATAGGAGAGCGGACACGCGCTTAAAATAGCGCGCACGGGCCGGATACCAAGGCGGAGGCCAGACCAGGGACGGCGCCGAGGCTGCGTGCATTCCTCTCTCGCATCATGTCTCCCGACAACAACGCACAGCACATGGACATGTTGTGCATGAAAATCAGCGCAGGAGAACAGAGCAGTGTACTGTGGTGGGCAGCGCCGCCGTCTTACTCCTGTGTGCTCAACGCGTCCGTTCGTGTGCAGCGACTAGGTCAAGCTTTCATACTTCCGTCGCTGCTTGGCCGGCCCAAGGCGGTTAGCGATTCAGTAGATGGGGTGGCCCATACCTCGTGCCTGGTGACCGGCGCGCCTCGTTCAAGCCACCGCGGAGGGCCTTGGTACATATATGGAGGGGGCCGCGCGGGGTGCATGGCTGCGCCGCTGTCCCTCCTTCTCGGTCGTTGGTGACGTCGATTCTCTGTTGACGTTGACTCTTTTCAAGTGTTTGTTACGTTTGGAACCCTGTCGATATTGAACGCTTTGGGGTGAACATCATGAAGCTCCTTGCTGCGCTTGTTGTGCCGTTGGTTGGCGCACGGGTTGTGCAGGTGCCCTTCGATGGACTCAGGGAGGTTGAGGATACTGCTGTGCCTGCGGTTGGGGTGCACTTTGCAACATCATATGCGACCGCTGCTGCCAAGTACGAGAACGGGACGACGGTCGATTTGGTCAGGGTACGTTGTGCGGTGTATTGTTAAACTTCCATTCACTGACACTATGTAGGTCGAGGCAGATGCAGACTACATCGAACTCATGTCCCGCTGGACAAGATCCTGGAAAGAACCCGACTGTGAGGGCCCGGTCAACCGACTGCGGTGCAACTTGGAGCCGATACGGCGCGAGGGGAGGCGCAAGATCGGACTACCCATCACCCGGGAATCGGCGACACTGAGCAAGTTTGTTAAAAAGGTGCGCGGCGCTATCGAGGAAGAACTGGGAGCGTCGGTGAACACCATCGCGCCCGCTGCACCTCAGCTTGTTGGGTGGGTGTCCTCGGATTTCCAGGATGCGTTGGATCTTGCTGGCTTGACGTCCTCGAGACTCGGCGACAAGCCAACGTACTGGGACACCAACGCGGCTTTCGCCGGGCTGGGCCACGGATTGTGCGAGTCCAAGACCGACTTTGCCGACTGTGTGGACGAGGAGCGTCAGATGCCGTACGAGCACGTGCTCTTCCTGGACTTTGACAACTCCTCCTTCAGCGCGATGGTGCAATACCTACAGCACGCGGACCAAGAGTGGTCGTACTCCAGCAGGATTGATGAGAATCTCGGATGGTGGAATCTGCCAGTCTTCGAGGTGCCGAGAGCACGGTTTTGGGCGCAGATGCACGAGGTCATCCTCGAAGTTGCCGGGGCGCTGCAGCGCGCGCCCAACAAGATCGTCTTGCTCGGAGACCACGGATCAAACGCCGAGTTCCAGGACGTTGTCAAGGCTGCCATGTGGGACGTTCTTGAAGTCGACGCCGCCATGATGCTGAGCGCCAACGACAACGAGAACACTGCGATGTTAGCAGCACGGGGTGCAGCGGGGTTCGCAAGGAGAGCAGAGACGTGGAAGAGGTGGAGAAGGCATGATGATGTTGAGAGCATGGAGCTGTGAGAACGAGACGCTATTTCCCACGTCATGATACCCAAACGTAGTCGTAATGTGAGAGCATCCAGCTGTGAGAACAAGACGTTATTTCCTATACTATGACACCCAGATGTAGTCGTAATGCTGATATACAGCGATAATGTTACACCTTATCCGAACCCTCAGTATGCCTGGTCTGACGCTAAGATGCAGGACGTACAAGGAGAAAGCGCGATCCCGCTCAGATGTAGCGGAACATGTTATTCTTGACGCTCCGCTTCATCGAGACTGGTTGACCGTCTTCGTACTCGACTCCGGAGGCGCCGCCGTCGCCGGAGTGTTCTTGCATTTTCAGTTGGAATTCTGCGTCGAGCTCGGTTTGTGTCTTCACCTTCTTCTTAGCTTCCTCGACGTGGTCTACGTCTTGGCGGGCGTTTGGCTCGCCCTCGGGCTTGACAGAGGATTGCTGCTGACGGTGAGTAGCAGAATGCAATGATGACAATGCTTCTCTCACAGGCTCTTGCACCTTTTCGTGCCTCGATCCAGAGTCACTGACTTCGGTCATGGACGACTTGCCGGAGCAGCATGCTCGGGAGGTGCTGAGCGCACGAGCGGCAGGTGCGCGGCGGGAGAAGAGGCGTAGGCTCATCATTTTTTGTTTATGGCCTTGAGGATGTGAAGGATCTCAAGCAGAGCAGCGGGAAGCTCGCAGGGTAAGTAATTGCAAGTACGTCACCGTGAGTCCTGGTCGTGCTGGTCATGTGACCCAGAGTCGCCGGCGCTGGTTTCGGCGGAGCAACTTTCGTCTACGACGGCGCGCTTCAGCAACCCAGCACCAGTCGACGACGGCCCACCACCACCACCACCACCACCACCACACGCCAGTACTACGCGCCGCGATGGTCGTCACCAAGGTCGGGCAGTGGAGCAACGTCGAGGACGAGGTGCTCAAGGCGGCCATCTCCAAATATGGGCTGAACCAGTGGGCGCGGTGCGCGTCGCTGCTGGCGAAGAAGACGGCCAAGCAGTGCAAGGCGCGCTGGAACGAGTGGCTCGACCCGTCGATCAAGAAGACGGAATGGTCGCGCGAGGACGACGAGAAGCTGCTGACCATGGCCAAGCTGCTGCCGACGCAGTGGCGCACCATCGCGCCCATTGTCGGGCGTACGGCGACGCAGTGCCTGGAGCGCTACCAGAAGCTGCTGGACGAGCAGGAGTCGCGCGAGAGCGGCGACCTGGCGCTGGCCGGGCCCGACGGCGGCGAGGCTGCGGCGCCCACGGCCGACGAGGTGCGCCGCCTGCGCCCGGGCGAGGTCGATGCCTACGCCGAGAGCCGCCCCGCGCGCCCGGATGCCATCGACATGGACGAGGAGGACAAGGAGATGCTGTCCGAGGCCCGCGCGCGCCTGGCCAACGTCAGCGGCAAGAAGGCGAAGCGCAAGGCCCGCGAGCGCCAGCTGGACGAGTCGCGGCGCCTGGCCCTGCTGCAGAAGCGCCGCGAGCTGAAGGCGGCCGGCATCAACATCAAGATCGCGCCCAAGAAGGGCAACCACATCGACTACAACGCCGACGTGCCGCTCGAGAAGAACGTCCCGGCCGGCTTCTTCGACACGGTCGCCGAGCTCGACTCCAACGAGCGCCAGCGCGAATCCTTCGACCCGCGCAGGCAGCAGCTGGCCAACAAGCGCAAGGCCGATGCGCCGGACGACGGCGGCGACAGCAAGAAGAAGAAGAAAGCCGACCAGCCGGGCGGCCTGGCGGCCTCGTACGCCAAGGCCGCGCACATGCAGAAGATCCGCGAGGCCGAGCAGAGCAGCAAGCGCCGCGGGCTCGTGCTGCCCGCGCCGCAGGTCGGCGACGCGGACATGGAGGCCATTGTGAAGATGGGCCTGCGAGGCGAGCGCGCCGCCACCGGCAGCAGCAGCGACAACGCCGCGACCCGGGGCCTTGTCGGCAACTACTCGAGCATCGCCAGCAGCACGCCCATCCGCACGCCCATGGCGCCCAAGGAGGAGGACGCCATCGCCAACGAGGCCCGCAACGCGCGTCTGCGCACAGAAACACAGTCTGCGCTGCTGGGCGGCGACAATCCCGACTTTGACGAGGACGACGCCCCCGTGTCGCTGTCCGCGCCGTCCACACGACACCAGATGGTTACGCCAAACCCGCTGGCGACCCCCTACCGGCAGGGCGAGGCGGGCGCAACACCCATGCGCCACGGCCCAGGAGCCACACCGATGCGCACCCCGCGCGATACCCTGCGGCTGAACGGCGAGGACGGCGCAATGCAGCTCGCTGGACAGACCCCGCGCGACATTCGCCTGCGCGAACAGGCCCGGCGCCACGACCTCAAGAGCAGACTCGCCGCGCTTCCCCAGCCCAAGGAAGAGAGCTGGGAGTTTGAGCTCCCCGACGAGACGGCAGCGCCCGCCCCCGTCGAGCTCAGCGAAGAAGACGCCGCCGACCGCGACCGCCGCGCCCGCGAAGCAAGAGACGCCGCCGAACGCGCTGAATTCGCACGCCAGACACAGGTCGTCCAGCGCTTCCTGCCCCGCCCATCAGTCGTCGACATCGACGCTCTCATGCAGCGCGCCCTCGACCTCTCCGACCCCGTCGAGCGCGAAGTGGACCTTGAAATGGCCCAGCTCATCGCGCACGACGTGCACAAGTTCGGCTCCGGCCACGTCACGGGGTCCCTACCGCCGCTGCAGAAACACACCGACGCGGCACTCCGCGCAGCAAAGATGGAGCTCGCGCTCGAGTACGGCGCCCAGTCCGCCGCGGAAAAGACCAAGTTCGCCGCCGACTTCTCGCACGCCTGGACCAATCTGCACGGCGCCACCGTCCTGCCCGGCATCGCGGGCTACGACGACGACGACGACGACGACGAACACCACCTGCTCCGCTCCGCCTTCGACGCCGCCCAGGACGCCATCATCAGCGCCGCCTCGGCCGCAAACAGCATCGAGAAGACGCTCGCCAAGCACCATGGCGGCTACATCCAGCGCTCCAAGATGTTGACGCTGAAGATCGGCCAGGCGCACGCCGCGCTCGAGACGCAGAGGCGGGATCTGGACAGCCAGCGGACCATGTTGTATGCGGAGCAGACGGCGATTGGGAGGCGGCTGGAGAGTTTGCGGGCGGAGGTTAGCTTTGTGACGCGCAGAGAGAGGGAGGCGCAGGAGTTGTATCGGACGCGGAGGGACGAGTTGGCCGGGCTGAGGGAGCTGAACGGCGCGCACTGAGCGCGTGGAATTAAAAGGATAAGGTTTGCGGGATTCAATACCATGTATTCACACATTAGATTTGGGGCTTGCATGGCACGGCGTTGGACATCATCACATCACCACATCAGCATGTACAAGACAAGCTGCACGTCGAATGAAAAGCATCGATACTCAAAGTCTATCTTGAAAACCACACCATGGGTATAAAACCTCCCAGCCCGCACGCACCAAGCGATGACAGCAAGCACGAGGGCGAGAAGAAAATGTACAAGGAGAGAAAGCCGCCAGCCAAGCAACAGAGCGAACCTAAGCACCGCCAAGAGCCGCAACGCCGCCGTCCCAATAACCTGAAACCCAAAACACCGTCCCATCCGGAATCTCGTCAATCGTTCAGCCCGCGGCGACGCCGCCCACGTCGCCCTAGCACTTGCCATCCAACACCTCGAAGATGCCGACGACGCTCGCGTGCTCGCCGCCCCTCGGCCGCGGCTCTAACACATCCAGCTCGCTCTCGAACGCCAGCGCCTCAGCCTGCATCTCGAACTCGAGGTCGCTGGTGCGGCGGCGGACGGCCAGCATCTCGGCGAGGCTGTGGCCGGAGCGCGAGCTCTGCGGGCTCGGATTGCGCGAGTACGACCCGGAGACGCTGCGCGACTGCGTCAGCGGAGAGGTCGTGCTGGTGCTCGAGCAGGATGTTGCCGACGCCGAGCGGCTGGCCCGCGTCGGACTGAAGGCTGTCTTGATGGACCGCATTCTGATTGATGTGTTGCGCAGCGGCTGGAAGGAGCCGGAGAAGCGGTTGCTGCGGGTGGACATGGTGGTGGAGGTGGAGTGAGGGTTTTTGAGTTGTCGGAGTTGTTGATGTAGGTTGATGTCGAATGATATCGTGGTGATGTCGGTTGATATCGTCGTGGTTGCTGTTTCAAGCAATGCTGCCCGTCAATGCGTGGAGTCGTCCAAAAACGGTAAAAAAAGAATGAAGGTAAAGCGATCAAGCAGGCCCAGCTGTCGACACGTTGGAAATGAGAGATGGAGTTCTTCAAGAACGCAGTCTGCCCCGCAAGGGAAGTCGATCGAAAGCAAGAATGTTATGACGTGTGTAGTCCGCGCGTTGTTGAGGTGGTGACACAGGTGATACGCGTGTCAGACCAGTCTGGAAGGGCTCAACAAGTGCAGTCGACAACAACGTGTATCCACAAAACAAACAGTCGATGCAGATCAGCAAAGTCTTCAAGAGCTTTGAGTCCAAGGAGTGAAAGACAGAACGAAGCTGAAGAGCAGGCGCAGGCGTACTAAACGAAGGTAAGGGGTGACGATGGTTGAAGTAGTATGCGGGTTGCAGTTCACACGGGCGACGGGCGACGGATGTTTAAGGATGCGTGTCGCAAGTTGCACACCCGTGCGTAACGTGTCCCAGGTGCTCCATGTCCGAGTCGGACCCTGCGCTTACTATCCCTCACAGCTCCAGCCTCCAGGGTTGAGATGATCCTGGCCGTTTGATCTACAGCCAGAAACAAGCGAAGCTCTGCCGCGGACTGATTGAGCCAACAAGCTGTTTGCCTGCCGTCTACCAGAAATCGCTGACTGGACGGACTCGATGGCGCATGACAGCATGAGCAGGTACGCGGTGATTACGTACGCTGATCTGGAGATTGGGTAGCTCGCTTGAGGTGTCGGACTTTGATTTCGATGCAACGCGTCAGTCCTCGTCACGCGCGACGACATGGTCGCTACTCATTCCTCGCCTTCAACAAGACGGCCGATATCTGCAGAATGCGATTCAACTGCCCCCCTTACCACTCGATGGCATTGTAAACAGGCCGAAGACGTGGCACTGCACATCCCGTGCGTACATCCGCTCCTGCATGCACAATCCTTACACATGAAGCCCATAACGTCGCCGTCCAGCGCCCTCGCCGTCTCAACAACGGTGCTTCCGCGCTGCTGAGGTACATTTGAAGATATGCTTGCGACAAGCGAGGGCTTCTGGAACGGGCAATGGCGTGCGCCGCGGCTGTCTGGAGATGCACCAGTGTTTCAGCATGGGCCGGACATGGCTGCGTGGCCATCGGACATTTGTTCTTGCATCGTTTGCGATACGCAAGTTTGTGTGAAGAATTGAGGGGTACCGAATCTGAGGCCTTGGTGGGCGTTGCGGATGAGTGGTCGAGTGATGGTCGTCCGAAGTCTGTAAAGAAGGTGCGATGGCTGTGGAGCGCAACAGCATACATCACACACCGCGAGTGCAGTCTCCGCGCAAGGAAACGGTCTCGATATTCGCTATGCAATGAGTCAAGAGGAGGAAAAATCGCTATACCAGACGCCGCCGCTATGCTGTGCTGATTCAGGTCGCCCGTCCATCGCTGACCATCATCATCTCCATCATTATGCCCCACCTCGTCCGTAATGCCAAATACAAACGTACAAAACTCTAGTCTATCCTTTAATGTGCATCACGTCAGCGTGCTGTAGCGTACCTTCTATGTGCTGGGTTTATGCCGGGCAGGTATTACTCTTCTAGGCCATTCCAAACATTTATGCAACGTCCTTCGTACCAGCCACCCCTGTTGCCAACACCTATTCTGAGAATGGCTTTGGGGTTCCGATGGACATTTGCCATGCTGTTCCTGGATGTGTAAAGATTGGCATCGAGATTTTGTGCGGGTTCAGAAGGGTGTCACGCTCCGCTCCAATGCGCAAAGATTGTCATTTGCGTGGGAAAGATCGACCGGACGCTGCCGAGCTCGTCCGTCACGCTTCGTATAGAGTGTCAGAAAACTGTATGGTCTCCGATCGCGATCGCCACTCACGGTCGTTGTTCATGCAGGTGGCCAATACCTGGCATGTACCTGGCATGTACGCGTATGCGATCACTGCCCAGGTCGTCGCGTGGTGAAGCTTCTACGGATACTCTCACCCCACGCAGAGCTGTCCAGAACCTCCAGGACGTCTGCTGCGCTGACAGCGCTGTTGGCCCTGCTGCGGGTGTCTGTTGGTGCAAGTTGCTCGTCGAGTGGGCTGGGCGGTCGACTGAGTGATAGAGCTGATGCAAAATGCCAGTCGGCATCAGCAGGTGGCGAGAAGGGTGATGCTGATCCTCGGGGAGATGCCGGTGATAGCGGACCTCCTCGTGTAGGCGAGCCGGTCGGCGTCATTTGGATCGAGTTCGACCGACTGCGCATCGATGTGTCCAGGCTTGGAATCGAACGGACACTGCCTCCAGATAGTCGGTCACCTGCGTGCAGATCTGCCGGCGAGAACAATGGGGATCCTGCGCGAGATTGCTCTCCACGCTGTGCGTCTGTGATGTCTTCGTCGTCGACGAAAATCTCGGGCACGTTGAACGTTGGCATGGTTGCCATACGGCCCTGCTTCTTTTGCTCCATCGCGCGGCGGAAGCGGCGAGCCCAGTACAGAGTGTCGAAGAAACCAACAACGACATTGCGTCTGACAGCTTCTTCCACACGCTGCAAGCGAGCTCTGCGTCGCAAGAATTCTTCAAGTCTTCAAACGTCAGTACATCATAATCTGCAAGTGCGTAGCCATCAACGTACCTCAAGCTCTTGTTGTCGTTGATGACCTTGTGATGTGCCAAGATCATTAGCAAAGAACTGAACTGAATACCTCTGTCTGGATCACTCGACACAAGCACCTCCTCATAAAAAGTGTTCATGCGCGCCCTCCTGCGACGTATCTCCAGAACGGGGAGTTGTGCAAGGCAGCGGTTGAGTTTGTCAATGTCGATATCAGGTGATTGCTCGCGCCCTCCGAGGTTGAGATTCGATGCACGACGCGATGTTGTCGCACACTCTTCGATCAGTCTGCCAACGGTGAAGTCACCATCGTAAATTCGCATCTCAAAAACTCCAGAAAGTTCCTGCAAGTGTCAGCGTAGTGTTGCTGCGAGGCGCCAGGTCTACTTACACCCAAAAGTCTCGGAAAGACGTCCCTTGAGATATAGCCGGTCCCGTTAGGATCGAACTCAGCCCAGGCTTGCTTGAATCGTCTGACCTCTTCGCGGCTGATGACAGATAGCCCACTGCTCCGCTGGTAGACGTAACTAAAACTTTCGTAGATTAACGACACGAAAAGGTTGACAAAAATGTACATGCTGAGGATATTCCAGCTGATGAAGAGCGCTCGCGCCCACTCAGGACTACCACAGTCGCTTTCGAAGTACAGTTCGCCTTCTGTGCAGTATGGCTTATCGACGTTGGCGTAGTCTTCCATGAGCTCGTTCCAGCCCTCACCCATACTCATGGAGAATAGGAAGATGAGTGCTTTGGGCACTGTTCGAAAGTTCTGGTTGGCAGTCTCGTTCGCACCAAATCGGGTGAGACCGAACGTTTGTGTGAGGGCGATAGAGTAGACAAGGAATAGAACAAACCATGTAGCAAGCAAGTTCGCGATTGCCGCCAGACTTGCCGCTGCGGTCTTGAAGAGCTGGTCGAGCTGGTTGTTGCGAGGAATGAGCATGAGCGCGATGGACACCAAAAACAGCTTGTGCAGTTGAATGAACACTCTCTCCTCGCGCTTGGCAAGGATTAGAATGGAAGTCACAAATGTACCGGAGACGGAGAAAATGGAATAAACATCCCAGGAGCCTCTGCGAAAACGGTGCCATGTGAGACCAATAATGCGAATGACCACATTGGAAATGAACACACAAGTCAGCGCGAGGAAGATGTAGTCTGCAGAGTCGTCAGCGAGGTTCGAGCAGTAGGGAACGGTCATCTTACCTCTTGTGTGGTCCCATGCTCCGTAGCCTGGATACCATTCCAAACAAAGCAGAAGCAGATGAAGGAGCAGCACTCCAGTGATGAAACGTTGCCAGTTGCCAGTCTTGCGAACAGCGCGATGATAACACCATTCTTCCCAAGACTCACGCTGTCTTGTGGAAGAAGGGCGCTTCGAGGGTGAGACTTGTCGAAGTAGCTTGCGCAATTCCAGCCAAGAACGTTGGTCTGTGGTAAGGAAAGCTACTCCAGTTTGTTCCGTGTAGTTGCGCATGAATACAGAGATGAAGAGCGTCAGAACAAAGACCGCACCGAGCAAGTTAAAGATGATGAAGAACACGCCATTGCCCCTGCGGTTGAAGTCCTCGGGCTGGGTGTTGATACCGGTTATAGCCATACTTGCGAATAATACGTCTGTCCAGCCTTCCTGAGATACAATCTGGAAGAGAATGAACAGTGAGTTGCCAAAGTTGTCGAAGTCGAAGTACGGATTGGCAGCTTGGCGCGGTGCGAGAACGTCCCAGTCGAATGGCGAGCTGTTGTACTCTCCGACGCAATCTTTCAGGTTGGTGGAGCCGAAGTCATCGTCGTTACAGGTCTGAAATTGTCCAATGAAGAGATTCAGTCCGTAAATGGCGAACGGGATCAGCAGGCTGAGAGACACGAATGCAGCCTGTACGAGTTAGCAAAGCAACATCGCGACAACGGTGCAAACCTACCGAGAAGAGCTTCCACCATCCCCGCACTATAAGTGAATGGAAGTGATCGCGGGTGCTGTCGCTGACGTTGAGTAGTCGAAGCGCCCGGAGAGCCTTGAACGCACCGACCGTTCTCGTGATTTGTCCCTCGTTCAGTAGCGATGTGGCGACATTGACCCACAGTGTGACCAACACAACACCATCGATGAAGCCCCATGAGCCACGGAAGTAGGCATTGGGCGTCCAGAAGAAGCCATCAGCGATTACTTTGACGAGCGCTTCGAAAGTGAATAGAATGGCGAAGCCCATATCGGTCCAAACGAACCAGTTCCTGACACTGAATTCGTGGGTCGTGAAGTATTCGCGCTGATACAGGGGCGTAGTGATACAGGCCAGCAGCACCATGGCGATGATCGCAGCGTATACAAATGCCGAGAACGCATACCAGATTGGGACCGAGGGGGCTAACCCCTCAATGCGATCGCCGCCACGACCGGGTCCCACAACTCGCTGACAGAGCCTCCGGATGGGATTGCTAGGTCTGAACAGGAACAACGAGACGTTGTACTCAGGGTGATTTCGCAAGTACTCTCGTTGAGCCTTCTTACGCCTCTCTGTAGCTGATACCACTTCCTTGGCCATCTTCCTTGGATCAACATCTTCGTATGCGCGACCATAGTCGAGAGGAGCATAGAAGGGGTTTGGCTCTCTGTGGACTGTCCTGCGCAAAAGCCGTTGCCAGAAAGTGGACATGGCACCCGAACCAACAATCGTCTTCGATGGGCGAATGCCGGGTCGAGGTTCCTCTTCGTGGGGCGATGCAGCCTCATCGCCTTCGTCAAGGAAGTCGCGCACGACAGCATCCTTGAGTAGCATCTCAGCTGCGGCAGAGCCGTAATCAAGCGGATCCCTGCGATTGGCGTGGCCGAGCTTGAATATGGACGAAAGCGACAAGTTGCTTTTGGAATTAGCTAGTGCCTAAGCATTTGTCTGTTGTTCACTCACCCGTATGACGAATTCAGCCCGTCCTCTTTCTGTTGGAGGAAGGCCTTGACCTGCTGAAGTCGTTTCTCGTCTTCCGATACATCAAAATTTTCTTGAATGACAGCAATGAACATATTCAAGACGATGACTGGACCGCATTAGCTGTGCCCACAAGAGTCGGACAATACTCACAATTGGCGAAGATGAACCAGAGAATGCAGAACGAGGCTCCGATCCAGGCGGTACCGAAATCCTTCTGGTAGCCCGTCACGGTGTACATGATCTCTGTCCAGTTTTCACTGGAGAAGATGATGTACATACCGATGAACGAGTTCCAGATGTCGTTGAATGGTACCCGAATCGTTTCGCCGTCAGCTTCCTCGGGTATTTCGCCTCGAAAGAGCTGAGATGCGAAGATTGATGCAAGGAAGGTGAGGAGGAACACGAAGACGATCAAATTGAGTAGACCGCTGACATTGCCAAATACGATCATCCGGGAGGGCGTTAGCAATGTTGACAGGAAAGACAGAAAAACTTACAATGAGATCTCGCGTGACGGGAACAGCCAGGACAACGCGGTAGACTCGCATGATCTGAAAAATGCTCAGCCATGCATAGGCTCGCCCGTCATGAGCTTCCTTAACCGCCGGGATCTGAATGACGGTGGTGATGATTGCAATCATGAAATCAGCGATGTTGCGCCTGCTCCTGAAGAAATGCCGCCAGTCTACGATGAACCGAACGATAATCTCTACAAGTAGCACAAGAGTGACAATGATCTCGGTCACGTCGATGAAATCGCGCCGAAAATCGCTCATGCTAGCGCTTTTCATCATCTGAGCAACGAGACCGAAGGAGATGATGAGGACCCATACTCCAGATGTCTTGTCGTACATACGCTTCAGACTGCTGACGCGCTGGTTAGCTTGGTCTTTCTCCGCGTCTCCATCGATTTGTTCGCCAGTGAAAGCGCTCGTCTTGCTCTCTTCACGGATGATCTGAAACGTCGAGGTGATGACGGCAATGAGGAGCGATATGAGCCACAGACTGAGAACAAGGATGCCCACGATGAAGAAAAGAGAGCTGACAAGATAGTCCGTATCTGCCACGGTGTAGAGCAGATCAGACCAGGTATTCGATGACATGACGACGAAGACCAGCTCCAAAGACTGCAGGACGTTGTCGAAATTTTGGGTGCCGTTGAAGGGATTGTCGTCCTCGACACAAATGGAGTTCACCGGACACAAGAAGCCTTTGCCCGTCTCAGGACCGGCGGGCCTTCCTGGAGCGGCTTGATAGCCCTGTGAGACAAGGGTCCCCGATTGGTTGACTAATTGCCCACCACAGAACTGACCTGAGTTGGTGAATGTTTGAGTTGGGTCATCTGGGTCGGTCCAGACACAGTTTCTTCGGAGACTAGACTTGAAACTCTGGACTCCAACGATTGCGAACAGTAACCAGAAGAAACCAATCAAGAACGCTACATTCAGCAAAAGGGGCGCTGCTTTCTTCAAACTTCTCAGGATGACCTGCATTCAAGTCAGTAGTGAAATGCATCAAAGTGAACCGAAACTCACCGAAGTACCACTTGTCAGGTTCAGAAGTCGAATGATACGTAGACAGCTCAACATTTGAAATACCAAAATGACCCGAGTATTCTTGATGTGGAGCGCACCCAATACGAAAGCGATCCAAAATGAGACTACCGCCACAAAATCAGTTCGGTTGAAGGAATGCCTCAAATAAGCTCGATGTGCCAAGCGAACACGTTGCCGTTCACGTGGGTCGCTCGGTCCAAGATCAGGATGCATCTGAGCAGTCGTGAAGGTCCGGAGCACCGAGGGCTGCTGAGGGCCACCCAGGGTCGAATCGGTGTTGGTACCACCTCTTCTCTGGGATGGCTGTCGTTGAGGACCACCGAATAACTGGTTGGCTTTGATGACAACAGCCTCTCGCAGGCCCACTTGTCTGTTGATGGTACTGTACTCGACCGGGTTGATGATGAATCCAGAGACAATGATTCGAATGATGGCTTCGATAGTGTATACGATGAACAAGCCAAGCAGGACCCAGTCAATGATCGAGAACTTGTCCAACTCCTTAACATGGCCAGGTTCGTATTCTGCCTTGCTCCTAGCATCGACAGCCAGCAGAACAGTCTGTACGACGATGAGGACAAGAAGAATTGGTTCAGTGACAGGATTCACAAGAACATCGCTCAACTTCATCCGTATTGAACTGTCGGCAGGGAAGATGCCCAGACTCTTGCCACGGAACGGGTTTGCCGGCCTATGCCATTGCGCACTCGACCTGCGAGAGCGTACAATAGGTGTCGGCGGTTTCTCGATTGGGGTCGTTGGCCCTGGTGATGAAGGGCCATCGGCCATGTATGTAGGCAATGCAGTCAACGAAGGAGGTCGATGCATGTGCGATTGATGCAGGGTGGACTTCCTCTGAATATGGAGCTCAGCAATTTCTGAGTCGTTGCCGACGTTGACAACACGCTGAGACATGTTCCGGACGATGGTTCCGGCGCGAGCCAGCGGCGACCCCAAGTTGCCGGGAGAGAGCGAACGGGCCCTGCTTCGCGCTGGACTCAGACCTGTCGCACTTTCCGCCTGGGCAACATCGCCACTGTACCTCCCTCCTGGTGATGTGCCGCCAGGGCTCAGGAACTGCACGCTCTGGAAGCTTGAGCGATCTACGGAACCAGGTGATGTGTTGTTTGCAGCGCCACTAATAGGTTGCAGGTGCCGGGTGTCTGTCAAGCGTGCCGTATCGTCGTCCATGTCCACAGAAGCAAAGTAGCCATGGTCCTCAGACGGCCCTCTTTGCGCATAAAGATCGCGGTTGTACGGGCTGTAATCCTTTGTGGACCCCGGTGTTCGTACTATAGGCGACAGCGGCGGTGACGTGTCCCCCTGGAAGTTCATGTCCATACCAAATCCTATGGCGGACTGGAACGCGCCTGCGTCTATAGGCGAGTCTGCTCCATCGTCCTCGACCCTCCGTATTCCACCACGCCCAGCTGCGGCGCTCGTATCCAGCTGAGGCCGCCGCGTCGGGCTTGGCGACACTTCAGCTATGGGCGCATACTCTGGCGACCTCTGCTGGCCCGTCGCCAGGCCTCCCGTCTGCCTGAGCAGGTTGCGCCCTCGGTCACTCAGGGTGCGGCGGTGCTGGTACGGCGCGGGCGCGGCATCCTCGTCCGGCGGGCGATTTAGGTCCTGCAGCGGTATCGATTGACGCGTCTGGCTTCGGCGGTGATTGTGGTCGGGGTCGGGGTAGGACATTAGAGCTTCGGGGGCGGGTGCGCAGCTCTCAAATGTGCATCTGTGCGCTCTTCAGCTGCAAACACTGTCGCATGCACATGAAGATGATGAATGGCGGAACAGCGAGCGTGGCGGCGGTAGCAGTGCTGGGACGACGACGGCGTGGGTATGCGCAGATCCCCGGAAGGTCTGTAGGTGCGTGTATTAGGTGTGGAGGTCTGTTAGAAGGAGAAATGCGAAGAACGATGCGGATGCGGGAGTCCGGCTTATGCCAGCTCGGTGTGGACACCCGGGCACAGGGTCGCGAGTGCTAAATAAAGGCTATCCCGCGAGGGCTTGCGTGGAACGTGTTTAGCTCAACGCTCACAGCTGTCACCCTGGACTTGGAGCCGCTGGAACACAGCAAGATGTCGAAGCAGCCGACGTATTCGCGGTACGTCCACGTATACAATGACGCACCGTGGAGCACATGCTGCTCTGTTCGTGGTGACACGAGCGCCGGTGCAGCTCAGCCTCCCACCGTTCCTCGTTGGGGCCGATGCTCTTCTCACGGATCTCGGCTGGGCAGCTGCACGTGTTTCAGCCACACCTCCAGCACGCTTTGACAGCCTTGCCCAGGCTACGGCGGACCTGTCCATCAGTCCATCACAGCCTTGGAGGCCTTTCAGCTCCACCGTCTCGCGTAGCTTAGCCCGCTGTTCTCTGTCTCTCCATTGACCATGACGAAACCATGTTTCCGTGGGTTCCACGCAGGACGGTGGTCTGCAAGCTCCCAGCCATCTGGCGGCTCGGTGCAAGATAGCCGCGACGACCCAGGACCCTCCATTATTAGAGCAGCGAGTCTGTGCGAAAAGTGACCATTGTGATGGCGATCTGCCGCCGACCGTGACGTTACTTCGTAAGGCAGGGAGATTCCGAGAGTCCGCGCTTGCCGCTTCAGGCTATTACCGAGTTTGGGCTCCGCAGATTCCACGACGCGCCTTCCTATGTACACCACTGCACGCCTTTCACGCCCACCACATCGCCGCACACCCCCTGTTCACGTGCCATTTTTGGGCTCAACATATCTTCGACACCATCCACAACACCCCAGTTGCGGCCCTTGCCACCGCTTGCGCCCGATACGCGCTCTCCACACGCGTCGCCCACGGCACGCTCCACCACGATGCCTGCCCGCAAGCGCGCCGCGAGCGACATGGAGGTGGAGGAGCCCGTCGAGACACCGAGCACGCTACAAAAGCTGCGTAATATGTGGCAGTTCGCAAACCTCGCACAGTACATCTCTCTGTTCGGCGACGCAGTAAAGATTGACAAAGACTTGGACATCGAGGTATGCCTGCTTTGCGCCAGACACTTCTGTCGATGCGCCGGACCTGATTCTGATGGAACAAACACTGATTACGATGCAGGAGCTGGAGTCCGAGTGCCTAAAGCCCGGGCCGTCAGAAAAGCTTGCACAGCTCGGGCTGGCGCTTTTGAAGCATGTGTCGTCGCACAAGGGCCTAACGTATGCAGCCCACATACCCTCCACATGTGCACGTCTGACCCAGCCTAGACCAGCCATCTTCGACGAATACGCGCGCCGCCAGTTTGTCGCCAAAGCGCCCGAGCGCAATCCCTTCGGTGAAGAAGAGGACCCCAACAGGTTTGACGACTTCGACGTCTGCACCAAGATCCGCGTGCTGCAACAGCTCTCAACATGGACGTTGAACAACCCCAACTCGATACGGGAGAGGCTAGCAGCTCCAGATAGCGAGCAAGCACTATGGGTAAGCCCGAGCAATCAAATCGCACATAGTGCGCAATGGCTAATCGAGCATCTCAGCGCATGGAGCCAACCGGCTGGGACAAGGAAGAAAGAGCCCTCTTCGTCCTGGACGACAATCGCATGTATCGCCGAACCGAACCTGCCCCGCCCGCCCCTCCACAGAAAGCCAAAGCCAAAGCCAAGTCCAAGCCAAAGGCGAAGCCACGAGGGACCCGCACCAGCAAGCGCCAAAAACAATCATCCCCGGAGTCTGAAGAGGAGCTCGAGGAAGAGGAGAATGCTGTGGCCGTTCAAGAGCCTGAAGTGGTCGAAGACGATGGGTTTGGTGGCATGAAGTGGGAATGCCTCTGCATCACACTGGAGGACTACCGCGACTACCTCAGCAGCATACGCAAAAGCCGTGACCTCAATGAGAAGACACTTTACAAGCGCATTGAAGAGGATGTAATACCAGTACTGGAAGGGCTAGCTGAAGAGCAGGAACGGAAACAAGCTCGCAAAGCCAAGGAACTCGAGAACCTTCAGAAACTCGCCACGGCGAAACGGTCGTCTCGCATCTCAGCCAGGGTCGAGAAGCAGAAGGAGGTCGAAGAGGTCGAAGCTGCGGAACGCAGGAGGCGGGAAGAGCTTGCTAGGGCCAAAGCCGAGCAAGCGAAGCAGAAGAAGTTTGAAGAGGTAAGTCAATACGGCTGGGCTAATGTATTAGAGCTAATACGGCGCAGGCGCACGACTCCCGCCGAATGACACGAGAGCAGCGACTACGCGAGCGCGAGACCGCAAAGATTCTCAAGGAAGAGGAGCTCCGCAAACTCCAAGAGAACGAGCAGAAGCTGGCTTCCAACAATGCTCGCCTATCCGAGAGACATCTCAAGGCCATGATGAAGCAGCACGAAGCGGATCTCAAGAGGCTCAACGAGGAAGAAGACTGGTTCTTTGACTGCGAGAAGTGCGGTGTCTATGGGTCGAATCTTAACGACAATTCGCCTCAAGTCTCATGCGAGACGTGCAACGTCTGGCAGCATGTCAAGTGCCATGGTATCTCGGAAGAGGATGTTGAGGATTCCAAATTCGAGTTTATCTGCACTTCTTGCAAGCGCAAAGAGGAGGAAGCCAGCCAGCCCAAATTGCCACCGCTTAAGTTGCGACTGACATCGGCATCGCCAGCTTCGCAACCAAACGGTGAAGGATCTCTAGGCTTGACACGCCGTCTCGACTCTGTCTCAATACCTGCGCCTCGGCACGGTCCGGCACAGACTCAACAACCTCACTTCCAACCTGCACAGCCTTGGGTAGATGGACCCAGCCTGTCTCCGCGTGGTCAGGCTCTTGGTCCTCCTGGCATCCAAAACTCAGAAGCTGCTTACGGGTCGTCGTCTCGTCTACCGGATCTCAACTCATCCCCCATTCGACAGCGTCCAGCCTCATCGTCGCGGCCCGCAGAAAGCTCATTCCGATCACACGGTCTCGGTTCGTCCCCACCGCCTTTCAACCTTCCGCCGGCGCCCACAAGTCCATTTAAGAGCATACGAATGCCCCTTCCTCAACAGAATGGTAGTTCGTTCGGTCTACCCAATCCATTCGGGCCATCACAGCATACGCCTGTCGCTCAGACCTTCAATCAAAGCTTCAGCCAGAGCTTCAGCCGACCGGGTACAGCTGCTGGGCCTGCAGGTTCGCCGGTAAAGCACTCGCCTGCGAACTCTCCCCGCCCAGCAAATGGCCTTCCGGTGGTGTACAACTTCAACAGCCCCCACTCTTCCTTTCCGCCCAGCTCCGCACAACGCCCCTCCTTCTCGCCCATCAAACACAGCTCGCCAGCGCCGATGCCACACATGTCGTCGCCCGCGCCCGCGCCCGCGCCTGTCCGTATCGCTCCATCGCCTTCGCAGATGCCAGCGCAAATATTGCCTGACGCCATCCCTGCACCACTCAAGCACGATGGTGCAAGGCCAATGAGCAGCCACGAGATGAGTGAGACGCCTATTTTCCCGCCGATCAAGAGCTTGAATCCGGATGCGAGCCCCCAAATCCTGAGTCCGCCGGTCAAGAAGAGCAGTCCTTCGCCTGACAGGCATCGTTTGGCGCCGGTTGGTGAGCATGGATTTGGACATGGACTACCTCACCCGGCCAAGTGAGCGGATAGCATGTTAGCTTTCTCGTCTTCCATTCGGAGTTTTTTTGATGTTTCAGAGCTTTGTTCTGCGCAGTCTGGATTACTGTTTGCAAGCGCAACGAGGCGTTACTGGATGGTGGCCGAAATACTTTTAGGTTCTGCATGCATGGTATTTTAGATTGCTAAAGTAAGCGGGCGGGTGGTGCTTGGAGGTGCGGTGAGCTGCGCCTTTGATTCTTGTTACGTGTATTACTACATTGAAGATATACGATGAAGTAATTATTTACCTCCGTTGTGCGAATACTTTGACCATCCACCGGCTGCACACTTGACTTGATGACCATAGCATAGACATCAAGGTGTCTTTTGGTCGGGTTTCTTTTCGGATTGTAGAGAATGAAGGTAATAATGATGTCGATGTTAATGCGTAAACGCGGGGAAGAATCTTCCTCCGGCAAGCAACGACTGGCTCAGACGACTTTCCGATTACCATAGGGCGAGGCTTACAAATCCAAGTAGAGCACCATAAATACCAGCCCTCAATTGTAACCAAGCTTTGTGAACTCTAGTTACCAAAGCAAGCCCTGTGTACTTCACGATGGCTTCGCCTCAACTCTACACCATATCCGTCCCAGATGCCGCGATCGAGAAGCTGAAGCGAAAGCTCGCAGACGCCGACTTTCCAGACGAGCTCGATGCACCAACACAATGGCCCTACGGCTCTCCTTTGGCAGATGTTAAACGTCTCGCCAAACACTGGGAGACCAAGTTCTCGTGGCGCGACGTCGAAGCCAAGCTAAACGAACTACCCAACTATCGCCAAAGCATCAAGGTGGACAACTTCGATCCTATCGATCTGCACTTTCTCTGGAAGAAGAACTCGAACCCAAATGCGATCCCATTGCTGTTCGTCCACGGCTGGCCAGGCTCATTCTTAGAGGTCACCAAAATGCTCCCACTCCTCGAGCAAGGCGAAAAAGACGGTGGTCCCGCATTCCACATCATCGCCCCTTCGCTCCCAAATTTCGGCTTCAGCAGTCGCGTCACAAAGCCCGGGTTCGCACTCTCGCAGTACGCAGAGACGTGTCACCGCCTGATGCTGCACTTGGGCTACCACAATTACGTGACGCAAGGCGGAGACTGGGGATTCTACATCACCCGCGTCATGGGCGTGTTGTACCCAGACCACGTCCTGGCAAGCCATATCAACATGATTAGAGCGCAGCCACCGAGCCTCGCGTCTCAGCCTGCGCTGGCGCTGCAGCATGCGTTGACGCCGTACACCGAGGCAGAACAGAGGGGCATCGAGCGCTCCGACTGGTTCATCGATCAGGGGCAGGCGTATCGCATTTTGCAGGCGACGAAGCCGCAGACGCTGTCGTATGCGTTTGCGGATAGTCCTGTTGCGCTGCTGGCTTGGATCTACGAGAAGCTGCACGATTGGACGGATGACTATCCGTGGACCGACGACGAGATATTGACGTGGATCAGCATCTACTGGTTCAGCACGAGTGGGCCCAACGCACATGTCAGGATCTACTACGAGGCGCAGCACAATGCGACAGAGCAGGTGCCCAACAGAGATCGTGCGAGCCAATGGGTCGGTAAGGTGAAGCTGGGTCTCGCGCACTTCCCGAAGGAGTTATCAGTGATACCGAGGATCTGGGGCAAGACTCTCGGTGAGTATCTGAATCCAGCATACTGGGCACAATTTTGTTCTCGTGCTAATCGACCGCAGGTCACATTGTGCTCGAAAGCACGAATGACAAGGGAGGGCATTTCGCTGCTTGGGAGAGGCCGGATGCCATCGTTAGGGACCTGCAGGATATGTTTGGGAAGAAGGGAGAGTGCTACAAGATAGTGCCTGGCAAGAGTGGCTTTTGATGAACAGGGAGGGAAACGGATGCAATGAAATTGTGGTTTTGTTTGGCTCCGGTCTATCGTTTTCAAATATCTCATGACACGCTTAGTCGCAGATAATTTGCTTGGTGCATGTCACTGATTGGAAGAGTACTGTGTGACATCGGATTCGTGGATACATACAATTGGTGTGTGAAAAGTAAGGTCAATAGACCCGAAGGACACTGCCCCATGCGGCAATATATCAGATGATATGTGGTGTCTCAAACGTCCACAAACGTCCAACCCACGGCGTCAACGTGCTCATCCATTGGTAGCACGGAAAGCGTACAAGACAGTCTCATACAGCCCCTCCGGTCCTGGGGTAATCTCAGTCGACGAAGCGCCCCTCTCTCCAACCCAAAGCCTCCCCACTCTCTCGATCTCCGCCACAAACGAAGATCTGCATGTGGACCAGTCGGTGGCAGGCTCTGCAAACGGGAGCATGAAGAACCGCATCTCGACCTCGAACACCTCCAGCCTGGTCACGCACTCCTCCAGGTGCTTCAAGTCGAGGCTCCAGCCCAACTCGCAACGCGTCGTGAAGCAAGTAACTCAACATAGCCGTAGCTCAGTTTTCAGTCGGAGAGTATGGACTGTGTTGGAGACATCTAAGCGCCGCGCGAGCACAGCGATGTATTGTATGTCGAGGTCCTCGTCGAGAGTGAACGTGGCGCCTGGACTCCTCCATCGCACGCCGTTCGTCCAGATGGTCAGTACGCCAGCCGCGGTAGGATCCAAGATGCTCATCCCTGTTGTCGGGAATCGGCTTGGTAGCTGTTCTGCGTGCTGCGGTCTCACGGTCCCACGGTCCACGAAGACGAGTGCTGTAACTCCGCCAGTCCTTCGTGAAGGATCGACTTGCGTGTGCGCAGCCAGACGGGTAGGGGTAAGGCTTGAGAGGCTGGTCGGCTTGAAGCTTGATCCGTTGCGTTTGATCGGAGTAGTAGCTGCATGTCTATGCCCTTGTACTTAGCGCTGACCTTGGGTGTGAATCTCCATAGCTCATGGTATACGATATCGCGGAGTTCGCGCGGTAGAGACTCGAAGCGGGAGTTGACCGATGCAGGAGCAGTCGCAGTCCGTGTATGCATAGTGTGTGCGTTGTATTCTGGTGAAATGCAGGCCATGTTGGATGAGCTCTTTGCCTCGGTGGCACCTGGGTGTGTCTGTCTGCTGGCCACGGACTCCAGGTTTGGAGCGGATGCCTTCCGTGGTACTGTGAGAAGTGCAGCACTGCGACTTAAGTAGGGCGTGCAAAGGTTGATGAAGTGAAAGCAGGAACCGTGCTGTACCAAAGGACGCCATGTGTTCTTGTGAAATCGTGAGAACCTAGGGTCACGTAGACCCTGCCCAGAATTTCCTATAGGCAACCGAACATTAGGAATTAATGTCGAATAATACTGGGTGTAGAAAATGAGCAGCAGTCTATATCGACTCAGGAAGGGAAGTATCGTCATCACACTCATAGCTACCACCTGCTACAGCCAAGACAACAGCGTTTAAGTTGCGCCGCCAGCAGCCGAAAGCCTAACAGGCCCACGCATTGTAGTCTTCATGCAGAGCGTCTAGGTCATGACCTGTGACGAACATCTTGCTGAGTCTACCAGTGATGTTGCGTGCAGTCAAGGTTGGAATCAGAGTTCGTGCCCTTTGCGTGCGAGGCGTGTTAGAATCTTCTTCCTCAAGCGACCAGCAAGCCAGAAGCGTCAATGAAAAAGTGAAGGCCTGTCAGATTGTCATCTGCGTCCTGCCGTCTAGCGCGACCGAAGTACGCAGCCAGTTGGCTGAAGATCATCGCCACACTCGCCGAAGCAAATGCAATAAGGCCTCACTCCGGGACAAAGAGACTGAAAGTCATCAACCAGGTTGGAGAATCTGTGGCTTCTGTAGGAAGCTCAGAAGAGGACGATTTCTATAGAAATGATTCTATGAAGTACTGCTAGGGGTTAGTAGTGATCAAACAACAATATAGGTTGGGAAATGACATACTCGTCGAACATGAAGAAGAGAAGAGGCTGCGCGGGCGGGCGGATTCTTATAGGCATGCTCGGCACGGCAGAAACGTTTCGCCGGCCGAAGAATTACCGGCGCATGGTCAAAGCGGCCGAAGCCGCAACTGCAGGAATATCGCAGTGAGTGGGGCGCGAGGCTGCGGGGCATCATGACATCGGTGAAGTGAACTGGGAGGTATTTACTTAGATCTGCAATGTTATGCATTTTTTATGCAACATGTCGAAATGCACATGATACGGGATGAGGCTCTGCGACTTGCGAGCTCCTACGACTCGTAGCGCCGAAGTCGTCGTTCCAGCAACTACGCGCAAGACCGCGGGGTACTCTCGCAGAGGCAGTACCGAGGAGTAACTGGAGGCATTTGAGGAATGTTTGACTTGCGACTTGGATCTAACAATAGATAGCATCCCCAAATGCAGTCCAATGTATGGGTCTACCCGGCTGCGTGCTCTTATTTGCCGCTTTCAGAGGTCAAGACCAAGTTCTTGAGTCAGTGCGATTCCGGAGCTCACCAACAACTTTTCTTCGAGAACCCCACGGGGATTTGATCACTACACATCCTCTGCTATTGATGCTCTGACAGCGTCATCAGCCTCATATATTCTTTGTACTGTTACGTCACGTTTTTATACACCAATCGCCAGTATGTCAACACATACAGCATCGCAGCGCTACCTGAGTACCCGCGGAGGGTCCTACGATGTGAGCGCGCCGGCGCATTCGGCTTTCCTCGACGACTCGTACTGACAACATCAGTTCTCTTTCGAGGAAGTCGTGCTCAAGGGTCTTGCCTCCGACGGCGGTCTCTTCATCCCCGAAGAGATCCCTACCCTTCCCGACGACTGGGCGTCCAAGTGGCAGAACCTGTCCTTTGAGGGTCTTGCATATGAGATCTTCTCCCGCTACATCTCCGCCTCCGAGATCCCCACCGCCGACCTGAAAGACATCATCCACCGCAGCTATTCCACATTCCGCGCCAAGGACGTCACGCCGATCGTCACACTCGACAACGAGAAGAACATTCACCTGCTCGAGCTGTTCCACGGCCCTACGTTTGCCTTCAAGGATGTTGCTCTCCAGTTTCTGGGAAATCTCTTCGAATACTTCCTAGTGCGCAGGAATCAGAACAAGTCAGGCCGCGACAGGGAACACCTGACAGTCATTGGCGCAACAAGTGGTGACACCGGCTCAGCTGCCATCTACGGTCTGCGCGGCAAGAAGGATGTCTCCGTTTTCATCATGCACCCTGAGGGCAAGGTCAGCCCTGTCCAGGAGGCTCAAATGACTACTGTCCTCGACGCCAATGTCCACAACTTGGCTGTCGACGGCACATTCGACGACTGCCAGGTACGTCCAGATCTACACGCTTTGGAAGACCCAGCTAACATTCGCGCAGGACTTTGTCAAGGCTTTGTTCGCTGACCCCGAGATCAACAAGACTCACCGCCTCGCTGCTGTCAACTCCATCAACTGGGCGCGCATCCTTGCCCAGATCACATACTACTTCCACGCCTACTTCACCCTCATAAAGTCAGATTCTTTCCTGCCCGCATCCACCGTCCGCTTCGTCGTGCCCACGGGCAACTTCGGTGACATCCTCGCCGGATACTTCGCAAAGCGCATGGGTCTGCCCGCCGAGAAGCTAGTCATTGCGACAAATGAGAACGATATCCTCCCCCGCTTCTGGGAGTCTGGAAGGTACGAAAAGCACAAAGTACACGGCAAGCAAGCTGAGGGCGGTCTGGTCGAAGACGGCGTCAAGGCGCACGAAGACGGTGTCAAGGAGACTCTCAGCCCGGCTATGGACATCCTTGTTTCGTCTAACTTCGAGCGTTTGCTCTGGTTCCTCGCCTACGACGTATATAGCACATCATCAGATGCTATTCAGCAGCGACGCAGCCAGGCCGGCGATCACGTCCGCCAATGGCTGAACGACCTCAAGACCAACGGCGGTTTCGCGGTCGATTCGCAGATCCTCCAGAAGGCTCAGTCCGACTTCGCTTCGTACCGTGTCAGCGACGAGGAGACTGTCGAGACCATCAAGTACGTCTTCAATGCCGGCCCGTCGAAGAGCTACGTTCTTGATCCTCACTCCGCCATCGGTATCGCCGCGGCTCTTCGCTCCGCCGAGGTCGCAAAGCCTCCTTCCACACACCACATCGCACTCGCGACAGCGCACCCTGCCAAGTTCGCAAACGCTGTCGAGTTGGCGCTTCCAGAGCAGAAAGAGTACTTCCAGGAGAAGGTCCTACCCGTTGAGTTCAAGGGGCTTGAGGACAAGCCCAGGAGAGTCAGCCATGCCAAGAAGTCAGAAGGCTGGCAAGGCGTGCGCAAGATCGTCGTGGCCGAGGTTGAGGCTGAGTTACAAGCTGCTGAACAGGGCCAGTAAATGTTGATATGATGACGATTTGCATGTGATAGACGCGCTCCTGCATATTGGATATACCGTTACACCAGGAAAATATAGACTTTCTTCCGTCCGATTTCCCTTCACAAAGAGCCCATATCTTGCATCGTGAGGTTTCAGGCGAAGTCAGGAGCGGCTTCTTCCCCAGAAGACGCTCATACAATCATGAGGCTGAGAGCTCCAAGCCCCACACACAAGCTCCGCGCTGCACCCCACCATCCCGCATCTTCAACACTTCCGACATCCACACCTCTCGCTCAAGAACAACAGCCAACATGGCAACAATCACAGAGACCTCAACATTCCAATTCCCACCGCACTACTCCTTCCCGCCCTTCTTCACCCTCCAACCCGTCGCCACAACGCGCTCCTCCCAACTCCAATCCTGGTCAACATTCATCCAATCTTACTGCCGACACCACCGCAACTTCTCGCTCTCGCTCATCGACGCGCTCTCTACGCCCCTCTTCCACAACACAACACTCTCCCGGCAACTCTCGCTGCGCGACGCCAAAGCAATCCTGACATGGATGGCATCCCCCGAGGGCGGGCAGCGCGCGGAATTCATATCCTCTGGCTCCAAGAAGAAAGCTGTTGATGAGGGCGAGGGCGGGCGCGTGTGGGTCTACTGGCGCAGACCGGAGGAGTGGGCACAGCAGTTGGAGGATTGGGTCGATCGGACGGGGCAGAAGGGCGTGGTGCTTACGCTGTATGAGATTGTGGAGGGAGAGGCGAGTACACGCGAGGAATTTGCGGGGATGGATATGGATTTGCTGAGGACGAGTTTGGGGGTTTGTGTTAAGAGGGGGAAGGCACAGATCTTCAGCAGTGGGGGCGAGGGCGAGGGTGTGAAGTTTTTCTAGAGAGGAATGACGAGCGTGTTCTTTTGAAGAGAAGGTCGGACATCTGCTGGAGCACGGCGTTTAGGTTGGGAATACCCGGGAAAGAGCGATGGATTATATTTGCATCTGCATCGCGAGGCTGTTATCAGCGTCGATACAACTATCAATACGAACACATCAATGTCCTCCTTCCAGAATCCTCAAATATCGCTGGCTGCTCATTGGTCCAAAAAACCGCTTGTACGCTGTCCCGAACCCAATGCCTGTGCCTGAACGCCTGTCTCTCTGCTCGCTATTAGCAAAGGCTCAAAGATGCATTCATGACTTCGCTGCCTTGACTACCTCCTCGGTCAACTCCCATTCCGGCTTCCAATGCACGTACTGCGCCATAGCATTAATGAGCAGCCACTCGGTCTTCACAATCCTCGGAGTCATATCGTGCCTCTTCGCCAGCTCGCGGAATTTGACCCAATTTGTGAACTCCTTGCTGTTAGCGTCGGATATGAGGTACAAGACGTCGCCCTCATCTTCTTTCTGGTTCTGACTCTCCTCGCCAGTGGTGGCGTTGACAAACCGTTTCGTCGCTGTGATGTTGGTGGTACGACCCTTCCATAGCGAGCACTTGCCGCCATTGGCCTCGATGATATCTTTGTACGTTTCAAAACCACCCGGCACCTTTTCCGTACAGAAGATCGTCCAGTCGCGGAAGAGACGATGCTTGTTCTGCAAGGCGCGTTCGATAGCGTCGGCCATCTTGAAGCCATGCTCTTTCTCAAATTCGCGACCGTCCATCGGGTGCTTCTCCGGTGGTGGAAGTTTATTGTTCTTCAGTGCAAGGTCCAGATATGATGATCCAACTAGAGCTGGCCCGCAAGCCATCGCTGCAACGAACTTCTTGGTACGTACAACGTTCGGTGCGCAGAGGATATCAACTTTCTTGAAGTCTTCTGTAATGAAAAGACCAAGCTCTCGTAACCGCGCTTTGTCTTTGGACTCCTTGTCCATGTTGCCAGCCCATCGCTCATCTTTCGATACCAGCATGCGGAACTTGATGGGCTCAAGTTTATCCTTCTTGACTCTCTTGTTTTTCGCCGGTGCCTCTGTCGCCTCGTCTTCGGTCTCGCCTTCCTGCTCGAGCTCGTCTACCGATCGTTTACTAGACACGGAGTCTCGCCCGCCTTTCGCTTTCTTCGTCCGATCCTCCACCTCGTCTTCTGCTCTTCGTTTTCCACCATGTATAACACCGCCTTTCCGCTTCATCTCCTTTTCGAAGGCTGCTATGTCACCCGCAGCGTTATGAAGCTTGGATAGTGCTCGGTCCTTGGCGCCTCGACTCCCAGGAGTCTGGTTCTCTTTCCCATCCTGGTTCCGTGCTGGTGTCTGAGCAGCATCTATCGTCTTTGTCATTTTGATCTTTACTGCTGCTGGAGAGCTGCGGGCGACCGAGTCACTAGCTGTCCTACTTAAAGGCACACTCTGGGCGATCGAGTCAGCCGGAGGCGCTGCTGGCGCCTTGGCTGGCTTCGCGGGTTTGCGCGCTGCGGAGAAGGACATCTTCTCGGTAGCATCGCGATCGATTTCGGTCTGACCCAGGATCTCTCCGAGGTTCGTTCGCGAAGGGAAGTAGGTGTAGCGGTTATCCGATATGGGCATGAGCTTGCACCTCGCGTAGCTGTCCTCCAGCCAGAGATGGTTGACAATGTTCACAGCCCACTCCTGTGCAGCATCGCATTTCTCACTGTTTTTGTGCGCCGCGACGAGATGTGTGTTGTCCTGCTTGAACGTCTTTGTGAACTCAGCACCGGTGGCGCGGACAAGATTCTCCAAATAGACACGAGCTTCGCCAGTGTAGCTGGATATGCTAATCTTGAAGTCCTCAAATCCGGGAATACCATTGCGCGGTCTGGGATAGTGCATCAGCCGCCGCATTGGGTTCGTCCAGGTATTGTGCGTTATTAGGTAATACAGCCAGCTGAGGTTGCCCACATCCTTCCCCTCTTGCGAAGCTTTGACATAGTCGTCCCCGTCTCGATAGGCGCAAACGTAGATGTCGGCATCTTTGACCTTCTCTGTCACTCCCCCGCCACCGTTTCTTATCATACCAGTTATGACGCCCCTCAGCCTGCTGTTAAGGTCCAGGTCCTCGCCCAACATGACTTTCTTCCCCAAAAACGCCTTTATCGCACGCGGTGCTTCAGATTGTGCTGACGGTGTCTGAGGGATGGGTTCGTTCAGCGGGTCTGGTGTAGTGGCATCGCGTATTTGTTGACTCGTCCGTGCTGCAGGGACGGTGCTGAGTTTAACGTTCAATACATCTGGATCTGGCAATGTGTACGGTCGTTCTGAGATTCTTCGACCGACTTTGAGGCAGTCATCGAACCAGTGTGGCAGCACAATCGTAAGACTCAGCCGCTTACTGATAGCCAGCTGACATCGGTTATCGTCGAGATCTAGCGAGATCAAGTGTGTCACTGTCTTGGAAAGCTGCTCTGTGAACTGCCCTCCCATTGCCAGCACTCCGCCCTGTATAGCCTCCTTGTCTCCAGTCGGCAGATTCGCGCAGCATATGATGACATCGCTCATGAAAAGCGCGGGATCAGGACTGAATGTGCGAGGATTCTTCGTCTTGTTCCCTTTCAAAGATTGGTCAATCCATGCCGGCTTCACAACGTGTTTCATAAGGTCGAGCGCGCGGTAGTAATCAGGGAAGTCGGACGTTCCAGATATGATGTAGTGGATTTCTTCGAGTCGATCAATACGACCCTTGGCGGCGTCGAATGGTATGATCGTGCCATTTGCGGCGGAAATGTCGTTTTGCAGCTTCGGACTATGTGAGTATGTCATGGCACATTGGCACGCGTTGCACTAACCTGTTTGATGCGGTTCTCGGACAAGCCGTTAGGTATGATCGTGAAGCTTGAGTCTCTGAAAAGCCCCTTGGAATCGTCCTGCATCGTTGTGTCGTCCATGACGGGCAGCCGTGGGGCGTGTGTTCCGTGTGCGCAAGGCGCGTCGTTGTTGTTCGGTCTGATGCGGCGCGTCCAAGGAAAGCGCGTACGCGACCGCGCTCCACGTGACAATGCCCCACTTTCTTCTTCACTGGCGGCCATGTCTCTCAGGTTTTGGATTCCGATATCCGATCATCGCAAAGAACTCACAAATAAAGTGCGCAACGAATACCATCGTCCTGGGCGTGGGAAGCCACAGCCCAACGGCTTCCCGAAGGCTCCAGATTCATCGACTCTTCGCACAGACCTTCGAGGGACTGACATTGCCTGCGTGCTATGTCGTGCTGTGACGAACGTTCGACATGGAATCATTCTTTATCGATATACCTGAGCTGGCCAGGTCGCTCCCAGCAACATATCGTGTCTCCTCTCGCGGAATGGAAGGAGTTCCATCCAAAGACTTATTGCGAGCCGACAACCTTTTTAGAGCGGATGCCAATGATCTCCAGTACTAAAGTGGTGGAAATCTCATAAATTTATCCAGACCGGCTTCGTTGATGGGGTGTGAGCAAGTCTGCGGCCATGGTACCGTCGTGAGTTCACTACACCTGACAAAGATGTGCAGGTCATAAAACATGCTGAAAGTATAAGGCATTTCGAATAAGACTATGGTGTCCCTTACTTTTTTTCTGTCCAGCCATCGGCTCATTCTCATTCATGCTACCATAGATATCCATCGCTATTTCATCCAACACCATATCTAGGGCTTTCGTTCTGTGGCCCTTGCGACCTTCACTAGCTCCTCGTTGGCCAACAACATCTATGTCTCTCCTACTGGCACAAGTACCGGATGCGCTTCTACGATTTCAGTTCAGTCAGCTGTAAACGCTGCTGCCGCCGGAGACACCGTGCTTCTTCGGGCAGGTGCTATAAGGTATGCCCTTTCCCCCTAGTTTCCGAGTAGTCGAGACAGGCTTCCAGCTTAAGGGTACATTCTCCAACAGTACAGTCTTCCACTTCGAAGCGTACCGCACCCGTGATCTCTGCAAGGACGGCGAGAGTGCAAACGACTTTATCTATAAGTCAGGCGAGGGCGAGGGCAATGTCTTGCGTTATGCCAGGCTATGGGGCAACGTCGACGATAGTCTTGACTGTGCACGTCCAGACCCCGGTAGCACTGGAGGAAGTTCATGCTCATGGCAATGGCTTCGACCGATGAGGGTTCTCCGACTTCAACGGTGATGCTAACAGGTTTAATTTCGGTAGTGCAGAGAAATCGCCCGCAAAACACATCGTGCGCAACTCGATGGCTTCCTCCAACGTGAAAAAGGGCTCCATCTACCACGACAGCCTGGGCGAGCTGACCGTGGAGCGCACCACAGCGTAAAACAATGGTGAAGTTGGTTTCAATTTTCGCAGCTCTTCCTCGGCTCTCAAGAAAAATATCGCCGCCGTCGGCAAGGTTCCTGCTCAGGTGACTCGTGTCCAACCATCAAGGCGTCCGGCAACCCATGACAGTCAGGCACCTGGCTATCCCAACGGCACTTTCAAGAGCGTGGATCCTGCTGAACTCAAGGGCTCGCATGGGCCTGATGGGCGTATTCATGTAATTGGCCTCTTGCTCTCCACATCTTGTGCTGCGATTAATGCTACCACCCACCCAAGCTGATGTCCAAAGCCATGTTTTGATCCATAACTGGACGTTTTCAGTCCCTTTTGTACATACTTGTTCGGCTGAATGGCTTAAATGTCCACTGTACACATCTCTTCTCGGACATAATGAATCAACAATCCTTTCGGACGTTTCAAATCGTCTCCGTGTAGAGTTTTTCGAGTAAGTGCGATGAAGGCCCGCGGATGGTCCTGCAGCCTTGCACTCGCTACATAGCGCCATTCTGGACCTCGGCATTTGGGCTACCCCGGATTGGCGGCAATTCGTCACGACACCTCAGCTGCAACGACAAACGTTATCTGCAGAGACCGTCGCGAAAACCTCCAACGTTTTCTCGAAGTGCTACGCTTCCCCGTTACAAACGTTTTGTACCCATCATCACCTGTCCGCACCTTTTTGTGATCGTGTCGCACCTTCCCATCGACAAGGCTGCCCAAGGTGAGATCCAAGGGTCAACGCCGATACCACAATGTCTTCGCAGCACTTCAAGATAGTCGAGCACGAGATAGAAGCGTCGCATATCCGCAGCTTTCCTCGAGCCATTGCTACGCACGAGAATGATGTGCTCCATCTAGCTATCAAGCAATACACCCCGCTCAACAATCCGAATCCAGAAGAAGGAGATATTACAATCATCGCAGCACATGCCAATGCGTTCCCGAAAGTAAGCCATTTTAGAATTGTGCAAGGTGGCATATTGAGGCGAACTACCTCTGATCTCCTTGAAATGCCGCACCGCGTTCGTCTACATTGCTTAAAAGTTGTTCTGACTGTCTTAGGAACTCTACGAACCACTTTGGGATGAACTTCTTCTAAGGAGCCAGGACGCCGGCTTCAAGATCCGCAGTATCTGGATGGCAGATGTGGTCCACCAAGGCCACAGCAGCATACTCAACGAGGACAAGCTCGGCAATGACCCGTCATGGCTCGACCATAGCCGCGACCTTCTGCATATGGTCAACACTTTCTCCAGCCAGATGCCACGTCCTATCATCGGTGTCGGTCACTCCATGGGCGGTGCTCAAATTGCGAATCTTGCCTTACTTCACCCTCGTCTTTTCGAGTCTTTGGTCCTCATCGACCCTGTCATTCAAGGAAAGGTCTCAACCAAAGGCAATATCTCCCCTGCATTCGCATCCTCAAAACGTCGCGATCTCTGGCCTTCCCGCACTGAAGCAGCAAATAGCTTCAAGAAGAGCAATTTCTACCAGTCATGGGACTCGCGAGTATTAGAGCGATGGATCAAGCACGGTCTGCGTGATGCTCCCACTAAGCTCTTCCCCAACGCGAAGAAGGGAGAAGTAACGCTTACAACTACGAAGCATCAGGAAGTCATGACATTTTTGCGACCGAACTTCAGGAACCGTGGCGGCGAGACGGAGCCAGACTCTGTTGACTTTACGCTCAGCAATCCGAAGCTCAATCGCAGAACACATGCAGATCTGACGCCGTACGAAGGGCCGCAGGAGCCCTTCTACAGGGGTGAAAGCGCAATCGTATTCAATCAGCTACCTGCTCTGAGGCCGTCGGTGTTTTACGTCTTCGGAAGCTCATCGTTCTTGACAAACGACGCTATCATTGAGGAGAAGTTAGCGAAGACAGGATCAGGTGTTGGTGGGAGTGGTGGAAGAGCAGAAGGTAGGGTGGACAGCATCCTGCTGCAGGACGCTGGGCACCTAATCCCCATGGAACGAGTGGAAGAGAGTGCAGATCACATCAGCAAGTGGGTAGGGAAGGAGATGGCTAGATTCTGGGACTGGCAAAAGAAGACACAAGAGGAGTGGGGAAGTAAGAAGGGCATAGAGAGGAGTGTAATGAGTGAGCGTTTTGTGGAAGAACTCAATGGCATGATGGCGAAACCGAAGGCTAAACTGTAGTAGCAGGTTGGATGCGCACTTCCCCAATACGACAGATTACCCATTTGATGTTGATTGCGCATTCCTTCTGGTGTTCCGATATCGACAGATTTTATTGGTTTGTGGCTACGTCAGAGCATAAATGCGCCCGACAGCCATGTGCTGGAGTCACTCCGAGCGTTAGTTTCTGTCTCTCCTTATAGGTATGAAAGGATATACCTTTGTCTGTCCAAGAACCTGTGTAGTCAACAACGTTCTTGATGGCTTTCGAGCCTGTGCAAGCTTTACAGGTAATCTATAGTACAAATTACCCTCCAAGAAGATGTCTGAAAATACGCACTGCCGCCTTTTCTACACTGCTCTCCATCATAATGGTCTCATATGATGATTGAAGGTACCAGGCATATGGATATGCTGGAGTCTGCATTGGTTTGAGACACTGATATCTTCTTCTTCTGGAGGTACCGAATGGAATATGACAGTCGGAACCCTAAGCTGGCACAATAAATGTCGACTTATGCTGAGCGCAACCTCAAAATTCCAGTATCTCGAAGGGTCCCTATGAAGGAATCTAGAGGTGTGCTTTATGGCCTCACCGTACGTACAGATCGCCCTACTATCTTCACCATCATACGTGTAGGCGCATGAGTCATTTGGTCGGCATGGAACAATCACTTCGATTAAAACTACGACTCAACCCAACTCGACGTCTCCCCGCCCATGTGTTCAGAGCGGAGAGATCCAGCGCAGTATTTTCAGTGTCAAGCAGTACAACATGGATACGAATATTCTCGACGGCACAAAGGTAAAACCACAAGATCGGACGTATAAGGTCCAAGACAGGAAGTACCATGTAAGTCACTGCCCATGGGAAACCTGGCTCGGCGATTCCACATAGCTAATCAGAACACAAAGGCTATCGGTAAAGGACACTTGATCAACCTGAATCTCGAGCAGCGGGTAGACAGGTCCAGCCTTCGAGTTTCATGTAGCATGAGCTGGTTCGGAGATATTAGAGCCCTGGCCTGAGGAGTCTTCGTAACCGACTCTGCAGAGGGTTATGATCTTCTAGGTAGCAGCTTATTGCCACCTCGTATGCTGATATCACACGTTGACCCAGTCCAGGCTTTCCTATTGGTGCAACGATCAATTAAATGCTAATGCAGTACCAAACGGATCTCGGCGACAAGTATGTGCGAGATATACGAATTGCGCGAAGCCATGCATCACTCGGCGATGAGCTCAATGAAGCAGACCTATTTTCGACATTGCGGATGTGCCCGTCGAATCGCGTGTTCCAGATGCGCCAAACCAGGATCCAACGCAAGGACGGTCACAATCTGACCTAATTGCTGAGTCGGCATTTGGATATCTTGATATGGAGAACCTTCACGACTATGCTATGCAAAATATGCTATGGGGCCGAACAATATGCTTCGAGTGCATCGGATTCATGGCTTCGTCACACTACCGGTGAGCGCGGGAAGAAGACAGCAGAGTGTTAGAGCTAGAGAACGAGCGGCTTCGTGCATGAGTAAACGCACATCAGAAGAACTACGGACCAAAATATATGCATAATGGACAAATGGACTTTCAGGTTACTTCTCAAGACAGCAGATTGGGGTACTGATGCGTTGACCGCTTTCCATACTGTTACGTTTACCTCATCTCATGCTGTAATTTCACTTTGGGTACGATTCAGTTGAAGGGCTATAGGGCTACTTTCACCTATAGCTTCCGTAGGAGTAGCTAAACGCGTCGCGTCTAACCAAGACTTACCCCCCCCCCCCCTTCCACCACAGACACGTTCATCAAAATACTTCGTGACTATTCACAAGAGACAAGCGATGCATTCCGTGTTGCGGTTGGCTATCTTTGCAGCCTTCACAGCTCCCACTCTTGGCAGATACCTTCCGCTTGAGGTTTTCGCCAATGTTTCTCGATATCGATAGGGCACGAGTCCGTCGATCAGCACTAGTACCACCGTAATTAAAATTCTAGACAAGCGCGTGTTACCCAGTGAGAAGATTATCTACCTTGCGGACGGGATTGGTAGAAGGTATGGCGATTCTGAGGGAGCAGTCACGGTCCAGCGGCTCGACGACTCCGCGAACGACGGGTTATGGGAGAAGCACACTGACAAAGGCAACTCTCTTATGTGCGCCATGTATGGTACTGATGCGGCTGCCGGCTGGCAAGCATTCGATACCCGGACTCCTGCTTCAGCCACAAGCAAATGGGTCAACTTCAACGACATGGTCGACTGGTATTGGTATGAGTTCAAACATGACGCTGACATATGCGATATGAGTACTTACTGGGGCATGAGGATCATGTTTTAAGCGTTGAAGATTAAGCCGAAGTCCCAAAAGGCTGGAGGCAATGTGCAGTGCTTTCAGATTAGGTACCAGAACGAATACGCAAAGCACCCTGATGGCACAATCAGATACCCACTAGAACAGTCTTACACGGCGGATCGTAAGCTTTACCATGTACGTTTCAGACCAAACGATGTTGATGCGCTCAAGATTGCTAACGAGTCTGGCCAGGCTACCAACGCTGAGCATTTCTTTACCATGGATGGTCGAGCCGGAGGTCTGTACTATTCTTTGCTCTCATGTACTGAAGCTGACATGAACTGCAGTCATCGTGGGCGTTATCCTGCTTGGCCCAGACTATACTGCTCAGCGTCTGTGGGGATGGACACCCACTGACGATCAACTTCCGAAACTTCGACAGGTCTCGGACCTTTACCGGTATTGGCTCTATTGGCAATCTCTGAACATTGCAACTTGAACACGTATCGATAGCATTAAGACTTACATCGTTTACCGCATACACAACGAAGCAACAAAGCAGATCATAGCTCATGCTCTGAGAAGCCGCGGCAGAGAGGCATATGAGTCATGGCCAGGACAATACTTCACCTCCGACTCTACGGAGGGCCTTGCACTGCTTGGTACGTCTGAATCTCGAGATGACCTCGGGACAATCATGGTATGGACTAAAATGCTAACGTTGCTCAGGGTCACCCATTGGTGCGACGATAAGATTCTTTCTGATGCAGCATAAGAGAGAGCTTGGAAATAAATACGTGAGCGGCATACGGATCGTCCTTAACGATGGAGTGGAGGGCGACACCCACAAGGAAGTAGACCTGGTCTTCTACATCACGGATGTACCTCTTGAGAGGCAGATTTCAGATGACCCAATGGATGTAGACCCACCGCAAGATCGAGCCGAAACTAATGGTCTTGGTCTTGGAGTGGCGGCAACCTTGGTCCCGAGAAGTGCTGTTGGGTATCCGGTGGGGGTGCATGCACATGGATCGAACAATATCCTACGGATTCACAGCATCATGGCCCATTGATGTTTCTGAGGCCTCTTCTATGGTATAATGATGGGCCAGGCGATGACACGTTGTTGAGTGGAACGATGGGGGACCCGAAATTGGATGGTCACGGGAAGTACAGATCTTTATACGAACATTGGTGAAATTGGAACGCACCAGCGGCTTAGGTTATCTATTTTGAGCTTACTGTACCTCCTTAGGTTTTGGGTGCCTGGCCATACAGTAGTGAGTATCCACCCCTTCTCCGCCTCACACCGTTCGATCCCACTCCACTGCTCTTTTCACCTCGAACCCTCTCTTTCGTAAATTAGCCTCGCAACTTGCGTAGTGTCCAAGTATACCACAAGCCCCTCATTATCCGCCTTCTCCGCTGCCCAATCCAGCAGCAGCTTACCAGCTCCACGACCTTAATGTTCAGAATGCGTCACCAAACTATCTAGCATGAAGAACGGCTTCTCAGTGCCCATGATCTCGTCGCATGTCGCATCGAGCGTGTCAATTATGGATGGCAGGGCGTCAAGTCGCCGTTCAGGCGGGAGGAAGGACGAGCAGCGTGGGCCGAGAGAATCATTGGCAGCGGACTCTGTTCCCGTCGGATTGGAAGCGCGCGCGGCGGGTGCTACCTCTTTCATTATGCCAGAACTATTGTTGACTTCGTCTACCGGTATCTTCGAAGCGCATTTGTGTATATTTTCGTTCTCGACGTTCATCTTTTTCACAGTGCAACGGCGAAGGTGCGCCCGTTGTTGTCCTCTGGATCATCCTTACTCGACGGTAGGCCTGTATCGACAATCTTCCAGTGGCAGACGTTGGCGTTGCCTATCTCGCGTTTATGGTCCACCGCTATACCTTGCATCGATGTTCCGCTCACAGGGCCACGATGAAGTAAATCATTGGTCGGATCCGTAGCAGCGAGTCCGATGGACGAAGTGGGCGGATTTCAAGAGGCATAGCTGTTGATGAGCGATAGGTATTGCTTAACATGAAATGTTAGGGTTGAATACACTCATGACAATGAACCGGTGACTTTCAAGGATGAGTCACGACCCAGCATGACCAAACGAGCGATTAGTGATGTTGGTGTTGCGCAATTGGACCCTAAGTATGTACGAACCGTCAGATCGGCCGAGGTGCATAGCACGAGATGAGCTTTGAGCGTGTCTGGTTTGGTAGGGTATCAACGTCTTACCAGGCGGAGGTACGTAGGCGCCCCACCTCATTATGTAGCGCGTGAAGACCTTCCTGGCACTGGTAGGCGCGCATCGCGTCCTCTTGTTGCTGTAACGTCTCATCGTGGGCTTTGTGTATTTCTCTACTACCTTATACTCAGGGCTATAACCTAGCAACTTCCCAAGGACAAGAGAGGGTGTATGGTGATGACGTCACCGGTGTTGACACAGCACTCCTCGATTGCTCGTCATCCTGTTTTTCGCGAGTCTGCGCGATCCAATAACAATTTCAAGATAGTTGTATACCTCCTACGCATGCTGTCCCTATAGGCAGGTATCTGAGGACAACACGTAGGACCTCAACACCTGAGAAACTGCTATTGCATTTCACTGAGCGCAACTGCTAGCCATTCACCAGTCTAACGAACACAGACTTGCTATGGCTATCCCAGTTCACACATGATTTCGCCACTACAGCGCCCCAACGACGTGGATAATCGAGCAATTTCCCTTGCTGACCTTGTTTGCCATCCATGCAATCCTGTCGCCTACGCTTCAGGTTTGGAATCCGCGGTCAGGTGTCGCCTCTCTCATTGGTCCGTTTTGTTTGCTTTCCAATCCTTCCTCGGCCCACGTACTTGTAAGACAAGTGTATACACACTCCCAGTAGGGCTCACGGAGCCCATGTGTTCGTCTTACTCCAGACACGACTTCATTCTTATTCTTTGACGCCACCACTCTCCCACGATCAATGGGCAACACGTCGAGCTCGCCGGTGCAGAGGTGCCTCGAAAATGCCTTGAATGGAAACAAAGATCTCCTCGCCCTCAAAGGCACGCCCTTCTACCAGATATCGCACGTCAAGCCGTACAACCTTGGGGTCACTGTCAGTCCCGCTGCAGTCACCTACCCCGAAACAACTGAGCAGATTTCTGAAATAGTCAAGTGCGCCGTTGAAAACAAGCTGAAGGTGCAGCCGCGATGTGGCGGACACTCGTACGCCAACTATGGTGATTATCTCTGGGTGTAAGCAATCACTGGTGCTAATTTCGTACGCAGGGACCGGTGGGCAAGACGATACTATTGTCGTTGATATGAAGCACTTTCAACACTTCTCGATGGACGAATCCACCTGGCAAGCTACGATCGGTGGTGGCACCCTCCTTGAAGATGTCACGAAACGACTACACGAGAATGGCAATCGCGCGATAGCGCATGGTACCTGTCCTCAAGTTGGTATAGGTGGACACGCGACTATTGGCGGGCTTGGCCCGACCAGCAGGATGTGGGGTAGTGCATTGGACCATGTGCAGGAGGTTGAGGTCGTTCTTGCAAACTCTACCACGATTCGGGCCTCCGAGGCTGAGAACCCAGATATTTTCTTTGCGGTGAAAGGTGCCGCGGCAGGCTTCGGCATTGTCACCGAGTTCAAAGTGCGGACACAGGCCGAGCCATCAGAAGCGGTGCTCTACTCATACAATATCCAGGGTGGATCCAGCAAGGACAAGGCTAGGGCGTTCAAAACGTGGCAAGAGCTTATCGCAGATCCAGACCTCTCGCGAAATTTCGCCAGTCAATTCATACTCACCGAGTTATTTGGTGCGATCATCACCGGTACGTTCTTTGGCTCGCAGCAGGAATACGACAGTCTCAACATCTCTGCTCGCCTTCCGAGCAGCGATGGCTTGGTCTTCGAACTCAAGGACTGGCTTGGTGTGGTAGGTCATTGGGCCGAGGACATTGCCCTTGACATTGTTGGAGGCATTCCAAGCAACTTCTATGCCAAATCACTGGCCTATACCAATAACGACATCATTCCCGACAGTGGCATCGATCATCTCTTCGACTATATCGATAAAGCCGACAAAGGCAATGCGATATGGTTCATCATCTGGGATCTCGAAGGCGGAGCCATCAACGACGTCGCGCCAAACGCGACTGCGTACGGCCACAGGGATGCATTGTTCTACCATCAAGCATATGCGGTGAACCTTCTTGGGAGGGTCACCGACACAACGAGAGACTTCCTGACAGGCGTCAATAAAGCTGTGACAGATGCATTGCCGAATCATGCCCAAGGTGCATATGCCGGATACGTCGACCCAACACTAGGCGAGAGCGCTAGCAGCCTCTACTGGGGTGGTAATGTGGAACGACTGGAGAGAATCAAGGCACAGATTGATCCGGATGATGTGTTCCATAACCCGCAGAGCATACGACCGGCAAAAGGTTCCGCAAAACTCAGAGTCAGATCGTGAACGGGCCATTGACTGCTCCGCTCGGTCAACAGCAAGGTAAGTACAATGGCTCTAAGTAGCCAACTTGTTTTATCTCACATGTTTGGTTTTCGGATCATGGACGGCGTTCAGCCCAAATCAGTAGTACTTTTGCGAACACGTATACCCTTTGTTGCCTATCCAAGTTCCTATACATTGCAGCCATATCTTCTACCACCATATCAAGCGAATGATGACCTGTAATATAGGAGATTAACGTGTGAAGCTATCTTCGTTACAAGTCCAATGCACTCGTCAGGTAAATCTCAGGGATTAGCTATGGTTGCACCGACGAGGCTCAAGTCGTGCACAACTTCCATACCCTTCTTGATCGTTGAAGGGTGACCAAAATCCCGGGAAGTCCACATCCGAGGAAATATTTACATCTTTCGGGGCTCACACTCTTCAAAGTTTTTCAAGCCGAAGCTCCAAAGGACTCGTGCAGTCAACTTACGGTTCACAAGCTCAATTAGCTTGCTTTCTACTACACCATACGATTCCCCTTACTCCAAGCTGACTGTTAATTTGATAGTCTAGTCGAGTAGGCCTGGGGGTCTGCCCTTTAGGTAAGCCGTAGGCATCCTACCTGGAGTGATCGTATGCGGCGGTAGAAATAGCTCAAGCGAAAAAGCCACTTCTCCATATCCCACAACTACGCTGCAATCACCGAACAATTAAGATTACACCCTTGCTCCTACCTCGAGACGCTTAGAGAAGTCATGTTCGTACTTTTGAGCTAGATCACAGTACATTCACTGTAGTTGCTACACAAGCGTGTCCTCAAGCGTTTGATGAACCGTCTGAGGTCTACGAGGAGTACTGGTTACCTGTGCTTGCGTATGACGGCGTCATGCGGATTTTAAATTCCGAAAAGGGGTTCACCAGCAATGTGTCCGTGAGCATTGACAGGGCATGGAAAGAACAGTGAAGAGAATGCTTATTTTGTCAACTAACGAGCCAATCTCTGGACTATCAACATTAGTGTTTCTTGCCCTCCTTGATACCCTTCAAAAAGCCACTGTAAGCAGGCTTCTTGGCGTAGTCCTCATTCCACAGCAGCGCGGCACCTTCGGAGGTAAATACCCCAGGGATCCACGAGTACTTGTCCGAGATACCCCAGACAGTCATACCAACACATCTCTTGACGGCAAGACAGGACCTTGCGATGCGCTCGTAAGCCGCGGCCTGAACCTGGAGCTTCTCGGGTGTGGCAGGGGTGTTCATGCGGACATCAATTTCAGTGTATGCAACATTGACTCCAAGGTCGGCAGTGGCCCCCAAGGCGGCCTCGAGTGTGGCCTGATCTGGAACAGCACCAGGAGCAGTGGGTGTGGCTTCGCTCGCGAGATGCGCCTGGTACCCGACTCCATCAATGAGGTTCTTTCCGTAGGACTGAACCAGCTTGACAATGCGCTTCGCCCCTTCAGTCTTCGCGCCATTGTACTCGAGGTTGTAGTCGTTGTAGTACAAATTGGTCTTCTTGTCGGCGTACTTGCGGGCCAACTTGAATGCGATGGGGATATACGCCTCGCCGATGGTGTCAAGGAAAACGCTCTTCCTGTAGGTGCCATTCTCGTTCAAGGCCTCGTTGACAACGTCCCAGCGGGTGCAGGCGTTCTTCCAGCGGCCAGCGACGTTCTTGATGTGGTTCTCCATGATGGAGATTAAGGTCTTGTTGTCGAAACCGCCTCCAGACACCCATGTGGGAAGCTGGCTATGCCAAACAAGGGTATGGCAGTGGATTTGCTGGTCGTACTTCTTGGCGAAGGCAACGACGGCATCCCCGCCGGCGAAAGTGAAGTTATTCTGGGATGGCTCGGTAGACTCCCACTTCATGGCATTCTCGGGAGTGACGGAATTGAAGTCTTGGTCGACGATTTTGGGCTCAGCAGGCTCATCGCGGATCGTGAGAGCTGTACCGATGAAGTCACGACCTCGGTCGCGGAAGGCCTTGTACAAACTGGTCTCCGTGGGCTTGGAACTGGTTCTGGGAATGGTCAGGATGTGTTGACTTCGCAGCGCATAAGATGACCTACGGAACAGCCAAGACCGAGCTGGCCAAAGATAGCGTTGCGACAAGGGTGGTTGGGAAATGCATGTTGATCTCGCTGCCAGCTGGTGATGCAATCCGATTACTTTGATGTGCGACAGGAAACGACTCAGCGAGGCATTTTAGCATTTATATATGACGAGCGGGCAAGCATCATTTAGGTAGCGTGGCTCATCAACCGGGTTGGCGAATGCGTTTAGCCGGCATCTTGAGGTGAGTGATGAGCGGCCATGCGAGGCTGAAGGAGAGATGTGCCCGTCTTGGACCGCGGGTGGAGGCGCACGCGGGGACGGTTGCTCGGCATCCAGATGTTCAATCTCGGTGGCCAAATTTTCCGTCCGCCAAACAAGACTACCTTCAAAAGCTGCCGAATGTTCAGAGAACTGTGAGACTAACGGCCCTTCAAAACATGGAGACAGAAGATGCGCTGGCGATTGCCTTGTTAGCGCGCACGTTGTCGAGCTGGGTTGATGGGTGTTTCAATATGCATGTTCTCAGGCACGCAATTCAAAGTGGAAGACTCGTGGGGATGAACGAGTTTACCCCAACCAAACCACCTTGGGCGTCTTGGCTACGGCCCCTTCGCCCATCAGGGAGGTGTTCACGAAACCGCGTGGCAACTTATCCATTTAACCGGGAAGACCTCCGAGATCGACGGTACCCCGAAGCAGGACGAACGCGCCTTTCACACTTCCTTTAGAACGCTTTCTTTCAAAGTATAATTGCAACCGGATGAAGCTGAGAAGCCGTCGCGTCTAACACAAGCCTAGAGTAGAGGCAAATATGCTGCCATTGCCGAAGGCAGACGGTTTTCGCGTCAACTCGTCAGCGCGGCCTGTCACATCGTTGTTTGCAATATATGGTAGACACGCACAGCTCAATCTCGTTAATCCTGCAACGACCTCGATTACCCGACTGTCCTCTTGGAAGCCGTCGCAACTCTGCAAAACCATGGGCGGCTCGTAGGGCACGAATAGCTGTGGTCACGATGGATCAGGTATCATGTTGACATCCTTCGCGACTACATATCATCGCCGAACATGCGACTCAAATTTAAGACGCTCGCACACGAAGCAAGCCCTATCCTACCGCAGGCGTAAAGCTGATTTCTGTCTGCCCTTCGGTCTCGTCCCGCTCATCTCGACTAGAAACTTCGTCAACTAAGCCACTAACCGCATTTGCACTTTATCGCCCTGAGGGCGACTTCTCGTTCCTGTTGAAGATGAATTCTGACGATCAAGTTGTATTTCCCATCCGCCGGCACGTACACAGTCCGCACATCATACAGTAGCTGGCCACAGGTAAAGTATAAGACGTTTTTCAGAAGACATCCGTACTGACAAGTGTAGGCATGGTAGCATGAAATCAACGTTTGAGCGACGTCTTCGAGTGTAAGTCACCACTGCTGTTTACAGACACTAAACTCCTAGCGAAGCACCCAGGACCTGAGGAGAACGTTGTTAAAAACCTAGGACGTTCTCCCGTTGTTTAGACGAAATCATTTCATGTCAGATTGTGCGTGAGCATCATTTTGTCTAAATTCCCCTCTTTGTACACTTAGTGGGACATATAATGCCGTTAGGTGGTCAGCGATGCATTGTCGAAGGTATCACATATCAGCCAAGCCAGGCAAGGCACTACCTGCACATCCACAGAGCGATGGAGCTAAGACAGAGCCTCATTCGCAGCTCATGCGAGGCTGACTTCAGCTGAGCGGCATTGCTGACGACGTGGAGCAGCATGCACATGCTTGCAACCCCGCGCCAATCACCGAATGTCGCATTCACCACACCTCGATAAGCGATGACTGTGTCCACCTCATTCGCTGATCTGAAGCTGTCGCCAATGGAGTAGAATCAATCCTGAGCTACTGCGCCGCAGTTCCGGATGGCGCAGCCAATTGCCACTTTAGGCACCGCGCCCACGACATCAGGGCGCCTACTCGGCCCCCACACCATGCACTCCAAGGTAAGTAGGTGCACGAAAGAGATGACAGCACATGATATCTGGGCGGCTATATATAATTTCGAGTCACCTCGCTCCCGCTATGCTTCATCTTAAGGTCCCGTTTGCAACGTCACCAGCCTGACGGCCGCACGTTCGTAGGCAGCCACGACGTGAAGGACTTGCCTAACCTGACTCACCCTCAGTCCTTCAGAGTTTCAATACAATAAAAGGAAGAGACGTGGTCAGCAGAAGACACCCCGCGATCCAACATGGAGTCCAATCCAAGAAATCCTCAAGCGCCTCTGCGGCTGCTCTCTCTGGACGGAGGAGGCGTCCGGGGACTATCTTCGCTCATGGTCCTCCGCGATCTGATGCAGAATATTGCACTTGAAGAGAAGCGGCTCGGGCGTCGAAAACAGGCTGATTACGAGCCACTAAGGCCTTGCGACTACTTTGATCTGTAGGTTGTATGCAGACCTTGATATGCGGATACTGACTACTCTTAGCATCGGCGGTACATCGACAGGCGGGATCATTGCCATTCTGCTCTCTCGACTGCGCCTCAATTGCGAGCAGTGTATAGACATCTATCTCAAGCTGGCGCAACAGATCTTCGAGCATGACCGCTCGTTCAAGGCGTTCGGGATGAAGTTCCCAACAGGGGCAACGAGATTCTCTGGTATGGTTCTAGCAAATGCAATCAAGTCGTCGTTGAAAGAGCTCAGATTCGATGAAGATGAGCTGATGTGGGACGAGGCGCTGTTCGAGGAAATTGAACCTCAACAAAGAAACGACAGTATATGGGCGGATATGGTGACGGAGAGCCCAGTTGCCACGAAGAACAACGGCATAGCTTTGCCGCCAGCGAAATCGACATCCGTTGACAGCGCCCCCCAAGCAAAGTTACCACCTCGGACCGATACGTGGAAGCTACACCCTCGGCAGTCTGTTCATCGCAAAGCAAATGCACCTGGGTGTCGAGGATTCGTACTGACCTCGCTCAAGAACGCGCTGGGTCTCCCTAGGATCCTCTCCACGTATGACCCCAATGACCGGACCACTCGCATCTGGGAGGCTTTACGGGCGACCTCCGCCGCTCCAACGTTCTTCGAGGAGATGCAGTTTGGCACGCCGAAGGTTACCTACCTCGATGGTGGAGTTGGGTTCAACAATCCATGCGCCGAGGTCGACTACGCAGCCAAAGCACTGTGGGACAATCCAATCGGGGTCATTGTGTCAGTCGGCACAGGACTTCAGAGCCTGTCGAGCGTCAAAAAGATGGCGTCGTGGCTGCCCTTCGGTCTCGGTACAGACATCTCCTTAGCTACTGCTCTCGCTGGCATGGCAACGTCGACTGCACGAGTAGACAACGAAATGAGACGTATGTACAACAACAGTGATACTAAGTACTACCGCTTCGACGTGGACCGGGGACTCGCAAACATCAGTCTCGAGCAGTGGATGAAAGAAGACGAGATGGCGTCTCTGACGGAGCAATACATGCAAGATGGAGAGCAAGTACGGAGGGCGCGCGAGTTCGGCGAGATGATGGCAAAACTTTCTGCACTGCCGCCTAAATTCGAGATCCAGGCTACACAGTTCCGACTTGGGATCAACGGACAAGGGCTTCAGGACGAAAGCTTCCGGCTCGTTCAAGTCGATTTCAAGACTGGCAATTTGCTCGGCGAAACCAACGGCTCATCAACCCCTGATGCTGCTCCATCCGGCGAGGGTGGACTTGCGATGACCGAGAGCGGTACCTTACGCAAAGTGTATCCCGTGGCTGCCGACTTGGATATGGACGGGCGACGCGAGGAAGCCGCGGTGTATCACTGTATCCAAGCCTGTGACATCTGTATACGTAAGGTGAAGACTGGGATCCCGCCAGGACGATACAAAGTGCAGTTCATCGTTGCGTTCCACAGTGCGACGCACAACCCGCCTCACGATTTGGTTTTCAGTGTGGGGCGGCCCTTCGACGCGGGTACGTTCCAGAGCCGCTTTGTGGACGTGAGGATCACGCCAGACGTTGCCGCAGTGCTCCTTCATCCTGATGCTGTGCGTGTACGAGTGGGCAGGAGGCGCTACGAGGAGAACCGAGGGAGGGGATGGGTGGAGATTGAAGGCGACATTGACGTGACCGTTGGACTATATGGTGCGCTGGGATTCATCGTGAGCAAGCGCTATGAAGAGGACAAGCTGGTTGATGGTTGGAGCTTTGGTGGCTTACGATTGGAGCCCGTGTTCAGGACCCAGCCTACGATTTCATCGAGAATACGGACGTGAGCAGTCCAAGGGCGCATGTTGCGAGTTGAGTTTGTGCAGTGTTATAGTTCCAAGTTGTATAAATTAATTACGTTGTATAGATCTTATTGCTTTAAGAATGTTGTCAGCACAACGTCTATGTGTAAAACACCTGTCTCTATCTGTTCAGTGCGAGAGTTCCTAGGCCAGTCGGTCAGCACCCCAGAAAAGGTGCAGCCACGCTGATAGACGCCACGACTACGAAAAGTAACATTCTGCAATGCTGGACTACAGTCGATCAAAAGCTGACGATGACGGGAATAACGCTGATGCAGTTTTGAGAAGTGATGGTGTTGGTTAGAGGATGGTGGAGCACCGTCGCTAAGTAGCGCAATCTCGGACCTTCACCCCACACCTCAACGAAAAAAAATAACCTGGAGTGCTCGACAATTGTCGAACGAATGTTGATGAGGACGGGACTCGAACCCGCGCCACTTTCGTGACCAGGAAGCTGATTGCTCAGCAATGCTAAGGGGAAGAACCTTAACCTGGCGCCATAACCAACTCGGCCACCTCACCATTTCTTTGATGAAGATATCAGCAGCCCAGATATTAATATTGAGAGAAACTTGCAAAAGCCGCATCTGAGGGACTGCTGGTCGGTATGTTAACGACAATTGTGTCTGCCAGCCGCGGCTTGCTTATGTTGTTTGGTAGAATTGGCCTGGGTACGTAGATTAGCCCTCAGGGAGAAGGAAAAGTCGGATGGAGGTCGGAGTTTCTGATAGCTTGGGAGATGGTTAGTAGTTATCTAGGGGTATCTCGCGATCTTACCAATCCTTTGGAGGCTACAAAGAGTCTGCTATTGTTCCCTTCCTGCTCCTTGACAGATCAGGCTTTAATCCTATACTTGGACATGGGATTGATGATAAGATGAAAACAGAGGAAGCGGGACGGCATCGTGTCGAAAATTTATTCGAGCTAGAGCGTACTCTCTCGTATCTTTCAACGATATTCGCTGTGCATCGCTCTGCACCCGGTACTGAGACCACGTGAAGGCCCGGGGTGTAGAATTTGGCCAGTTGGTCTGCGCGGATCTGCTCGGACCAGGCATCAACAGCCCTAGATTATCACCAGGCACTCCATCCCCTAGATGACGAATGCCAGAACAACAAGGCCGATGATCGAAGTGGAAAAGAGTCCGCCACTGGTCAAGGTGCCAGCTGAACCTTCGAACTCGGGCACTGGGAGACTGTTGTTGCCAGAACTCGTTCCGTCATGGCTCTCACCACGGCATTTCGCAATGACTTCCGGGAATAGCTTCGTCGAGTTGGCATCGACGAAGATGTAGTTGCAAATCTCAGCAGTGCCATTCGCTATCGCATCCTGCTGCCACTCGTAGCAACCACCGATGTTCCAAGTGTAGCAGTACGTGAGATCCTGTGGTGTGGCTATCAGCTGCACATTCGGATCATCTCGGCCTGTGCTTGTGTAGTTGCCAGCTGACGACACAGTACCGGTAGCAATGTCGAGATTGAACAGGGCACGAGTGAATATCTTGTAAGCTGTCTCTGGCTGGTACGAGGGAATGGCATGGCCGGCCTGGTAAGTTCGGATGTAGCTGAGGTTGCCGTGTTGGCGCACTAACCCGCCAACATAGGAGTCGTTGGTTTGGATCTCGGCGTACTGTGCGGCTGCGTACCCTGCGGATCCGGTCCAGTTGATCGCCTTTGCGACGGCGTCACCACTTGCCCACTAATGTTGTTAGTACTGAGGGGTGTATCAGCATGTGCAACACTTACGGGGCATGCGAAATCCAAGTCACCATGGACGAGGGAGACCTTGATGCCATTATCGAGTAAAAATGCAAGGTCGTCTGGGCTCATGTCAGTACAGTGTACAGTACATCGATTGTTATCGCTTACCCAGCCACGAGTCGCGTGGGTAGTCACCAATTTCTCGGTATGCCCCGGAAGCCTGGGGTGAGTTACCCGTCCAGTTGAGCGGCACGCCCATTTCGGACTGCACCCACGGCTGGTTCAGAAAACCCTCGTGGAACGGCGGTGGGAAAGGAGGAGGCGACTGAGTCGAGATGTCGTAGTAGTCCAAGCCCGAGTACTGCGTGTAAGGACTAACGATGTTCGTACGACAGAAGGTTTCAGCATCCTCGCAATAAGAATTGACGGTCGCATTGATCCCTAAGTTCTCAGGATCAGACACAGCTGCTTCGTCGCGGCATAACTGGATCTGCTGAAGACATTCCGGCACAGCCTCTACCATTGAGTTGTAGACAGTCTCATTGACGGCTTCGATGCCGTAGCCATTATCGCGGAAGGCCTGCTGCGGGTAGTATGGGTACTGGACATAGCGGTCGATACATCCCGAGATCATGAGAAGCGTGTCGAGGTGCAAAATGAACTGCTCGCCTTCGCCTCCATCCCATGTGCCATTCTCGATTCGCTGGTTCTGCTCCTCGAATACACGAAACATGGCTGGTCCATAGCGACCGCCGTATGATTGAGCAGCAAGACTTAGACGTGTGTCGTTTGGAAGTAAGTGTGGAAACTCTTGGAACCATGCCTGTGTGAAGTGCCACGCAGCAACGGCACCATTCACACTGCCGAAGGCTGTGTTGTTTGGGTCACGACTGGGGAAAGTTCCAGTCAAGAACGTGGTGTTCTGCTCAGGTACCGGATCCGTAGCATTCAGCAATGTCACCTCGCCAGTCAGGAGGTTTCGAGTTACGTTCTGCAGCGTGTCATAAGAGAAACCAACTTGAGTCGGTTGATCCAAGTACAACATATTCGCTGTCGACTTTAGTCATCGACGTCGGTACCAGGGTTTGGTTACTTACACTCGTTGTTCCAACTCCACTCAGAAAGATGAGTGGAGTTGCTATCGGGATTTGCATAGCAAGGACCATTCTCTTCCAACAGCCCGTACATCGAGGAAGATCCTGGACCGCCGTTGAGCCAGATGGTAGTCGGTGCGTTCGAGGGGTCATTGCGAGCTTCGAAAAACCAGAAGAACGTGTTCATAGGATAGTCCTGACCCTGACCGAGGTCTGCAGTGCCGGGAGGCAGATAGACATGGCCAGAGTACGATCGCACTCCAGGCGTGGTCTCGCACAGGTCGTTCTCCTTGTACGAGATGGTGACTCCCTCGCCAAAGCGAGACTGCAGGACCTTCACACCAACGGGCTCAGGGGGGAATTGTGCAACGGCAGAAACGGCCAAGCCGAGCAAGATGGCAATGGACGCAGCCATGGTTGAGAAGGATGGGCTGTGTCCATGCTGCCAGCCTCCACGTCCTTCTTAAGCTCATCGTCCCCGCGGTTGTGGGCCGCCTGCCGAGCTCGCGAGGCTGGTAGAGCGTCTTGGAAGCCAGCGTTTACCAGACTGATGCGGAAGGTCGATGTTGAGCCAAGTCAGGCTGCAGATACCTAGCACGACTTGCAGAACGTCCTACCACGACTCTCGGGTAGAAGAGGCAGCCGACTGGGGGTCTTAGGGTCATGATATAGGTGATGTCCAAATGTGGCTGTAAGTTTTTGCGATCCGATGAGACTTCTTGGGACTGCATTATTGATCTCTTAGTGTGCTGCAGTAGCCATCTCTTTGGATTGTGTTGCGGCTGCCGTGTCTGCGGGGTGACTAGCGCGAACGGACTTCGGAGTTAAGATAGATGGATTGATTGGAGCCGCCCAAAATTTCGAGATCGCAGAAAGTCGACTGCGCAGCAAAACGCTGCAGAACCACACGTCTTCCCCGCCACCGAAACCTGCTTCACGACCCCCGCTCGCCCCACTGCACGAGACCGTCCTGACCAGGAATTGACCAGGAACTGACCTACAAGCCCGCATTGCGTTGCGATGATCCGCCGACAGGCCCGCGAGCGCCGCGACTACCTCTACAGGCGCGCCCTCACTCTGCGCGATGCCGAGCTCGCAAGCAAGCGCGCCGCCCTCAAAGCCTCGCTGGCATCCGGCAAGCCGCTGTCCAAAGAAATCGCAGACGATGAAGCCCTGCGCGCCGACTTCAAGTACGACGAGAGCCGCGCCGACCGCACAGTCGAGGAGGAACTTGGCATCGACGACGAGTACGCACAGCTGTCCGGCGTCGTCGATCCACGCATCCTAGTCACAACCTCGCGCGACCCGTCATCGCGGCTGGGCACGTTTGCAAAGGAGATGCGTTTGCTGCTGCCCACGAGTGTGCGCCTCAACCGCGGAAACCTGATTCTGAGCAACCTCGTCGACAGCGCAAAGGGCAGCGGGCTCAGCGATATCGTTCTGCTGCACGAGCACCGCGGTACACCGACTGCGCTGACAGTGAGCCATTTCCCCCACGGGCCGACGGCAAGCTTCAGTCTGCACAACGTTGTGCTGCGCGCCGATATCCCCAACAGCGCCCGCGGCACCGTGTCTGAGTCGTATCCCCACCTCATCTTCGAGGGCTTCGAGTCGAAGCTTGGCAAGCGCGTTGTGCAGGTCCTGAAGCATTTATTCCCCCCACGCGAGGCCACCGCCAAGATTGGCAACCGCGTCGTCACGTATGTTCCCATGCGCTTTTCAAGAGGCAACGCTGACAAACCCAGATTCAAGAATATCGAGGACACAATCGAAGTCCGCCACCACGTCTTCGTCAAGACAGGCTACCAGTCTGTCGAGCTGGCTGAGGTCGGGCCGCGCATGAGCATGCGCCTGTTCGAGATCCGTGCAGGCACGTTGGACAACAAGGCGGGCGACGTCGAGTGGCATCTGAACCAGTACACACGGACAGGGCGGAAGAAGGACTATTTGTAGATGCAGGAGGCTCTCGCGCTACGACATGCAAGAGCAGTATTGAAACGCGGATTGCAGTGTCGATTCATCCACAATACTGGTAGTGGAGGGTCTCGTGATGTGATTGCTCATGCTGGATATACCCCAATCAATTCCAATTCAACTTTTTCGTCCCGAACTCCAAAACACCCCAACACCATATAGTGCTCTCAATCGCACCTCCACATCCTCCTAGCTCGATCGCATGCACGCCACTCTCCAGATCACGCTTCAACAGCCGCCTGCGAGCTCTTCAGTATCCCCCGCTGGGCCTTAGTCTTGCCCTTCCCCTTCTCCCTCCTCTTCTGCACCTCCTCACTCACAAGACTGCCCTCCAGCCTCATCCCCTTGCCTTTACTCTTCCCGTCTGTCCTACCATCAAAGTCCAACAACCTAATCTGCACATCGCCCTGCAGCTCGCCCTTATCCGTCATCCACACCCCCTCGTCCGCAGCCCGCGCCTCGAAAGTCCAGGACTCGGGTAACTGCGTCGCCAGCACGCTGACGGGGAACAAATTCAGATACGACAGCGTGATATGCGTCTTGCTCTGCGCCGTGACGCGCGCGCCAATGTAGCTCCCCCGGCGCGGGCGCAGGACCAGAAATGTCGCCGTCGCCCAGAGGAACGGCGCTGCGTACTCGTCGACGTGGCGCAGCAGGACGGGAGCTTGGTCGTCTGTGGCGCCTGATGCTGACGGAGGCGATGAAGAGAGCACGACGTCTTCGTATGCGAGTACGATGCCGTGCGCCGGCGGGAAGTAGGAGAGTAGTAAGGGCGAGAAGACGGATGCGCAGAGGGCGGGCAGCGGGGCTGCGAGCGCAGCAGGCGGGAGCGAGACGTATTGGGTTATGCGCTCGGTGTAGAGATTTGTGTCGGGGAGGGGCGCCATGGTGGGCCGGTGTGTGTGTGGTGGTTTGGCGGTTTTGGCGCAAGATGTCGTGAGCGTGTTTGGTGTGGAAAAAGTTGTCGGCGTTCAGTGCTGAAGCTCCGACGTGTGGGGCTGTGGGGTCTGTGAGATGATTGTGTGTAGTGATACCGAGGTCTGCTGTGTAACGATACAAGTGCCGCCTCCTCGTGTTCATACTATCTCATCAACTTCGTAGATGTGAAGCCAGAGGCGAAGAAAATCAAAGTCGAGGTCACTGTCAACATGTGACAGATGCAGGAGCTCAAGATGGCTTCTCCTCCATACCCAAGACCTACCGAACTCCACGCTAATCCAACGACAATACACAACACGGTATACAACCGTGAAACCCCCCCCCCCCCCGGTTCAGAGAGCCTCATCGTAGACATTCCTAAGCACCTGTCTTCCATCCAACACACCCCTCCTCCCCGCCAAAAACACCTTCTCAGGCACCTTCCTCCCAACGATCTGTTTTCTCGGACTCCGCTGAGAGAAACCCGTAATTTCGTCCAGAGTCTTCCTCTTCCTGTCCGGGCTTCCGTGCCCAGCCACCTTCGGCTTTCGCGGGCTGGCATTCGTCGACGTGCGTCCAGTCTGAGTGTTCCCTTCATCGAAGACATGGCCGTCCGCCATCTCGCTCGTCAAGTCCAGCACCCAGCCCTTCTCGCGGCACATGCCAACCATATCTCTTAGCAACTCGTTGCCGGAGAGCGTCTTCTCGCTGCCAACAATGACGAGTTTGCTCCGCGCCCGTGTGAGCGCTACATTAACTCTTCTTCGATCCTTGAGCAGCTCGCCTACGCTGGCGACGTCGTTGGATCGCACGCAGCTCACGAGGACGACTTCTTTGTCGCGGCCTTGGAACTTGTCTGCTGTGTGCAACTCCACGCCACTCGCTGCGGATGGTGCAAAACGCTCGGAGGAGTGCATTTGTGTATGTGTCGAGGAGAGGCTGCTCCGTAGTAGGGCAAGCTGACTGCGGTAAAAGGCTATGACGCCGATATCTGAGGCGGGAACGCCGAGGTTGAGGAGCGAGATGGTGAGCTGAGTAATGAGTCGCGCTTCGAGGCTGTTGATTATGCGGCTACCGGAGGAAGATTCAAGGGTGGGGGATATCCGGTCTGTGTTTATGAATACGACGGGCTGCTCGGGCGAAAGAGAGCGTGACAACCAGCAGTTGACGGATTCAGGGCCAGGACAATTGGTGCTTGCTCCTACATGCGCTTGCCGGTGATGCGCGTGAAGACCAGAGGGCTCTGGTAAGGTGAGCTTGCGAGATGCGACGCTGGGTGTGCCGCACTTCAGATGGCCTGAGTAGATAAACTTGTTGGACAGAGACATGACCTCAGCGCACATGCGATATTGGTGTTCCAGGCTAACAACCGCTTGTGGATGCGCCTCACAGAGCAGCTTGAAGAGTGAAACGTCTAGACCGCCCTCCATGGCCTCCTTGTTCTGCACTAATGGAGGGAGCTGGTAGTGGTCGCCTACCAAGATGAACTTCTGGGACATACGGATCGGCCCAAGACAGACAGGCAGTGTAATCTGTGAAGCCTCGTCCACAATGCAGTAGTCGAAAATCCGGCGACTGAATAGTGGATGGTTGGTGGTCAGACAGGTGGTGGCCACCACGAGCGGCTCCATCCACGACTTCTCGAGATCCCCCACACTCTTACTGGGCTCTGCTGCCAATGTCGCGAACTCTCGTACTTCAGGGTGGATCTTCGCCGCCGCTCCAAGGCGGAGAACGTCTATCTTATCGTCCCGGATTTTAAGTAAAATATTGTCCACTGCGGAGTGAGTGTAAGAGGCAAGAAGGACACTCTTGCCTTTCGCGACTAGGGTTCGGATGACATGGGCGATTGTCGTTGTCTTGCCGGTTCCTGGCATACCCAAAATGAGCGCATAATCCTTAGCAGCCATGACTTTGGCCACGGCAGCCTGCTGATCTGAGTTCATAGATACTTGTGATGACCGCGGTCGGTCGACGGTCATGACTGGACAGAAAATCGGAGCTCTCCCTTCCACAATCAACGCACGAAGGTCTCGAGCTTTGTAGACATTGTCGTCCATGATCTGGATGAGGTTGTTGCGCGCTGCTGCCATACCGTTGCTGAACTCGTCTTTGTCCATGCGGTACAGCACAGGTCTACTATCGACTTCGGGTGCTTGTGCCGCCTCACCTTCCTTGCATACCTCCATAATACCGGCAAAGGTTTGGTTGTTCTGAGCGTCGAACCCCGAAAGCTTCGTACGAGAATTGTGCAGACGCCTGTCCACGGCAACAGTGATGCGTCTCTTTCGTACGCTCGTGACATATCCATTTGCCAGCGCGAAGTGGCCTTGCTCATCCGAGACGACCACAGGCTCCCCAACGGTGAGCTGGGACTCGGTGAATGAAAAGCCGGGTGCGGGTTGTTGCTTGACGAACGTGTAGCTATGGCGGTTAATCTTCTGACCAAGCTTCTCTTCGTGTGCCAAGCCGGGCTCGAGAACCACATTAGAGAAGCAGCGTCCCAGCTTCTCGCGCTCAGTACTCAGCATGGTCCACAACTCTCTTCGGAACTTCATCATGTCCGCCTCTTCTTTCGTAAGCAACGTGTCCCATTTCTTCATGAAGTCACTGTCGGCAGGCTTGAGTGCCCTGACGAGATCGTCGAACTTCTGCTTCGCCTTCTTGTTCAATGACTCGCCCTCACCGTCCTCTACTAATTTGTGGTAAAGGAAGCACGACTCCTGAGCATAGCAGTTGCCGCACTTGAAGTCTTCCTTCAGCATCGGCGGCAGATCGATCCGGTAGCGCACAAAGCAGGCTAGTTCGTTGCGCTGGATGAGCATGTGTATGATCTCATTGCGAACGGCGGGAATGCGGATAGTTGCTGATGTCTCGAGATAGTAGAGCATCCCATAGGCGACGTCGATGTCGTAGCGATCCGAGAGTAGCAGATTGTACAAAGCCGTCTGGACGGAATGCGCACTGTTGGACGTGTTCTTTCCGGTCTTAACTTCGAAGGGGACGGTCAGAGTGCGCTCGCCCTGATCGTCCTGCAAGGTCACCTGTACCGTTGCATCAATATTCCCTTTCAGCCCATACATCGGTGACCAGACATGCTCCTCAACATCGAGAAGCTTGTTGATACTCATGATTGATTGAGGTCCATTGCGGTGCTGCACTTTTGCATCGATGCAAGGCGTGGCTCGCACGAAGATCTTGGCCCACGCCTGCATTTCGGGAAGCTTGCTGAGCATGTGCTCCTTGACCTCGTCACAGGTTGAGTTGATCTCGAGGATGGTCTCGAACTTACTTGGAAGCAGCTTATCGATGGTCGAGAGTAGGAATTCCGTGTCCCATTGGTTGACCTTCAAGGCCTCTTGGAACAGCTCGTGCAGAAGCGTACCATACAACATCGGTGCGTTGGCTCTACTAGTGGCCTTGATGCGGTCTTGAAGCACTGCTCGTCGGAGGCATCCGTAAGAGTCGGCAACAACTGTCGCTGATATCAAGTGGTCTGGATGCAGAACCAACATGTTGTGATGGTCATCAATAGCACAATGCCCGTCTGCCGAGAAAGCCCCAATGACGTGGACATATGCGCCGACCGTGGCAGATGTGTCGTACCATGCTTGTCGTAACGAAATCGACTTCATAATCTTCGTCTTCTCATTGTCGACCAACAGGATCTGCAACGCGTTAGTGCATGATGCTAGTGTCTGGGACATTTGCTGCGTACCTTTTCAGGCCTTTGCTGGCCTCTACTGTCAAGGTACGAACCCTCAACTACCTGCTTGACGAGATATCGTTGGATAGCTCGAGTGTCTCGTTGACTCTTACAAACTCAGCTAAACAGACTTATTATGGGTGTTGCGTCTACATACAGTGTTCGTTGCAGGCGTTTGCGTGGCTGCTACTTCAGCTGCAGCAAACTCGTCAGAGTCTATGTCATCCCCAAAGTCATCAGAATCATCATTCGCCAGATCAATAACGGGCGCAGCATCAATAACTAGCGATTGTGCGGGGAACGCCTCTTGGATGGGTGACTCGAGCGGCCGGTTGTCAAACAGGGACGCTACCTGCTCGAGGTCTGCAGCAAATTCGTCCTCGTCGTCTTCTATCCCAAACTCGTCCTCGCTATCAGCAGCCTTTGGGGTAGTCGCAATGACTGCTGGGGCGTACCCAGGTGGGATTTTAGGATTTGCTTGTGACGCGGCTGATGGCTCGGTTGCGAGGGTACCGGCATTGGCCACATCGGCCATGTCTGTGTCGAAATCGACGTCGCCGAAATCATCAGAAGATGGAGAGGGTTGTGACTGCTGACCTGCCGACTGCTGCTCGTTGGGCATTTGTGGGAATTCATAGTCTTCAGCAGCAAGACGATCGAAATCATCTTCATCGGCACAGTTCTTGGCTTGCAGAGTGTAGGAAGTCTCGTCCTCATCTTCAGCTGCTGTTCTCGGAGAGTGCCGCTTGAGAGGGGAATCTGGAAATGCGGCCAGCGTATGTCCAGTCTCAGGAAGCGGAGATGAGCTCGACAGTGGGTGGTCTTGCGAGTTGGAGATGGACTGCTTCATGAGCTGGACGATGCTGGCAAGATTCGTGGCCGGTGGCTGGCCTTGCATGACGCTGTCTGAGCTGGGAGCAGCAGTGAAGACGTCCTCGACGTCCTCGTCCACGTCGCCCTGGAAGACGCCGTGCATTCTCCGTCTCTTCTTCGTGGATGTGGGAAACTCAACGCCACAGCTTGCCCATCGTCGAAGCCCGCTAACACTGCCGGCAGCAGCAGCAGCAGAGCGAGGGGACGACTCGTTGATCAGGTGTGCGAAGGCCACGTTCTTACTCTTGGTGACAGTCGGCGTCTTCTTGCTTGTGTAGCGCGACCAGAGCTCGGTGGCGGGATCAGCCTGGGGTGTCGCGAGGGCTCCCTTGCGCGCACTCAGCCTCTCTTCCTGCGAAGGCCCGGCTGGCGAGGAGCTGTGGGCGCGCTTCCTGTTCTTGCGTGGCACCGGGGTGTTGGCAGGCTGTGAGCCGCGCCAGTACAGCTGCTCCTCGGGTGAGAATGCGGCCAGAGCTGCGTGTCTGGACGTGTCGTCGGTGTTGCCGACCAGGTCTGACAGTGGCAGTCTTGCAGCAGGCGTCGACGGCGGCGCCGACGGCTTGCTCTGCGGCAGGCGCGGCGTCTCGAAGGCGTCCTCGACGTCCCTGACCCTCGACGTCTTCGGCGTCTCTTCGGACTTGGCCGTCGTCTGCCGGCGATTCTCCTTCTCGGGGTCCAGGGGCAGTGTGTCGTCCAGCTGGAAGGCCCTCAGCTTCATGCGCGTCTGCGTCGACGGCATGATGGGCGGGCCGGTCGCGACGTGTCGAGCCGGAGAGGCCTCGCTATGCTGGTGGGGCGGGGCGTTGCGAGGGCGGGTCCATTGGCCTCTGAACTGGGTGGGTGAGTGCGTAGATCAATGAGGGGCGTTCGCAAATAGCGGTCAGCGTACCTTCGCCTTGGGGTCCTGGTCGAAGAAGGACTTTTGCCGTGTTGACATCAGTGCATGTGGACGAGCGCTAGCGGGACTGACGCGACGAGCCAGACGCGACGAGACGAGACGCGACGCGACGACTTGAGCTGGCCGAGGCGAGGGCTGCAAGGATTCAGAGGACCCACCGTGTTTGTGTGGTTTGCACGCGGGTAGCCGCCCGCCCGCTACCGGTATCGGCGTCTTGTGGTTGGACAGCTGACTTGGATGAAGGGTGCTGTCACCCAAACTTTTTTTGAGAGAGTGCAATCATCCCGTGCTTATCGATTAGCAGCCTTACTCGTGCAGCCGGAGAGCTTTGACTATTTTGGCCTTCATCCCACGCTGCTCTCCCCGGACCGTCCCACTCGCTCACCAAACCACCAGCCGGTCCTTCTCACCTTCCACATTTCGTCTCTCGCCCTCCCTCCTCGTTGCCAGCAACATGTCGTCCGCTGATGTGAAACCTCTGCCGTTCGTCTACCAGTTCGCGGCTGGTGAGTCTCAATTCCATACCTCGGAGAAGCTCCGATGCACCGCGTACCCATGAATATTTCTACATGTTCACGGGGACGGCGTAGAGCGCGCAATTGCATTCGAGAAGCTTGACGCAATGCCTCGCGAGCTTTCTGGCGGCCAATCCAAGCTGGACAATGGCTGACAACAAGCAGGTGCCGTGGCTGGTGTGTCAGAAGTGAGTGCGCGCGATAAGAGACCGAGCCTCTTGTCATGTCGTGTGGTGGACAGAACGCTAATTGGGCGTGTGCGCATAGATCCTGATCATGTGAGTGCTTTTTGTAGATGATTTGTGCAGGGTGCAATTGCTAACAAACTACAAGGTACCCGCTGGACGTCGTTAAGACCAGGATGTGAGCAACACGCGACCGAGCGCACGACGATCCCTTCTAATCCTATATAGACAATTGCAGAGTGCAAAGGCAACCGGTGAGGATGCCTACAGTGGCATGTTGGACTGCTTCCGCAAAATCGTGAAGAACGAAGGGTAGGCCGGTTCATTTGCCGCACGCGAACCGGTGTACTAACGTCTGGTAGCGCATCCAGATTGTACCGTGGTATCAGCGCGCCTATTCTCATGGAGGCTCCCAAGAGGTGAGTGCGCGCGACGGTCGAGCCTCCACCTCTGAACCTCGTTGACGTGAATAGGGCTACCAAGTTTGCAGCCAACGACTCGTGGGGAGCTTTCTACCGCGACCTCTTCGGCCAGGCTAAGATGAACCAGTCCTTGTCCATCTTGACTGGCGCGACTGCTGGTGCCACCGAGGCTTTCGTTGTTGTCCCCTTCGAACTCGTCAAGATTCGTCTCCAGGACAAGGCTCAGGCACACAAGTACAACGGCATGATGGACTGTGTCACAAAAATCATCAAGCAGGAAGGTCCGCTCACCCTGTACCAGGGTCTTGAGTCTACCATGTGGCGCCACATACTTTGGAACGCTGGTTACTTCGGATGCATCTTCCAGGTCCGCGCCCTCCTGCCGGCAGCCTCGGACAAGAAGGGCCAGATCACCAACGACCTGATATCCGGTGCCGTAGGTGGAACTGTTGGTACCATTCTCAACACCCCCATGGATGTAGTCAAGTCCCGCATCCAGAACTCGCCCAAGGTTCCCGGCCAGGTCCCCAAGTACAACTGGGCCTTCCCTGCCCTCGGCACAGTCTTCCGCGAAGAGGGCTTCAGTGCGCTGTACAAGGGCTTCACACCCAAGGTCCTGAGATTGGGTCCTGGAGGTGGTATTCTGCTCGTCGTCTACACCGGTGTCATGGACTTCTTCCGCAACATGCGTGAGGGCAAATAGGCAGCGGAGGCCGGGGGAGACGAAAAGTAAGCGGCACGTTGAACGAGCGTACGAACCCCATTTTTCCTACAGCATCTCGAAAGACCTGGCAGATAGACCGTACAATCTGACCGAAACAATTTCACCATACCTCTGTGGTGCCAATGCTCTGACTGCTTCCAGCTTGAACTATTGACCTGATCAATTATACGGTCAATGCACGAAGCTACTGCGTCTTGATTAGTCTCAGTCCCTGCTCGCTCTTCGGCCCACACGGGCTCCGCAAACACTTCGATTTCACCGCACCATCGATGCACGAACAACAAACACCAATAATAGTCAAACGTTCCGACGTCGCGTGGGCATCAACGTCATGGCACATGTTCCAGACACGCTGACTCCGAGTCCCCTGAGCAACTTCAGCCTTATCAATGCGGTTCAACAAACCCTAATTGCACCCTCGTCGCAGCTACGTACATAAACCGCACGCCCTCATTCGCTCGCTTCTCAAAGTATCCGAAGGAGCCGAATATGCAGAGCTCTCTTTTCGTCGACGTCAGATCTATGTGTGCGCTAGCGTCGATCGCCCCGAGCCGCACCGTCATCGACTTTTCAATGACTGCAAATGATTCTGATTTTTTAGGAGAATTCAACGGACAGTTGAGGAAAAGATGTGCCAGGCTAAGCTTTTTGAGACCCAGAGTGCTTGCTAGAGGGCTTGGTACGCTTGTTTTCAGCATTAGCTGGGCGAGCCCTGGGCGTCCGAGATATCCAATGTGGTTGCTCTGCTTGCGCTCGGTCAGAAAGTGCTCGGCGAGTAGATGATGTCAGTATCTGGTGCTCGATCGTTAAAACGATGTTGCTGCTCGCTGCGTGGTGAATTGGGTGGCTTCATCCATTCGGAATCCAACGACAAAGACATGGTGGCCGACCTTATTCGCGATTCGCCGTTCGGGCACATTGTCCGTCTTGTTACGCGCAACAAGGTCTTTCAGTATCCCGAAGAGAAGGATCCCAGTCTGTGGAAGAAATACGTCAATCAGGAGAAATCGGGCTTTGTTGCACACCACGGCAACACCTCACCGCCCAAAGAGGATGTCGAGGAGTTGCGCCAGGCGCGCGGTATTAGGGACCGCGAAGGCTCAGAGAGCTCACAGACAGAGGTCGGTGATGAAGTCAACGATGCGAGCGGTGTCAGGATAGACCAGGAGAAGGGGAGAGATCAGCATGTTATCGACTGGAATGGGCCAGACGACCCGCAGGTATGGCTGACCGTCTTCACGTTGACAATGGCAAGTCTAACAGTGGATAGAACCCGCGAAACTGGAGCCGTGCGAAGCGCTTCTTCGTGACCTTTGAGATCTGTTTCCTCACTTTCTCCGTGTACATCGGCTCCGCCATCTACACGCCCGGTCTCATGGACGTCATGGCTGGCTTTGGTGTAGCCCAAGTCCCTGCCACCCTTGGTCTGACTCTTTACGTCGCTGGCTACGGGCTGGGCCCTATCATTGCAAGTTTTCGTCCCTCAACTGCCTTTGCAAAGCTAATACCAGCCAGTGGTCGCCCATGAGCGAGATCCCCCAGATCGGACGCCTGTGGGTGTACATCAGTACACTCTTCATCTTCTGCTGCTTTCAGATCCCTCTCATCTACTCGGTCAATTTCGGGATGCTTCTTGCTTTTCGTTTTCTCACGGGCTTCTTCGGATCGCCCGCCCTCGCCACCGGGGGGGCTACCATCGCAGACATGTACCGCCCGCAGAAGCAGGCCTACGGACTCGCCGTCTGGGGCATCGGCGCAGTTTGCGGTCCAGTACTGGGGCCGCTCGTAGGCGGATTTGCCGTCATGTCCGGCGGCTCTGGGGTTGTCAAGGGCTGGAAATGGACCATCTGGGAGTTGCTCTGGCTGTCGTCATTTTGTTTTATCTTCCTGTTCTTCTTCCTGCCCGAGACCAGCTCCACCAACATCCTGTACCGGCGCACCAAGCGTCTGCGCAAGCTCACTGGAAACGACAAGCTCACGTGCGAGCCGGAGATGATGTCTGCCGAGATGGGACCCAGGGACGTCGTGCGGATGTCGCTGCTGAAGCCCATCACGCTCAACTTCCAGGAGCCGATTGTGTTCCTGCTCAACCTCTACATCGCGCTCATCTACGGCCTGTTGTATATCTGGTTCGAGTCTTTCCCGCTCGTCTTCACGGAGCTCTACGGCTTCAGTCTTGGGCTCACGGGCGTTGCTTTTCTGGGCATTTTGGTTGGCACTTTCATTGCGGCTAGTATCCTGTTCACCTGGCTGTACCTTTATCAGGAAAAGCAGTTTGATGAGAACGGCAACATCGCGCCTGAGAAACGCCTGATTCCTGCCATGGTCGGATGCTGGGGTGTCCCCATTTGTCTATTCTGGTTCGGCTGGTCTTCACGATCGGACGTGCACTGGATTGTGCCTGTAAGCAGTCCCATGTCACCGCGTGGTTGTAGGCATCAGAGGTACCGTCTGTCTCGCAGACGTCCTCTAAACTACACCGACACGCTCCATTTTTCTCGATCTATACGCTAACCCTCCTTAGATAATCGGCACGTCCTTCTTCGGCATGTCCGCCTTCACGCTCTTCAACGCCGTGCTGCCCTACCTCAGTGACGCGTACCCTGACAACGTGGCCAGTGTGCTGGCCGGCAACGATCTCATGCGCAGTTCGTTTGGAGCTGGCTTCCCGCTGTTCGCTGGCGCCATGTACCAGCGCCTGGGCATTGACTGGGCGAGTAGTCTGTTGGGCTTCCTGGGCATTGCATTCATCCCCATTCCGTTCTTGCTGTACAAGTACGGCAAGCAGATCAGGCAGAAGAGCAAGAACGCGAGGAAGGATATTTGAAGGGTGATGAGAGGCGATGGTTGCTTTTGGATTGCTGCGATTTAGCGTACTTTGTGTGATACTTGATTGAGGATCTATCGAGAAATCCGCCCTCTGCTGAACAATGTGATTTTCTGGCGCCAGCTACTCACACCACGCCACACTGTCAGCTCCAAATGTCGCACTCTGTTTTGCTCTATGACAGCGAACAGCGAGGTCAAGCCCATGGTCATTGGGCATCATTGATTGTTTACTTTTTGCTTGACTTGGAAGATGCCAGGACAAACGGCCGAAACAGAGGTCCGTGAAGCCCATGAATAGGGCCGAATTTTCAAACATGGACGTCACACAGAGACAGGGCGGTGGTTCTGCCCCACAAGGCAGGCGGGCGGCCGGGGCAGGCGAGAGAACCGTCGAAGCCGGCGACTTGGGTGCAGGGTTGCATCATGCTTCGAGAATCGCCGGGCTGGAATCGACGGACTGGCCTCTCACGAGGACTCGCGCACGTAATCTCCATGACTGGTTGGGTGTGTGGGTGGGTGTGTGGGTGTGTGGTTGGGCTGTACACACTCGAGATAGGGGTTCAAGGATCAAGACAAAGGTTGGTCGAACATGCTTGTGAAGATCGGTGAGACCCCGGTTCTGCGTTCGGTGCGGTCGCTGCGGTCGCGGAAGTGCAAGGTCGCGGAGGTGACTTGGACAGAGGCGGCTAGCTCACTCGCCACAGTCGGTCCAAACAGCAAAGAGGCAGCTTTGACGGCGGTGGATGGCGCCGGTGGAAGGGAGGCGCTAGAGAGCACAGCATCTGCTCTGCGGTGCTGGGGAAGACTTTGTCCTCCAGTCAACCTACGAATTACCAGTCGCCCCCCTATCGAAAGCCTGCAAGCCGCCCATCAGCGTGCCGCGAAACCGGTTGCTGCGCCACATCGCGATTCGCTGCGCTGATCAGCCGTTCGAGCAGTCCGCGGAGCACGATTGGCTGCAAAGTACAAAGACCACACCATGGCTGGCCTCGGCGTGCACTTCAACGCCGGCCGCAACAGCAATCCGCTGTTGCCCGCCCAGCACACGATGAGCGAGGCGCCAGTCGTAGTCAACGCGCCGGCCCCGCCAGAGCGCATGAGCTCAAGCTCGACTGAGGGCTCCTCCGACTCCGACTACGCACTCGACGCCGACGCGGGCCATGTCCACTCTCGGCTCCAATTTGCGCAGCCCGTGCAGGCCATGCCCATAAGCAGCGCGGTGGACGAGGTGCCCCCGCTCCCTTACAGCTACAGCACGCAGACCCCCCAGGGCACTCGCAGCATCCGCGTCGTCACCAACATGACGGCCGAACAGGCGGGCCAGCACGCCGCCAGCGCCAGCAGCTCTGCGCGCACGCCGCGGCCAGGCGCCATTCGGACGCCCTCCAATGCCTACAACCCCGCGCGACGTCCGCAGCAATTCTCGCTCAACAGCACCGCGTCGCACCGCGGCCGCAACAGCTCCGCCACGCGCTCGCGCCGCAACCCCAACGCCGACTATCGTGCGCAGGAACAGGCCTACGTGCAGCGCATCCGCCAGGAGAACGAGCAGGAGGACTACGCCTTCGACCCGGCCACGGGCACGCCGAGCCTGGGCTACAGCACCGACAGCGAGACGGACAACGAGTCACCCTCGACCGCCGACTATGCGGAGAACGATCCATACGACCAGGAGACGCTGCTGTACTACGGCAACGACGACATGCAGCCGTCGATCGAGGAGCTCAAGATCCCCGAGAACCGCGAGCGCCTCGAGTGGCACTCGATGCTGGCGAGCGTGCTGACCGGCGACGTCGTCAAGCAGGAGAAGAAGCGCCTGATCGGCAGCACCGAGCAGCAGGGCGACAGCACCCTCAAGGCCGAGATCTGGATGGGGATCCGTGCCCGCGTCTGTGGCCGCTCGCTGCAGGCCCAGCGCCGCATCGTCGACGACGCCCGCGGCAACATCAAGGGCCTGCTGGAGAGCATCATCTCCTTTGAGGTCGAGGGCGCCACCGAGGCCGGCCAGACGCCCCAGCAGCAGGTCCAGCACGTGGTCAAGAAGATTGAGAAGATTGAGAACGCCTACCCCACGCGCCAGGCCCTCGAGACTGCCTATCCCCGCGCCGCCTCCGAGGCCTACAGGTCGGCGTGCGACGCCGTCATTGCCTGGGACAACACCACCGTGCTCATCAACACCGAGATGGCCATCCTGAAGATGTGGGTCGGCAACGAGGAGCTCGACTTTGTCAAGGCGCGACCGCGCTCGTCGCAGGACCACCACCTGACGGACGAGTCGTCCTTCATCGACCGCATACTGAAAGAAGACGGTCTGAAGTCGCTGCAGGGCGAGACCAATCTGCTCATTCCCCTCGAGAAGGTGATCCAGAAGGCGAAGAGCACGCTGATCACCAACGCGCAGGGCTTTGCCGAGCGCCACTTGCCGCCTTATATCGAGGAGCTGCTCACCCTGATCAATTTCCCCTCCCGCCTGCTCCAAGAAATCATCCGTGTCCGCCTGTCCTATGCGAAAAAGATCAAGGACCCGTCGCAGCAGGGCGTCATGATGGCTGAGCAGATGATCGCGCAGTTCCAGATCCTGCTGCGCATGGCAGGCCAGGTCAAGGAGAGCTACATGGTAATCTCTCGACCCGAGCCAGGCTGGGACTTGCCTCCATGCATCGAAGAGAACTTTGACAACGTCGTGCTCGATGCGTTGAAGTTCTACTTCAGGATGTTGAACTGGAAGCTGATGGCCAACAAGAACACGTTCAAGGAGGCCGAAATCCTTGAACAGGAGTGGGATTTCTGCAACAAGCTCGGCAGGCAGCTTCAGGGTGGCGACGTCGAGACTGCCGAGCAGTTCAGTATTCTGACATCCAAATCGCTCACTCGTCTCAGCGCCCACTTCGAGCGCGAGCTGCAACGTCGGCCGGACGAACGCTCTGGCGCTGAGATGGAGAAGCGGTACAAGCAGATTCTCGATTCCGTTCGTGTTCGCCAACGTAAGCTTTTTCGTTTCTCGAGGATTTTGACGCAAAGGTTCGAAAACTGCACCGAATACAACATCAACCACATCGAACTCGACGAAGAGCAGCTGAGCGACCTGTACGAGTCACTCATCGTCAACGGGCACTTCCTTGTTGAGACCACGGGCGGCAACAACTCGGGCGTGTACATCATTGCATCACCTACACTGGAGAACCGACCCAATGACATCCAGTCTCTGCTCACCACGTGCTACCACGCTGAAGAAGGCCCGGAAGATCCAACAAACCCGTATGTCTTAATCATCAGACCCGAGGACGCGCTCTACTGGTCTGGCAAGAAGATGATAGGCAACATTCACGAGCCGCATCTGGACCTGAAGCCTGGGCGATTACGCCTGGTTGCAGATGGTTCTCAGCAACGGCTTGCTAATGCCAACGTCTCGTTCCTCCAGGCTATCGGCATGGATCTGACCACGCTCATCGACCAGCGAGCGAATCTACCCCGCGTCAACTCTGAGCTGCAGAAGATCAAGAAAACGGCGTACAAGCTGTCCAACACCATCATGGACAGTGTTGAGATCGTGCGCAAACAGACTGTTGGCCTTGAGTGCGGGGATCTCATCCAGACCTGTTTTGCTTTCGCGACGGAGTTCGGTCAGCGTTCCGTACTGTACCTGGACTACAATCGTCGCGCCATGAACAACATCAAGTTGACCAGGCTGGCGCTGGATTGGGTCAGTTTCATCTGTGACGACTGCGTGGCATCAGATCGCAAGACTTTCCGATGGGCAGTCGTAGCACTGGAGTTTGCCATGATGATGACTCGTGGGCAGAACATTCTGTCCATCAGTGACGAAGAGTACACGCAGCTGCGCGCAAAGGTTGCAGGTTGCATGTCTGTCTTGATCTCGCACTTCGACATCATGGGCGCCAGGTCTACCATCGCGGCACAAGCCGAGAGGCAGCGCCTCAATGCCATTGCCGGCAAGAGTTTGCAGGACCCGAAGAACTCCAAGGACGACGAGGAGTCGATCGAGATGACGCAGGCGCAGTGGATGCAGCGACTTGAAGAGATTGATGCGTTCAGGAAAGAAAAGGAGGCTGAACGTCAGGCTCTGGGCAGAGTGCTCGAAGACTCTAACGAGGCCGATCGCGCACTCACCTACCTGTCATCTTCTGCCACCAACGTCACTCTACGATGGCAGCAGGGCCAGTTCGTGGGTGGTGGTACATTCGGATCCGTCTACGCCGCTATGAACCTGGACTCCGGCCACTTGATGGCTGTCAAAGAGATTCGTCTTCAGGACCCTCAGCTCATTCCCACCATCGTTGCTCAGATCAAGGATGAGATGGGCGTGCTGCAGGTGCTGGATCATCCCAACATTGTCTCGTACTACGGCATCGAGCCGCACAGAGACAAGGTGTATATTTTTATGGAATACTGCTCTGGCGGTTCTCTGGCGGGTCTTCTCGAGCACGGCCGCATTGAGGACGAGACAGTCATCATGGTGTACGCGCTGCAGATGTTGGAGGGTCTTGCATATCTCCACGATGCGAGGGTCGTCCACCGCGACATCAAGCCTGAGAGTACGCATCTCCTAATGGATATTGTGCTTTGCTAACATAGTCCAGACATCCTCCTTGACCACAACGGTGTCATCAAGTTCGTCGACTTTGGCGCTGCCAAGCTCATTGCTCGCCAGGGTAGGACACTCGCTGTCGACAACGCCACGCGCCGCGAAAAGCAAGGCTCCATGACCGGCACACCAATGTACATGTCCCCCGAGGTCATCAAGGGCGGCAGCACCGGCCGCCACGGCGCCGTCGACATCTGGTCGCTAGGCTGCGTGATCCTCGAAATGGCCACCGGTCGGCGCCCCTGGGCATCTATGGACAACGAGTGGGCCATCATGTACCACATCGCGCAGGGCGACCCGCCACAACTCCCCACCTGCGACCAGCTCAGCGAGCAGGGCATCGACTTCTTGATGAAGTGCTTCGACCGTGATCCAAACAAGCGCGCCAGCGCTGTTGAGTTGCTCCAGCACGAGTGGATCATGACGCTGCGCGCGCAACTCAGTCTCGAGCCGCAGACACCCAGCTCGGAAAACGGAAGCCAGAGCGGAAGTAGTAGTAGGCAGAACTCCACCTACGGCTAGCCCTCTCCCTTTCCTTCCTGCTGCGCATCGTCCTGGACTTGACTAACGTACGCTCTGCAGGCGATCGCCGCTTTTCGTTGTCCAGCCGCCGCTCGTCGGTCCAGAGCACAACAACTGTGTGTGTTGCGCCACTGTCGCCGATTCTCGCCTCCTATCAAGAGGGGTTTTTTTTCCCTGGCTGCGGTCTTCCGCGCCCGAACAGCTTTTCCGAACCCTAGAATTTGCATCTCACTATTTCCGTAATATGCTTTTGGCCTGGTTTGTCAGGGCTTTTCCTACCGTACACGTATACCCTACATATGGGATGGCATGGTGGCGTTTTGCATTAGCGTGGGAGTTTCCTATCGTTGGGTGAGGGTGGTGGTATATATTGATACCGCCTTCATGGCTGAGTAATCCATACGTTGAATCGGATGGCTTGCGTCACCGACTAAGCACCATTGCAGGGGACAGTGTGCACTCCACCGTGAGACTTTGACGGTCGACCCTGATGCTCTTCATTGCATGCGAGACGACTGCAAGCAGCTCGTTGTCTGATCCACTCCGCCTGGATGACCGTCTCGTAATATTCCTTGCCAATCTACTCACCGCCATCTCAACCCCGCTGACGTCCGATCCCCCCTTCCTCCACGACCAAAGTCATTCTAGCCGAGACAGCTGGTCTTTTCAAGGTAGTGTCTGCATGCATTTCGGGAGTAGTCAAGTGAACCCCCAGCGTTAATTATAACCTCACAGGTACTTCTCCATTACATTCTTCCATGAGGAGCGGACTGGATAGTCGAAGCCTCGCACTGACCGCCACAGTCGATGCAAGTCAGTGATCCGGACGTGGACGGACGTGGGACAAACGTGGGACGAACGTGGGACGGACGTGGGACGAACGTGCAGATGCGTCGCTGAAACGGGCTGCGCTTCGACAAGGAAGATGTGTGTTGTTGAGCTTGCCTAGAACGCATGACACTGCGGCACTACGATGCAGCGGAATCTCTTCACAGCCAAAAAGCGCAGAATAAGTAGTGTAGTATCGCCTCATTGCGACATCGATGGGAAGCAGATGCAAGTCTATCTCTCTTTTCTTCTCTCTCAGGAAACGCCGGTTCCAATTTCAAGCCACGGTGTCAATAGCACACGGCACTCGGGTACAATTACAAGCTCGCTCTTCATCGCTCATCTCCTCTTCTCGGCCTCGTTGCGCATTAGCTTGGTCGACCGCGATTTTGTAGCACACTTCACTCGGGTACAGTCACAAGCTCGCTTCCATCCGCTCATCTCCTCTTCTCGGCTTCCTTGCGCATTAGCTTTGTCGAGGCGCGCTGCAGGGCTGTCTTGATATCGCCCTTCTTGAAGGTGGCGAGGTCGTAGTAGTTCGGCGAGATGTCCTGCACACGGTCAGTGTTTGTAAGAGTGGGGAGTGAGCAGGCTTTGTTTGTAAACACAACACTGTTTGTAGACATGACACTTTTGTAGACATGACACTGTTTGTAAACGTGACAGTGTCTGTAAACATGACACTGTTTGTAAACGTGACAGTGTCTGTAAACGTGACAGTGTCTGTAAACCAAACACTGTTTGTAGACATAACACTGTTTGTAAACATAACAGTGTCTGTAAACGTAACAGTGTCTGTAAACGTAACAGTGTCTGTAAACGTAACAGTGTCTGTAAACAAAACACTGTTTGTAGACATAACACTGTTTGTAGACATAACACTGTTTGTAAACGCAACAGTGCCTGTAACAGTGCCTGTAACGGTGCCTGTAAAAGGAGTACAGTGGATGAAAAAGAAAAATCAACACCACGTACCAGGAGCCATTCGGGCTTCACGCTCGTGACGCTGCGAATGTAGTTCTTCGTGGTGAGGACAAACTCGTTGTAGACGACCCACTCGCTGTCCTCGGCCAGGACGGTGCTGGGGTGCAGCAGCACCGTCTGCTCGTCCTTGACGGTGGTGTACTGCTTGCCGTTGCCGTCGCGCTTGGCGACCTGCATGAAGAAACCCGCGACGAGGGCGCGCTGGATGTTCTCGTAGTACTTTTTGTTCTCAAAGGGGGTGCTCATGAGCTCCAGCTCGGAGCGCTCCATGATGCGCTTCAGCTGCAGGCGCACGTTGTCGGCTTGCTGCAGGGCGCGGTACGACAGGAAGTGGTCGTGGCACCACTGCTTGGGGTTGGCCTGCGCCTCGTCGCCCTTGAAGGCGTGGTAGACGTTGAGCATGGTGAGGTGGTCGCCCTTGGCGTGGGCAAAGAGCTCCTTCATCTCGTCGGCGCGCTTGCGGTTGCTCGCTGGGCGGACAAAGATCTGGGGGACCGAGAGGAGGGCGGTGAGGGACAGGATCTCGTTGGAGCAGTAGAACTCGGGCGACGTGATGAGCATCACGGCCAGGGCCGGGTCGAGCGGGAACTCGGACGCAAGGCGGCCCAGCGTCGTCAGCTCGCCCTCGTCGTCGAGACAGGCGAGGTAGTTGAGCTCCTCGAGCGCGCGCATGAGCGTCTCGGGCGCGGGCGGGTCCATGAGGTCAAAGTGCACCAGATCGTCGACGCCCAGCTTCTTGAGCTCCAGCACGGTGCTCGCCAGGTTGGAGCGCAGAATCTCCGGGTACGTCTGCTCGATGAGCTCCTTCTTGAACGCCGACTCGGTGTACAGGCGGAAGCACTTTCCCGGCCGCGTGCGCCCAGCCCGACCGGCGCGCTGCTGCGCCGAGGCCTTTGAGATGGGCGAGACGAGCAGCGACTCGACGCGGATGCGCGGGTTGTACACCTTTTGCTTGCTGAAGCCGGGGTCCACGACGTACACGATGCCGTCAATGGTGAGCGACGTCTCGGCAATGTTGGTCGACACAATCACCTTGCGGCCGGGCCGGCCGCCCGGCGCCAGCGGCGGCGGGGCCGGGCTGAAGATCTTCTGCTGCTGCGCGGGCGGCAGCGTTCCGTACAGCGGGTAGACGACGAGCGGGCCGGCGCCGCCTTCTCGCGCCAGGTCCTGCGCCTCGAGGCTGATTTTGCGGCACGCGTCCTCAATCTCCTCCTCGCCCGTCAGGAACAGCAGCACGTCGCCCTCGGGCTCGGTCGCGTGGATCTGCAGCACGGTGCGCAGCGCCGCCTCGACGTAGTCGCGCTCGGGCGCCGGCGTGTAGAAGACCTCGACCGGGTGCGTGCGGCCGGGCACGGCGAGCAGCGGGGCGTTGTGGAAGTACTTTTGGAACTTTGTCGCGTCGAGGGTCGCGCTCATGATGATGAGCTTCAGGTCCTTGCGCCGCAGCACCACTTCCTTGAGCAGGCCCATGAGTATGTCCGTGGCGAGCGTGCGCTCGTGCGCCTCGTCGAGGATGATGGTGCTGTAGCGCGACAGGTTGTTATCGTGCATGGCCTCGCGCAGCAGCATGCCGTCCGTCATGTACTTCATAATGGTCTTGGGCCCCGTCTTGTCGTCGAAGCGGATCGTGTACCCCACCTCCTCGCCGAGCGTCACGTCCATTTCGTCGGCGACACGCTGCGCGACCGACATGGCCGCCACCCGGCGCGGCTGCGTGCAGGCGACCATCTGCCCGCTGCGCTGCGGGAGGTCGTCGAACAGCACAAACTGCGGAATCTGCGTCGTCTTGCCGGAGCCCGTCTCGCCGACGAAGACGAGGATCTGGCTGTCCTGGTACAGCTTGAGGAACTCGGCGCGCTGCTGGTGGACGGGCAGGCCGCGCCGCGTCTTGAGGATCCCGACGTACTTGGACGACAGCGGGCGGCCCGTGAAGGGGTTGGCGGGCCCGTCCTCGGCGACGCTGGCCTGCTCGGTGCTTGTGGCATGGCGCTGGAAGCCCGCGAGGCCGTCCTCGCTCCTGACGGGCGCCTCGTTCCAGTGGCTGAGGTACGGGTTGCTCTCCTGCTTGACCTCCGTCTTGACGCGCTTGGCGTCGCGGTGCTCGTCGTCGGATTCGCGCTTGACCGTCATGTCTGCTGGGGGAGGGAGGCGAGGGCGGAGAGGGCGGAGAGGACGGAGAGGATGGGCAAGGGGGGCGAGGGTCCGCGGCGGCTGGCGGTCGCGGGCGCTGGCCGTGTCGCGACTTTTTTTTGGCGGCGGCGGCGGCGGCAGCGTTCGTCCCCACCGCCGCGGTTCGCCCGCCGCTGCGCTAAGCAGCCCACCAAAAAAGATTCGGCGTGTGGAATGGGCAGAGAGCCCACGCGCATCATGTAGCACACCTCCCTCGGTCGGCGGCCAGCAACCGGTCACGACTCTGCCCCGACAGCTCCCACTGCCCGCCCTCGACAGCTCCCACTGCCCGCCCCGACAGCTCCCACTGCCCGCCCCGACAGCTCCCACTGCCCGCCCCCGACAGCTGCCGTTGCCCGCCCCGACAGCTCCCATTGCCCGCCCCGACAGCTGCCACTGCCCGCCATGAGCTATGCCGACGACACGGACGCGCTGCCCGTCTTCTACATTGGGCAGCACGAGAGCAGGCGCGCGCTGGACGTGTCGGCGGAGCTGGTGCAGCACGCGCACGACCTGGGCGTAGGACCACACACCCGCTCCCCGCTCCGCGCTCGTCCCGAAGCTGACAGGCGCAGTATGACATGCTCTCGAGCCCCATCACCAACGACCACTTCCACAGCCGCGTCCTCGCGCTGCTGCGCGCCCACGCGGCCGCCGACAGCGCGTCCACGCCGCAGCCGCTGCCGCTCGTCGCCGCCCTCGAGAGCAGGGACACGCCGCTGGGCCCGACCGAGACGGTCAGCCAGCTGCTCGCCTACTCGAGCGCCTGGACGGACCTCGCGTCGCCCGACCCCGTCGTCGCGCACCTCTCGCGCCAGGTGCTGCACCTCGAGGTCGCGTACGCGTCTTTCTGCGGCGCCGTCAACCTCGTCGTCCCCGGCCCCCGGCTCTCGCACGGCCAGCATGGCGTCGCCCAGTACGCGCGCGCCCTCAAGGAGGCCCTGTCGATTGGCGCATACGTGCAGTTCCACCTGCTGATGCCCATGGACGGCACCAGCGCCAGCACAGCCGCCGACGACCAGCACGAGCTGGGCGACCTCGCGCGCTTCGCCCGTCCCGAGTGCAAGCCGCGCGCCCAGCAGAACACGGCCACGGCCGTCTGGAGCTCGTGGGAGGCCTGGAACACCATCCGCTCCGTCTGCGCCTACCCCGCCCGCCTGTCGCTCGCCCTCGAGCTGCCGCGCAAGCTGCCCGCCCTGGCCGTCCAGGCCCGCTGGTTCTCCGAGCCCGTCCGGCTCGTCGCGATCCCGTCTGCGTCCTTTTTGGTCAACGCCCGCGCGTCCTTTGTGCTGTCCAAGGCGCACCAGTGGTTCCTCTTCCGCTTCGCCCGCCTGCGCTCCTCGCCGTGGCTGCTGCTGTCCGACATTGGCCCCCTGCCGGGCATCGACGACCCCGACATGATCATGTCCTACTCGACCGGCCATCTGTCGCCCTCGACCGCCGAGGACGCCGACCCCTCGGCCCAGCCCACGCCCGCCGAAGCAGCCCAGTGGAAGAAGAAGGCTGCCAAGACGCGCAGCGGCAGCAGCGGCAGCAGCAGCAGCAGCAGCGACCTCACGCCGCACCTGAGCTACCTGCGCTACCTCCAGCGCAACCAGCCGCCCAAGAGCCAGATTGAGCGCTTCGGCCGGGGCTTCCAGGACTACCTGCAGAGTCCGCTGCAGCCGCTGTCGGACAACCTCGAGTCCATCACGTACGAGGTGTTTGAAAAGGACCCGATCAAGTACGCGTGGTATGAGCGCGCTACTGCCCAGGCGCTCAAGGACTGGCACCGTGAGAAGAAGTCGACGAGCTCCGGCAAGGGCGCCGTGGTGGTCGCGGTGGTTGGCTCCGGCCGCGGCCCGCTCGTCACACGCGCGCTGAATGCCAGTGCCACCAGCGGCGTGCCTGTCAAGGTGTACGCCATCGAGAAGAACCCCAACGCGTACGTTCTCCTGCAGCGACGCAACGTGGACACCTGGGGCGGCAGAGTCACGGTTGTCAAGACGGACATGCGCGCCTGGAAGGGCCCGACCCTCCCGGACGGCACATTCGGCAAGGTGGACATTCTGATCAGCGAGCTGCTGGGTAGCTTCGCCGACAACGAGCTGTCGCCCGAATGTCTCGACGGCGTCCAGCACGTCCTCAACCCCGAGCACGGCCTCTCGATTCCCTCGCGCTACACCGCACACTTCACCCCGCTTGCGACGCCAAAGCTCTGGGCCGATATTCACGGCCGCAGCACGAGCGTCGACCCCAACGCCTTCGACATACCCTGGGTCGTCATGCTCTCGCAGTTCGACTACCTCTCCACCCACCCCGACGACACACCCGCCGCCCAACAGCTGACCGACGGCACCAAGATGAACCACTTCAACCTGGAAGCGCCTCTCGCGCCCATTGTCCACACGGCATGGGCGTTCTCGCATCCCCTCCCGCCCAGCGTGCTCGCCCAGTCAGCCCTGCGCCGCGGCGGATCCGCCGTCGGCGGCGGAGGCGGTTTCATCGGCGGCGACGGCGCAAACGAGCACAACTACCGCGACTGCTGCGTCACGTTCCCCATCCGCGAGCAGGGCGTGTGCCACGGCCTGGGCGGCTACTTTGAGACGGTCTTGTATAGCGGCTCCGAGGGGCCGGTTGAGCTGTCCACGAATCCCGTGACCATGGATGCCAAGTCCAAGGACATGATCTCCTGGTTCCCCATCTTCTTTGCGCTCAAGGTATGTGAACCGCTGTTTTCGGGACGAGGGGGCTAACCTTGGGGCAGACTCCTATGCATCTGCCCGCGGGCTCCGAGCTCGAGGTCAGCATGTGGCGCCAGACGGATGACCGCAGGGTGTGGTACGAGTGGCTCGCTGAAAGCTTCATGACGGTCAACGGGCAGCGGATCAAGCTGGGCGTGTCGGATTTGCACTCGAGCAAGAGCAGCGGGTGCTTGATGTAGACGCTGGTAGAGGTGTAGACGCTGATAGATAGGCCCTGTGACATGGCGAATACTAATGTGCGTCCACGTGCAACAACTTTGACCATCTTCTGGGGCCGCTGAACAACAGAGGCCCAGCCTCGCGCTCCGAACGTCATAGCTCCCACGCTAGTGATGTCGTCTCAGCCCCATCTCACTCGATCCCTCCCCACACAATCCCAAATCAACCCGCAATGCCGCCATTCTGGACAATCGGCTGCCTCTACGGCGCCTCCAGCGTCATGCTCGGCGCCTTTGGCGCCCACGGCCTAAAAAAGCGCATCGCAGACCCATCGCGCATCGGTACGCCGCCCCCCCCAGCCGCAGCACCTTCTGACCCGATGCAGCAAACTGGGGCACCGCAGCGCAATACCAGCTGATCCACTCGGCGGTGCTGACGTTTGCGTCGGTCGCCGCGCCGCAGAACACGCTGGCCATGGGCTTGCTGACGGCTGGTATGACCATGTTCTCCGGCAGCCTGTATCTGCTCGTCTTGGATCCGCAGCGGTTTGGAAAGGTGCTCGGGCCTGTGACGCCGTTGGGCGGTTTGGCGCTGATTGGAGGGTGGGTTGCGCTGGCTGTTACGAAGCGGCCTGTTGTGCCAAAGTTCAAGTAGGCATTCAAGGTCCAAGTAGGCATTCAAGGTTCAAGTAGGCATTCAAGGTCCAAGCAGGCATTCAAGGTCCAAGCAGGCATTCAAGGTCCAAGCAGGCATTCAAGGTCCAAGCAGCGCACGCTGGCTGTAAAACGGAGCCCAGAGTTGCGGGCCATGCACGTGTACGATACGATATGTACAGAGCTCTTATCCGAACGAATGCTGCTCCAGATAGCTTGCCGTCCTCGTACACCTACACCAACGCTATCCCAGTCAAGTCCCCCAGCTCGGGGAATAGCACCTTCTTCTTCCGCGTCTGCAGGTCGACCTCGTACAAGCCTCCCGCAAGATCACTGACATAGCACTTCCCCCCCTCCGTGTCCAGCGCCAGCCCAATCGCCTCATGGAATCTGGTAGCCAGAATCTCCACCTCGCCAACCTGCCCGCTCCCCACGAAGGCGCGGTTCAAACTGTTCCCCCGCGGCGGGTCCCCGCGGTCCGCCCAATACAACACCCCCCTCTCCGCGTCAAGGTCGAGATCAATCGGCTCCGGCAGCCGCTCGAACAGCACTTCCCTTGTCCCTCGCACGTCGTCCACCTGTGCCCGGAAAATCCGACCCTCGGACGCCTTTGGCGCGCCCTTCTGGCTCCAGTACACGGTCCCACGCGCCGCATCCACAGCAACGCCGACACACCACCGCCTCCTGTCCGTGTCCAGCGCGGGGTCGCCCGTCTCGAGCAGCACCTCGGGTGTCGCGGGCAGCGTGTCGACACACGCCCGACACAGCTTCATGCCCTCGCGGTCGCACCAGTATATCCACTTCTTCGCGTCGTGCTGGGCAAACGTGACCTGCTTGGGCGTCCAGACTCCCTTGCTGCCCTGCGCGATGGCGCACTGCGCGTTCGATCCGTCGAGGTCGTAGCGCATGATGCTGCCGCTGTTCGTGCTGAGCGCGCCGCCCATGTGCGTCACGTACATGTGCCCCGCGGCCCGGTCGAGGGCGATGCCGTCCGGCAGCGTGCACATGTCGGAGACAATGTCTTGCGTGGCCGCGCCGTGGGTGCATGTCGAGAACACGCGGCCGTTGGAGAAGTTTGGGTTGGAGAGGGCGCAGTCGAGGACCAGGAGGCGTCTGGGGGCCAGACTGGAGCACTGCTGTACAGACGGCATGATGGCTGATTTGGAGTGGCGGAGGCGTGGTCGTAGGACGGGCGATGAGTGCTATCGACGTGCATCAACCAGGACTGGCGCTGGGATGCGTCGTTCGGGTGCGAGTCTCCATCCTGCAGCTACATGTTCCCTGCCGAGGCTATCATCACCGGTCTACCAGTGTGTCGGCGAGCGAGTCGCGACGTCTTGGTCGAGCTCGGCCGGGAATAACGCACGCACTCCCGCACGACGGATAACGTGCCTGCAGCCTGTCCTTGCCGCCGCAGCCAATTCGCCGATTGGCCGGTGAACCGTCACCTCGCTTGCCTGACGGCAAGTTCGACGAAGATTGTCCTGATCTGCAACTTGGCGTGAACTTTATCTTGCCTCACTCGGATGCCAGCGAGCACAGTTTTGAACCGCATGAACCGTCTTGCGCAGACTTTGCGTCCAACCTGTCGCCATCATGTGAATGCGGCATCGAATTGGGTTAGAACAAGGCGACCTCGTCACACCGGTGGTCGCATACAAAGTAAGTGCACTGCGTTCTTATGAAGCTGGTCGTTACTCAACATCAATAGCGCAGACGTCTCCATACATTCAATTAGAAAAGAATGGACATCGCTCCACAAACTCGCACCATGCATCAACAGTACCAGTACGTACACAGATAAGGAATTGTCGCAGCAAGGATCGAGGTGAGGGTGCATATCACGTGATCCGCATCTGGATATTGGGCCGATCAGACACTGGCGATCCACCACGCCATGGTGAGCGGAACCGGGTACAGCTTGGAGCCGTGATTAGAGCTCCAATTAGTGTATAGCCGGATGAGTATTGGTGTATATATTCTGCTCGTTCAGCACTGTAGATAGAACAAGGAACTTGATCACTTTCTTCACACTTGATCAACGATCAGAGACTGCTCAGCTTCCACAGGAATCTTTTCCTGTCCCTAGACACTGCTGGCATCGTCTTCTTGTCGTATCAAACTCCTGGTCTACCCAAGACATGCCTGCTCTATTGGTTAAGTTCACAGCGAATGGGCCGCGTTATGCTAGGTCTATCAAGGTGACATGTACGCGCCGCTCTATACGCCGTGCGCGGAGTTGGCAGACAAGATACTTGCCCTGAATGGCAAGCGACAATTATGCTTAATACAACACGCAGCCATGTGGGTTTGCTGCGTGGCAACAGCGTATCTCAAGGGCGCGGATGGCCTCAGTTTGGCAGCATGGAGAGGCTGGGCGCTGTCCTGTCCGACCGGGAACACGGCTGGACAGACACGCCTCTCGGTACCGCTCGATGCTGCTCGTCGCACGGTAGCATGAACGCAGCGCTAGTGCGTGAGGGCATCGGCATCAATCCAACGATGTGACCATCAAGTAGGATCCCGCGGAGACAAACGAAAGAGTTTCACACCTTCTGCGTTAGTATGCTCCCGCAGCAATGAACAACTAGACCACAACTAGATCCCTTGCCGTCCGTCTCTCGTAAACGTAAGCAAACAAACCCGCGCCGCGACCACACTGCCCCCATGCATGGCCCTGGCGTGACATTTTTTGCGCCAACAGAGTGCAACTTTTATGAAAAGGAGAGCGCAACAGAGTCAAGCCAAAGGGTAAGTCTGGCATTGCCTCCGTTTGGGGTGCTAACAATCAACAGCTTGAGCACTCAAGTCGTATCCCTGGTCGTTTCCTCAGGAGAAGTCCACAGCATCAAGGTCGAGTCGCGACGCTAATGCGCAAGGCGGGTGAACTGCATAATCTAAGCGCAGCCGAGGCGTATCTTCCTGTGCGCTATGATGGATAGATGTTAGTTTACAGCTCGTCTAGTTCAGCGATGCAGATTGAAATTAGTTGTCGGGTCACTTGAGAACAGAGAGTCTCCCAAAGCCCACATTTTGAAAGTTGTTGCAGCCAAAAAGGAGGCAAAATGTACATACATTAGCACCCCTGAATTGGCTGGTAAATAGGCATGATATCTGCTGCGACAAAAGTTACATTACATTCGCTCTCGCAGCCATCGTATCAAGCTCATAGTGTGGCTACTTCTATCCATACTGGCTTGGATAATGACTACATATTTCTTGCTCGAACGGCGTGGCGCGCATATCTAGGGGTCAAGCAAGACGAAGCTGCACCATGTTTAGTTACGCGTCTCGTGCTCACAGCTAGTCTCATCTCTGAAGCTAAGAAGGTTGTTTGGCTGGAAACATGCAGAGTCGTGACAATGCAATCGCCGCTGTAACCAGAGAGAGAACGCGACAAGTCATCCATCTTATTGAAGAGCACATTGTAGACTGCTGGGATGAGAGTTGATGTGCGATTCGTCGTGTCCTGTTGCATTGGTTTGATTCCATGGGACACAGGTCATCTTCGGGTTTGGGAGCCTCAATTAGGCTACAGCACCACGGCCATAACACATGCTATCATTAGCGCTCGGTAAAACATCGTACAGATAAAGGTGTCTAGATTCAGTACAATGTCACGCCAATGTGCCGGTTCTCAGTCTGCAGAGCCGGTTCTCAGTCTGCAGAGCCGGTTCTCAGTCTGCAGAGCCGCTGTGAACTGTTAACAGACTCTGGACTGCTAAGACAACATATAAGAGTCGGGAAAAGGCTATGCAATGTTGTTGGCCAGTAGCAGTTACTACGACCACAATGTGCTGGATTGTCATCAGGTACCACCCAGAGAATCACCCTCTGTATGATTTTGACACTGAGCCACCTCGTCACTCGTTGTTCAAGCACTTGAGCAATCCTTTCTGTTTCTAATAGTCTTCTAAGGAAAAGGGTAAGCAGGACCACTCAGCTCCAGAATACACTCAATGATTAAACGGATTATCTCTTCTCAAGGTCTGTCAAGGGTCTACGACACTTCATGACTAGCTAACGAACAGCAGAGAGGAAAACTCGGGCCCAGGTAAATCCCACAATCACAAGAGCAAAGAGAGAGTCGATAGCAATATCTAAGCTTAACGGCTCTTTGGGAATTGGTGCAGCTGTTACTCTATTACTTACTGCTCTAGCATTACTACCGTGTCCGTGCACTCAATGCGCGGATTCAGACAATGCGCCGAACCACCAAAACACCCCATCCATCCCAACTCTACAACAACGCAACGCCATGGGACTAGAAGAAGCCCTTGCAGAGTGTGATACTTTTAAAGATAAAGATAAAATCCCATGGTCTAAAATAGCAGCAAAGCATGGTGTTGTGCGCTTAACGTTAACGCGCGTGTAGAGGGGCAAGACGCAATTGCAAGAGGCAGAAAATACTGCACACTAGAAGCTCACCCTATAACAAGAAAAGGAGCTTGTAACATATATAGAGGAGCTTACTGCTTGTTATATACCTCCTACAAGAGAGATGATACAAAATTTCGCGTCAGCAGTTACCTAGTAGGAGCTAGTGAGCGAGAGCTAGATTACCTGCTTTATTTACAAGCACTCTATCCATCTTATCTCTTAATATTTAATTAGGATAACGTGGTTCACAAGCGAGTCGCCCACCCAAGTGAGTCGCCCACTAAACACCCGCGCCCCGCCTGCGCAGCAACAACGCGTAATGCCACAACAACGCAACATGCAAAAGACCTATACTAAAGGAGATATATTTATTGCTATCTCTGATATTAAGTCTAAGCAGATACAGAGCGAAAGACGCGCTGCAGCAGTCTATAACATCCCACAAACAACAATCTAAGACTAACGCGCTAGACAACGCCCTTAACGCGACTGCAAGCCAAAATTAAAGCGCCTTACAAAGCTAGAAGAGGAGGCAATTATACAGCGTATACTTAAAGAGAGTCTACGTAGAATACCGCCCTTAAAGGCGCATGTACAAGATATGGCTGATAGACTGCTAAGGGAGCGTGGTGGGAAGCCTACAGGCAAGAACTAGGTTAATAACTTCATCAAGCGTACACTAGAGCTGCGCACGCAATAGAGCTGTCTGTACAATTGCCAGCAAGCTGCCTACAAAGACCTAGCGCTTATCTAGCCCTAGTTTAGCCTAGTTTAATTAATAAAGACAAAGTATAGTATTACAGATAAGGACACCTAGAACTTTAATAAGTCTAGCTTTATAATAGGCAAGATATCCTCTTAGCTTGTTATTACAGGCTTAGAGAAACCTAGGAAATAGAAGAAACTAAAGCCTAGTAATTATAAGTAGGTTACCCTAGTATAAGGCGTTGCTGTAATAGGGTGTATTATCCTACCCTTCCTTATCTTTGCAGGCAAGGTCCTAATCTCCTCCTAGTTTACTAGTCTACCTTGCAACTAGGTTATTATAGTCTCTCCTACTAGCTAGACTAATAACAATATTGTAATAGCATAGCTTAAACACTTTAACACCTATACAAAGGTGACCTCTGCTAGGGCATATAGGCTGCTTATTATTAACGGCCATAAGAGCCACTGCTTAATAGAATTCCAGGACTACTGCAAGGAGAACAAGATTATCACTCTCTGCATGCCACCACACTCATCGCACCTCCTGCAGCCTCTTGACATTGTCCCATACTCGCTGTTAAAGCGCCACTACAGCGACAGGATCTCACTCTTAGCACGCAGCTATATCTACTATATTAACAAAGAAACCTTCCTACTAGCCTTTAAAGTAGCTTTTAAGAGGATGTTTACACTAGAGAATGTTTGCGCAGGGTTTTAAGGCGCTAGGCTAGCCCTGCATGACCCTAAGGTTGTGTTATTAAAGCTTGATGTACAGCTACATACGCCAACGCCACCTGCACCAGGCACTGTCGCCTAGGAGGCGCAAACACCACGCAACGCCTGCGAGATAGAGGCGCAGTTAACGCTAATCTGAAATCGCATACAAAATTATTATAGGTTACTAGCAAGTTTATTAGATAAGCAGGTTAAGTAGTTAAGTAAAGGCGCTTAATAGATAGCTTATAATATAGTATTAGTGTAGGAGGAAATAGGCTGCCTATAAGACACTGTTACTACGCTTATAAAGCGCAAGACCTATAAAAGGTGGTATATACGCGTAGAGGAGACTCTAACAGTTAGTAAGGTATCTAACCTAGTTGCTAAAAAGGAGGGTAGTAGTTGTAAGGAGGGCAAGACGCCTGCAAAGAGGGTGCGCGCAGAGAGGCGCTGCAGCTGTTGCAGCGAAATTAGGCACAACTCCTGCACCTATAAGGTAGAAATTAAGGATGTAGATAATAGTAACACTTCTGAATAATATTA